AGATAAAACTGACTGACTTGCTGACTGACGGACTGACTAACTGACAGCCTACAAACCACGATGAACTAATAGCTAGGTTAGGTTAGCGAGAAAGTTAACGTAGGACGCAAAATCAACACCATTTTTATTAGTTAATTTTATCTCCTCTAGAGGGACAACACGTATAAAGGCGCGATGGTGAGGGATAGTTGTGATAAATTATTGATATAAGTGAAGAGATAAGTTAAATATAAGTAAATAAGTAAGATAAGGCAGGTACACAGATGGTAGTGTTACGGAGGAGATGAATAATACAACTATAGAGGAGTAGCAGGTGTGTGTAGGAGAAGGAAGAGGGGCGGCGGCCTCGTGTGTGAGTGCGTGGGACGGAGAGTGGCGGTGGGCGGAGAACGTACGTGTGTGTGAGGTGGTCAGTATACTACCAATATAGTAGAGACTTTCGCCTTTGTACAGGACAGAGAGGCGAATGACGTATACTTAGCATTAATAATTACCTCACTTAACAATAAAGACTTTAATGGGTGGCTATTAGGTCAGTAACGCAGGTAAATAACTTTCACGATACTACGATCCATTTTACCGCCTTACGGAAGCTGTCAGATCACACTTTACCGTCTGGCTTATGATAAAACATATATAATCTATAAAGTAAACCCAAATTACACCAAAACTCTACCTAAACCAGACTATGTTCACACGACACAAATTAGATGACAAATATTACGTACAGAATTCTCGAGAACCCGGCCAATTGTCACACTCACTCTCGGAGCCAAAGAGACCTTGTAACTCGTCTTCCTCCCGGCCCAGCTTACACTATCGAGCTTGTGAGAGTATCGTGTATTAAATGACGGTGTACACATGAGGAGAGTGAACATAGAGAGAGGGGTATAGCGGTGAAGGCATCTCAGGAGTACAGTATTCTTGAGGCAGCTGGTACACGCCTGTGGTGTACCTGGAGAGGGTGTAGTGTTACCAGGTGGGGCGAGGGAGGGGTCGTCACCTCTGCTGGGTTGAGGGAGCAGGAGGGGGGCGACATACACCTCATAAAACAGGTTACTTCTGTTGTATTATACATTATGAGTAGATGTTTCTCTCTACTGTTGTTAAAACATTTTTAGAGTAGAATTTCAATTTAAAATCATTCTGTATAAACGAAAATGATATAAAAATCTGTCTGGATAAGAGATGTGTAACTCCTTAGAGTTTTCACATCATTTTATCCAATAATGTTTTAGCGCGGTACTGCGCCCCACACCCTGGCAAGAGTACCATTGCAATGGCTCACCTCACAGCTGTTTCATCCTTGAACTCCTGGAATATTCTCAAAATTATTCAAGGAAGGACCATGTACCGATGCATACATAGTGAGTTATTCTGAACAACATTAATTCATTAATGTTAAGATGTGGTTTAATGTTACAGGGATGCTACGGCCAAGAGGAGACGTCAACCCAGGAGTCAGTCGGTGGGTTAACCCTCTCAGTAACACACGTAACCCGCACAGCACCTTCCCACACACAACACGATGCGTCAACACCCATATTAGGCTAATCAACCCAGAGTTAACACCCAACTCTTACACCTTTACTTCACATCAACGTTTGCTTAAATGCTTCACAATCAATGATTTACTAGATACCTCACAATCAACATTTCTTCAAACATTTCATGTCAACATTTATTCAAATGTTTTAAAATTAAACCTGGCTGAAATACTTCAGTTTCTCAGTCAAATTAGATAAAATGCTTATGTTAAGTGCTCGCTAAAATGCTTCAATCACCCCTAAAAATCCTTTACAATCATCACTTGTTGAAATGTCTTTCAACGAACTCGTTAAAGTCACAATTATCACTCGCTAAAAATTGTCAATCTAATATATACGATAGGACTAGGCGTGTCTGTCTGTCTGTTCTGGGCAGCCGAAACTGCACAATCGTTTTTCATCAAATTTGGTGGAAAAATCGCAAAAAATTCGTAGAGTGGAACAAACCTGGTCCCATGTCGATGGTTTCTTTAGGAAGGCATTAATTAATCATGCAAGTCTACCGACTTGGCGCACCCTCATTCGCTGTACGCTGTCACGAGTGTTCAAACTTTCACTGGGCACGGACGTGCCCGTGATCACTTGTCAATTCTCTATAAAGTTTGACAACAAACCCAACAGCTTTGTGTTGCAGTCAAGACTCACTACATTGTTTCTCAATTATCACTCAAATGTTAGAAAATTATCGCTCGTTAAATTATTTCACAATCAACGCTGGCTTACGTGTTCTAACGCAAACATTTCACCTTTTCATTGTTATTCACGGCTGAATTCTTAAACATACATACGTTATTTTTTCTTTAAGATGTGTTTGAAGATGTCAAATTGCACCACACTGCTGGCTGCCTTGAGTTAAAACACAAAAATAACATAAAAATCACCATCTACAGAACTGCAGATCACTTAGCCACTGTTATACAGCAGTTACAATAAACTCAGTCAAAAGATTGTATGCAAATATTGATGATTTTGTTGTGCATTAGAATAAATCAACCAATCAGATGTATTTTTACATCCATTAATTACATCATAGTTCAGTAGTTCAGTAACATTGACGAAAATCCGACCATCGGCTCAGGCTCGCTGTTTACTCAACAAATGGTCGCAAAACGTAAATTTCAGTCTTAATTTCTTATAACAAATATAAATTAATTAATGGACCCAATAATTTACTGAGCAATCAACCTTAACTTTCGAAATAAATATTCACAAGCAAACAGCATCATATACACACTGGTTCACACGAACATTCATTTGTAATCTAATATAGTCATAAATTATAATGTGTCTATTAATAAAATGTAAACTTAAGCAAACATTTACCTAACGATAATAAAAATGGTCAAATTAAACCCTTCTTTAGAAATCAGTGACCAAATGAACTTTTGAAAATTGTGGGTCTTGTTTAACCACCTTTGTAAACACTAAACTGAATAATTTATACCAATAATAAATATAAAACTTCCTAAGACATATCCCATCATCATAAACGTTATACTCACCACCATTAAATACAATTAACACCATTAAATTTACAATGAGCACCATGTCCATTTAGATAATTCACCACCAACGTATAAGCAATGCACTAACACCAGTTAACACTATCACCAGTTAAGTGTCATCACCACCTAATCTACCCACTACCAGTACGTGTATATCATCATACTACTTATTTATCACTACCATCCTGTATACACTCCGCGGACTTAATGATCGTTTACTTTCTTAAGGTAATTTCACTCGAGACGCTTGTTTTAATATATAGAACCCTAAGCCTGTGAAAGAACAAGGAAAAACGACTTTACTGTGAAAACGACAGGTAAAGCCATTCCACGACCTCAACACTTAAGGAAATGACAAATCCTTCAAAGTCAGAGAACGTTTGGAGTGGAGGACCGTGGTCGCCAACCCTCAGATATGAAGACGGTACTCTGGTTGATTCACTGGTCTATGATTTCAGAAGGAACGACCCACTGAGCTGTTTCCTTCACAGTCAGGATTGTTTTTTCCTCACATCATCGGATTTGAAGACCAAGTATTAAACTAAACATTGAAGTGAAAATGACGAAAAAATTATTAAGTTCAAACAGTGTGCATCTATATCCAGGTTGTGATACAGTATACCAAGACTAAGCATTATCATCTCTGTGTTCTGTTACTATGTGTCTGCTATGCTACACTTTTACCAGTCACTAGTGATGTTAGGAACTACCCAGTTTGATATGCTAGTCTTCTATGCTGCTCTAATCACCTAACTACCCCACACTACAGTATATTCTTAAAGTATATGAACCTAAACTATGCTATAACTTCTCAACTCTTCAAGCATTTGTCATGCTAACGTCGTGTACAGCTCCCTCTACTAAAGTATTTACGTGGAAGCACAATACAACTTCGAACTATCAAACTACTCGTATTTCAAAGGATTGCAGTATAAGTAGTTAACTGTAAAACTTAACCTAACTAGGAGTGGGCAAAGTGAGCAGCTGCCCAGGGGCCTCAACAATCTGGGGGCCTCCACATATTACAATATTTTATTTTTGTTTATTCATTTGGATTATTTTTATTTTCATTTTTTAAAATTCATGGGAATTTGTACACTATCAATATATTTACAGTTAATTAAAAATGTCTCAATGTTCGAATTTCCTCAATATAACTGCATATGGCTTCAAAATTCTCCAAAGAAGTGATCAAATTTCAAAATTTTTCCAGGGGGCTTACAGCGCCCCCCGGAACTCCCAGATGTTTAGGCTCGCTTCACTCGCCACCCCACCCTCTTGGGTAGTTATAATGAGGGGGGCCTCCACAAAGAGGCTGCCCATGGGCCTCCACAGGTCTAAATCCGGCACTGCATGGCAATCGGTTAGAACCTATACATTACGCTATTAGCTAAGTACGGTACATCTAACTTTGTTGCCTCTGTCTAAATTCCATAACGTTGAAGCTATCCACTGTATTACACTTCTTGTTCCTATTGACTGTAGTTTGCTCTCCTAGTCTACCCTACTTCATCTATCGCTAGTCCGTACCCACGATCCCATCATTGTTATAATTCCAATCAAAAAACACAACCAAAACTTACTCCTTAGCTATTTATCTATTCTATTCTAAAGTCATTCCAGTCAATTACACAACCCTAACCCATTATAGTTATCTATCCATTTTATCCATGTCATCACTCATGTTAGTTAGGTCTACAGACAACACTTCTTTATGCATGTTAGTTACTGCTGTCCCAATGTACGGATGTAGCCGCCACCAACTGGACGTCTGCGCGCTACTGAAAACATCAACACGATTCTCTACCTCAATGCACGGTTATCACTATAGCATTAAGCTTGTGATCATCTATTGATTTTATCGCTATTACTGTTTATTAAGCTTATTATAATCTACGAAGCTTAAATAAATAGTCGTCTTAGTAACTTGCTTAATGACCACACATACCGGAACTTAACCATTATATCCTGGCGGGAAGTCTTGTACTGGTCTATGGCGCCCTGGATGAACTGTTCGTAACTCTTCTTCTCCACGACGCTCGCCTTCATCTTGCCTTAATGTTCAGCTAAAATGGTATAAAGGAACGATTCTGAACGGGAAATAAATGCGTCAGTTCTGAGACCTTTGCTGAGTCGAGGCTCTCCAGTGGCAGTGCAAGGATTAAAATCTAGTGTTACGTTCTCTTATAACGAAATAAGGTTTATGGAGATTTGTTGTAACTTTCAGGGCAAAGTTATGGAGATAACCCCGACCTGTGACTTTATAAATAAATTATTAATCTTTATTCATATTCCCTTGACGCCACAATTACCGTGCACAGAATAATTTATTTATCAAATTTCACTTCACTTAAAGTTGTCACCATATTCCTCACTACAGTAGGTCCTGCATGACATGGCCGTAACACTGAGTCAGGTAGTGGTTGATGATGGGTGCCACAGCAGCGAGGCACCTCAGACCGTGTTGACAAAACCAGGTGAAGATGAGGACTAACCCGGCTCGTGCGATCTGGCCTTGCCCTGCCTTGCCAGTCTGAGTGATAACCACAAGTCTTCACTCAACACCCCCATGATGCAGTGACTTGTCAACAGTTTCAACGAATTTACTTATACTTAGATGGCCCAAACCTTATAAATATGTGTGTTTTAGTTTATTTAGCTACATTCCTTTTCGAAATTCAGTAAACAGACGTAATATTAATGCAAGATGATGGAATGAGTGATGACCAAAATGTTTCGTTCAAACACCCTATCACCTCTAAATACCTGATAAAAACCCATCAAAAACGACGTTCTTGTATTATGCTTTATACAAAATAAGAGCCGTGATTAATTAGTAAGGGTCATATCCCACGATGCCGCCTCCTTATCATTACGATCAACGAATAGTATTGACACGAGCAGCAGGCGAGAGGCGGGGAGAGTTGCCAAACAGGGTATAAGCGTGTGGGTGAACCAATGCTCGGAACTTCATCTCAGATCACCACACGCAACCTGCCACCAAACTGTGTGGGGGCAAATATGTGTAAACTGACACAACAAAATCATCATAAAACAATATACACTTCGGAAGAAAGACACAATTTAAATGTTTTGTATCAAGATAAATTTAACGATAAGGTTTTAACCTGCCACTGATTCCTCACCACGTTGTATCCTATCATGACCTTCAACTCACCACAACATAACCCCCTATTACGAACTACCGTCGACCGATATAACATAATTAACACTATATTTCCAGCGCACGACTTACAATAATGTTCTCAGGGCAGCTCAAGGTAACCTCCTACACACCAACACCCACACGGACATGCGAGACGGTGGGACGGAACATTCCTATTGAAACACTCGCCTCATTTTGGATACACTTCCTTCAATACGAACAAATCAAAACTCCCTTAGTGAAGAAACTGTACTGAATACCCTGACCCTTCTGGTGCCTAAATACAATAGAGGAATTATTACAAACGACCTTAATAACAGTTTCATCACCTCATCCCTCCTATGATGTAATACACCAGTTAAACGCAACTCTCACCACTAGTAAATATCAAGTATGATCTCTATGCTAGTATCCAACATACATACATTATTATAACATAAAGTAAGTATCCATAATTACAGTAGTACCATGATGGCCGACACTGATGCCAACTCACGATGATAGAAAGTGATATACAGTGATAACAGAGAATAATACCCCATAACAGGTGAGTGATAATCCGCGATAACAGAGCCTTATATGCCATGAGAGTAGGAAGTGATGATAGTACACAGTAGTACCCCCATGATGACACGGCAGTACCCCCCATGTTAACACGGTAGTTCCCCCATGATGACACGGCAGTACCCCCCACGGTAGTGATAACACGGTAGTACCCCCATGATAACACGGTAGTACCCCCATGATAACACGGTAGTACTATGATAGTACCCCCATGATAACACGGTAGTACCTACGGTAGTACCCCCATGATAACACGGGTAACAGTACCCCCATGATAACACGGTAGTACCCCCATGATAACATACCCCCATGATAACACGGTGAGTACCCCATGATGCTATAGTAGTGCCCCCATGATAGCCTGGTAGTACCCCATGATAACGGTGAGTACCCTGATAACAGTGAAGTACCCCATGATAACACAGTAGTACCCGCATGATGCTTACAGTGGTGATGCCCCCATGATAACACGGTAGTACCCCATGATAACACAGTAGTACCCATGATGATAACTTGCAGTGATACCCCCATGATGTACAGTATTACCCCCATGATAACACAGTGGTACCCCATGATAACACAGTAGTACCCCCATGATAGCAATTAATTACCCCATGATAACACGGTAGTACCCCCATAACACGGTAGTACCCCCATGATAACACAGTAGTACCCCCATGATAACACGAGTAGTACCCCCATGATAACACAGTAGTACCCCATGATAACACGGTACCCCCATGATAACACGGTAGTACCCCTATAACACAGTAGTACCCCCATGATAACACGGTAGTACCCCATGATAACTTGCAGTGGTACTGATAACACAGTAGTACCCCCATGATGTACGGTGAGTACCCCCATGATAACACAGTAGTGCCCCCATGATAACACAGTAGTACCCCCATGATGTACGGTAGTACCCCATGATAACACGGTAGTACCCCATGATAACACAGTAGTACCCCATGATAACACGGTGAGTACCCCATGATAACACAGTGAGTACCCCTATGATAACACAGTGGAGTGCCCCCATGATAACACATTAGTGCCCCCATGATAACACGGTAGCACCCCCATGATAACACAGTAGTACCCCCATGATAACACGGTAGTACCCCCATGATAACACGGTAGTACCCCCATGATAACACGGTAGTACCCCCATGATAACACGGTAGTACCCCCATGATAACACGGTAGTACCCCCATGATAACACGGTAGTACCCCCATGATAACATAATAATGTAGTTCTTGAGGAAGCTTATAAGAATGTACTTAAGTGCTTGGCTTAAGTTTAATCGTTAATATAACACCTGAAGATAAAAAGAAAACATTGGGGCCAACTTTCACCTACGTAGTAGGCAGCCATCAAACAGGGAGGTACAACTGCCTGGGAAGATATTGAAAGCATAATGTGTTGTCAAATGGTAGACCCTGCTGCTATATGGCATCACGAACATTGGGAACTTCCAGGTTGCTGATCAGTGATCTGACTTTCTGCCTCATTTACACACAATTGCAGAGTCTCAATTGTTTCTCTTTCATTAACAACGCAACATACACATCGTTTCTCTCTCTCTGATTTTTTTCCATTTTATGTGTTTTATTTTTGTTTTATTTCTCCCCAGGCCTCGATGTGGGTCGGTGATCCGTGCTGGGGTGGGCTAATCCCCGCGTAAAAAAAATGAATAAAATATATCAATTAATAAATTAGCACAAGACATGGCACTAAAACACAGTCTTTAAAGAATTTTGTTTTGTTAGTTTTGTTCCCTGACTTATATTAACTGAATTTAACTAGGAAAGGTAGGTGCTATTTATATGCTATATTTGAAACCACACAATTGCAGGCATTCTTAATATCTAGTTACGAGGAATCTACACCGAACGAACCTTTGAGAATATGAACCCAAGGTAGAGGGGTGGAGGCGGGGGAACACACGCCGATAATACAGACATCAGCACGTTCCTTACATATAACCCGGTCAGAAATGTACATCGCATATAATACAACAATTTCCTAACTCATACTGGTGCTTCACGTATTGGAAATGACTTAAGAATCGTGTATGTTTAGGTTTAATATGATAACAGGTTATTCATAAGACGTTGGGCGTCGTCTTGGTCGTATTAAGGTTCCCAACAAGCGGCGCGGAGTAAAGTACGGGCGTGAGCATTAATAAGTGAGCATCATCTAGCTTCCTGGACCTTCAGCTGGCTGGTGGGCATAAATAACTGAGTAGAAACTTGTGTTCTGTGCCAAGAAATAACTACAGTCCATTTTGTGTTGTTGTTGTGTTGTGTTAGGTTGTGTTAGAGGGTGTTGCTTCCGCCTGATAGTTGTCACTCTGTCCGTGTCCACAGCCAGTGTTACCACCAGGCTCAGGATGCATAACTGCTACCAAATTTATATTGAACCTGCATATTTTCACTGGCCAGTCCTGTCGGGATCAACCAGTCAGTTTGTCGTGGTGATTTGAATAACTTCAGCATAGACTGTTGTACAGCTTAAATAACGATCGTACTGTAGTAGAATGTGAAGTGCCTGTTAGTTCGCGTACAGTTTTCGTGACTTTCTGAATTATGTTGTTTTTTAGATTCGGAATGTCATCTCTGAAGGTAAGGTGAACTGAGTGGCACTGGTGAGGGTGTCGTGCCTGTGCCTTGTCATGACGCTTTATACTCGCGGTCCTTCACGCCCCTGACATACCCTAGGGGTGTGTAGGAAGGGAGAGTATGGTGTGCCGCATTATCATTTACTACTGTTTTTACGTAGAACAACAAAGCTAAATAATTTCCTAATATCACTGATACTGTAGTGGTGGAGGTGGTGGTGGTGGCGAGAGGCGTGCCTAGGCTGGTGTAGCGAGGATGGTGCCTGACTCACTGACGTCTCCTTGTGAACACTAATCCACACCACTCCCACGCCACCACACACCCTCACCTTGTACAGTATATAATTATATATAATATGACTCCAACACGTGTTCACTCCTCGTACACTGCCGACATATTTTTTTCCCAGAGAATTTTAAGTTTTACATCAGTGTCTGGCAAAAGGAAAATGTTTGCATTGCTAATAAGCTAAAATATTGAGTTGCTTCGTCCCTGCCATCAGCGAAATGCCCGGACCCCCCCACGAGCATCAGGCATTCATTTTAGTATACCTGGCCTCAGAAAAGCTTCAGCCTTAAGAGTATTCCCAACAAATGAAACAATCAAACGTTAACCAAGGAAAGGCCATCAACAGCTGTGACTGCACCCAAGTCGCCAGGTGACGCGCGTCGCCAGGGTAACGTCATTGAATGGGGCCCCTGAGCTATAGTTTATAACGTCACAATGGTCTGTCCTTTGTGTTTTCAGTCCTTGATCCGTACTGCCCCTGACGGCCACTAGTCCTATGGGGCCCACTCTCATAAGACTACAAGTTTTCGTACCATCATTATATATAGCTAATAATAATGTTATCATTCATACTCTTCACTAGGTGAGTAACCCAGCTTCGTCCTGGTTGGGGGACAGGAGATGGTGCACGACCAACCCCTAGGTCACCCGCACCTCCCTACCAAATTCAGCTCTCGATCGTCAAAACACACACACACAGGACCTGTATATACAGATTATTGTCTTACCTTCCTCGGGTAGTTCGTGTCTGGGCTCCTGTACGCCTCCATCTCACAGATCCTTTACGTAAATCCACAAGTTTGGTAAAAATCAAGTCAATATCTATAGTGATTCCGCGCACTTAATAAAGGGTTGTTTTCTTCAGGGTTTTCACCAATAAGTACAACTTGAGGAGGAACAAACAATAAGCGACTCTGAAGTCATTTAGTTATCACCAGAGGTTCAGAGGCCACGTCCTACTCGTTGTTTCCTGATAACCCAGAGTTGTTTATTCCATTCTCCTTTACCGGAACTATAGTCGCTGTACAAACACAAACATTTAAATCAATATCCCGGAGACAACCACCCATTATTGAGTCTGTGGCGACCTTATAAACATTTACCAGAATACTGATCAATCATCATATCCTTTATGTCTGAAGCGTCCACCCTGCACACCACAACCTCAACACACTCACTGGGCACCCTGCCACCCACCCACTGACCCGCCCTGCTTACCCCCTTGACCCCCCGCCAGGCTGTGACCATGACAGCGAAAGTGGTTCCATAGTTGCCAAATAGTCCACCTGCTTGTTGAATCTTTTCTTTAATCTTGTCAAATAGGTTTAATCAGTATACAATTAAATAAAATAAGTTAGGCTTTTCAAAATAAATTGTTTGAAAGCACATCAGGGGTAATTAAAACTTATTTTCGGAGATAATGATAACTGGAAGGTTAGAGGTGACTGCATGTTGTAACTGCAGGCGTTGGTGAATGTTTGTCTTAGCGAGTCATCACCATCCATAAACTGACCAAATATTTTACTGTGTATTAATTGTTAATAGAACTGACATTTGTTTTCTGCGTGAATCTATATATCAATTTCTTCATTATTATTACGTTTAATGAATTATAAAATTATGTGTCACCAATGTGTGGAAGAACTCCGGAACCTCGACACAGATGTTCGACACAATTTTGGGTCGATATAATTAGCAATAGATGAAACGGTACACTGAAACATCGATCATACAGATATTTTGAGAATACTGTCATATACTCTGAGATAGTCAGTGACTCAGTGTTGTTCTCATATACAATATAATTCCAATAAGTGTACAATCCTAGTACACTATCTACATATTTTCTCCTAGAAGATTTAAAGTTTTACATCAGCTTCTACGACAACGTTTGTGTTTTGTTGGGAAGAGACGCTTAATTGTAAGTTGTCTTTACAGCCTTAGTGACAATTAATCACGAACAACAGTGACAAGTACTGTACGTTGTTAGAACTTGTCTCAGAAAGAATAAAACGACAGTAGAACATCACCCACACTGTACAAAACACTGATAAACTATGGCACATAATCAGGAATAACTAATCAGAGTTACGGTTTAGATGATGGGGTATTAAGGCTCGGTACTCACACCAGGAAACTCGTACCTGACTGTCTAGTACTCTAGTTCATTTGTACCACAGGTGAGTCGAGCGCTTGTCAGGTGTACTCTGGCGACATGTGTGCGTGTTAATATTTCACCTCTAGGATGAACCACAGCAGTAGTTCAACACATGTAACTCTTGATTGACAATTTGCCAAAGTTCTTACACGAGCAAAAACTGAAGTAACAGCTGAGACATTTTGGGGGATTTTTATGTTTAAGAAGAAGTTCCTGGAGTTATTTATTATTATGTCGTGATATGTACAGTACGAGTTAACATTGTTCACTCTAAGACACAGCGACGGTGACTAAAGGATGCCACACTTAGGTACACGTCACATTGTTTTTAAGATCGTGATTTTGTTTATGTTGTTTATTTTCAACTAACTAACCAAACCAAACCTAATCTAGTCTATTTAGGTTAGATTAGATTAGGTTAGGTTTGATTACAGTAGATTAGGATAAGTTAGGTTAGACTGAAAAGTGAAAGTGAGCAGTGCTATAATTATTCAGGGTGATGATCACGGTTCAATTGTAAATGGTTTCGAACAGTATTCAGTAAGTTTACAGAAGACATCCTCATAATTTTTTTGCAGAGTGACCAACAGGTTTTCCCAAACAGTTATGGAAAACACGAGTTTATCATTTCAATTTTATAACATCGCTAACTGTTTATCCTTCCGCCAAAGATAGCTTCTACCCGGAGTCGTCACCGTTGGCAGCCTCGGCGCCATCTTGTGTCAGTACCAGGAGGCTGTCGGTTACCACGAAATTTCTGCAGCATTTCCATCAGGAATATTTTATCTTGAGATATACCTTTGAGCTTATTCTCGAGCCGCTTGATGGCCCCACTGCGGAACTCGAGTACCCAGAAGTAATAAAGGATGGCCACGACCAGTACCGCTCCCACGCTGCCAGTCACTATCACGTTGCTGAGCATAAACAACATCTCCCTGTAGGTAACATCATATGAGTACGTCAGTAAGTGATGTGGTGGTAGTGTAGAGGCAGAGGAAGAGTACAAAGAGGAAAAGAAAGTACTGGGATTCTATAACAACTGAAAATATCGTTAATAAAAACACATTAGTGAAATATATAAGAATGGACTTCCGGGTAAGATTACAACAAGTATAAATTTTATTACCTTAGCCAACGCATCCTGGCACCCAAGCTACAGATGTTGTAAGTGAGAGCATCCCAGGCGGTCTGCAGCCCTCTGAAGGGTCCACAGCTCAGGGACGGTGGGATGAAGACGAAAACAGTGATGGTAAGGATGGCGGCCCACACCCAGGATACAGCCAACACCACCATGAACATGGCCGAAGAGCGGGACACCTGGAACACGTGACTTGAAGGCTTTGTGGTAATTAATGCCCCCACGACGTCCATCCACAACAAGAGGTAAAGGGACACTAGCACCAGCACCGGCAGCAATGGCGACACGGGGACACTCAGCCAACAGATAGTCTGGAGGAAGAGGACATCAAGTACCCTGCCTGGTACGTCGAACTCCGGTAATAGTGAGATCTTTAGACAGGAGAAAGGCAGCGTAAGGAGTCTGTAGGCGAGCAACAACACGGTCACAATTACACGCATCGCGAAGTCCCACACTATTTGAGCGTAGAGTTTTTGTGCCAGAGCAGTCTCCCAGCATGGTATATCAAGGCGACAATCGTCCGACAAGTTACTGGTGACATAGATAAGGTGGGAGACCACTAACACCCCCAGAGAGATAAGACGAATAGAAATGTTACGAAGGATGAAGAGAAGCATCGTGATGCGGCTACTGTACTGCTCCAGCGACCCCAGTGAGGATATCAGAGAGGGCAGTAACAGCCCCAAGAGCCACACCGTCAGCGTGTCTAGGTAGCTTATCACCGATTCCAAAGTTTCTTGTTGCCATATTTCTTGTAAATCCAGTTTATCAACCCAATCTTCTAAGATCGAGCGATAATTGGTGACTAAAATGATGATTATGCATCCAACAAGCAGTACTGCAAGTATCACACAATTGACGACGAAACGTTTAATGAATAGTCCTACCACTTGTGAGCGGGTTCGCTCACACTTAGCTCGCTGAAATTCGTCCTCATCAAAAGCGGCACGAATTTCATTTAACAGAAGGCGTTTTTTGTTCATGACACATTGTTCACGCTGTAAAGAGAAGTCCCAGTTCATCAAAACCATCTTGGAAAAGGTAAGTCCTCCCCAGAAGGCAGAGTTATAACGGAGCCACTGACCGATCCGTGTCACTACAGTAACCAGTGACACCAAGAACACAGTCATCACGGCCAGTACCTGAACAGCTGCCACGGAGTATGTGTCGCCCAGCAGTAGCACGGGATAGAAGCCGAGAAAGAGCGGAGAGTACTCGAGGCAACCCTTACCTGATAGGAGCTGCGACACCCACCACGTCGCCTCACTGCTCCACGTGTTGTTGAGCTCAGCAGCAAGTGAGTCGAGGTAGATCAAGCTGCAGTTCCTCACCTGTGATCAACACTAAGATGAACACACACGACTCAACTAAAATAATATTGCATAAACAAAACAGTGTCTCAGAAAAGGGTGCATTGCACATATCAAGTGGGAAAAAGGTATGGTATAGTACAGGTACAAGGTCGACATATTTACAAATTTTGTTCAAGGAATCAACTAAACGAGGCAAAGCCAAATGGGTAGCCAACAAGTTTGTCTGAGTCTGTCTAGCACTTAATTAATTTTCTCAACTATGAAGTGTTTTCGTTCAAAGACATTGTGAAATATGAGGTCCCTGTTGTAACACAAAGGCTGGTGAGATGCTTGAAGGTACATGACGCGCACCTTCTCATAGTCGTCGGGTTTTCTCTTCTCCGGACGGATTAATCCCAATTTATAATTTTTTTTCTCTGAACTTCGCTATTGACTAATCAGCTGTAAATATTAATTTTCTGATAACCATCTTGCTCTAACGACGAGGCGCCTCCCTTTAACTAATCACAGTAAGTTTATTTGATTTTGGGTACTAAGTGAACATTCGAGTTGAGTTTCAGTGTAATTTTGATGCGTTTGGGGATATTATTTTTGTGTTCTTGCTGAAGTTAACCAGATATATTCTTACAACTTCAATAAGAGGTTATATTCATCGTGGAAACCCTTGTCAATGTGCACCCAGAGTGAAAAGACGCGATCATGAGATAAGCACCGGTTAATATGAAAAGAATACTTGATCTAATAAATAAAATGCATTAAAGTAGATCAGGGAAAGATTGTACATAATACGAAAATTGAGAAAGTTACTAAGGGACACCTGCAAATTGTTCATTTTGAGATCTCGTGAAAACTTTGTGTTATAGTGCGGGAAAATTCATACAAACATCAACATCCGAATTTTAGTATCCACCATTACTCCCCCCCCCCCCAACAATAACAACAACAACAAAATCACGTAAAAATACAATAATGTACAGAGAGAGACATAGAGAAACTTAAATGGAAACTAACTGACGATGGTACAATACCTTGGGATCATCGTAGGTGGGCAGCACTAGCGGGCAGTGGTGGTGGGTGTCAGTACTGCTGGTGGAGGTATTGGTGGTGGTCCAGCCTGCCGTCACGACGCTTGTGTCCTCCAGAACCAGCAGCTGGTACAGTGTAGGCAGCACCAAGCTGATGCACAGCACCACACTTATCACCAAGTTCAGGATGATCAAATCTCTAATAAGATGGAAGACAGCTACCCCGCTGGCGCCGAAATGGGCGTTGATTTGACGTAGCAGGACCCCCGGTACCTGGAAGAGACACCTAATGAAATGACGCGGCTAGACTGTACGACTCATACATGTTCACCAGAGTGACCAAAAAGTGCACAGTGCACAGGGGGCAGCACAAGAAGCTACCCTTGGGAAATTACCCTTTTCTACCAAGTTGATACAGCATTCGCCTCGTAGGGTCGCTGGTTCACTACCATCCTCACTGTTTAGCTTTATACAGTGACAGTAAATATCAAAATCAGACCAAAACAATGACATTTTTCACGAGTCTTGCGATAAGTGTGTGGGAACATATCCATTCTACCGCTACCAATATTTAGTGAGGTGTTTGTTCACATCGTCATCCCGCTACCAAAGGCTTAGGATGGACTCTATCCCAGAATATAAGCAGTACTGTACTGATTCCTGAACAAGTGAATAGCTATTTCCCCTTCCTAATAGCATACCTCTTGTTGGGTTATGTCTCGTCATTTCTACGAAACACACGACACAAAATACTATAAAACTGAATGTTAAAGGAAATCAATGACTTGTGTTTAGCTTGATATGGAGAAGAAATATCACAGTATGTATAGACAAGGCTACCCATGGTCATAAATGCCTCCGGGAACACCACCACGGACGAGATATTGTACAGTACATCCCTGGGCACAGGCCACGCTGCTCACTTTGGCACTTGACTTCCTGTGTGAGAGGCAGAAGTGTAGTGAGAGGCAGCAGTGTAGTGAGTGGCAGCAGTGTAGTGAGAGGCAGCAGTGTAGTGAGAGGCAGTAGTGTAGTGAGAGGCAGCAGTGTAGTGAGAGGCAGCAGTGCAATGAGAGGCAGCAGTGTAGTGAGAGGCAGCAGTGTAGTGAGAGGCAGCAGTGTAGTGAGAGGCAGCAGTGTAGTGAGTAGCAGCAGTAGTGAGGAGGCAGCAGTGTGGTGAGGCAGCAGTGTGGTGAGAGGCAGCAGTGTAGTGAGTAGCAGCAGTGTAGTGAGAGGCAGCAGTGTAGTGAGAGGCAGCAGTGTAGTGAGAGGCAGTAGTGTAGTGAGAGGCAGCAGTGTAGTGAGAGGCAGCAGTGTAGTGAGAGGCAGCAGTGTAGTGAGTGGCAGCAGTGTAGTGAATGGCAACATAAACTTTGGGCTACAACAAACAGACGGACTTTAGAGAGAAATCGTGTAGACTCTCTGTTAAAACTAGAACATTTTAACCATTCATTAAGACACTCACTAATGACTACACAACTAGCATGGTCTTGTCATGAAGCACCTACACACACTATACAGCACAGTCATATGGCAGCTGTATTATAACTAAGGTAGGGATACAATGACCACACCTGTAAAGTCGCTCTGTCACTATTGCACGTCCGTTTACCGCCACGCAACTGCCGCATGAAAGGTGTCCCTGCCCACCACGCTCGCCGAGGACACACCTGAGAACATCGCATTGTGAGGACGTAAATCATCTTATGGTCTTATCATGGAGGAACTTCTAGATATACTTTATACACATCACTATTTCAGAGAGCAATAAAGTACACTATAGAGGTGTATTGGACATCATAACCTAGTACCTAGTACCTTATGTATACCACTATCTTGAACACCTTCCTCGGTGCCTCACCTTCTTTATCTGTCGGAGGCGCTTTAGCTGCTGGAGTTTTCGGCAAAGGGGCATTTCTAGCCCTTTCACTCGCTTCAGGTCATCGGTCACATCACTAGTCTTCCCTTCTGTTGAGAGTTGGAGCTTTCTTATATAATCACTATACACACGTGCAGGAAAATAATATTAAAGATTATCAAACAAGTAGCTTTAATATTTACCGTCAAACGAGGCACACAACATGTTGAGGCAATGGTACACCTGTTCTCATACCAGCACCTGTCTCACCTGGGTAGGAGGTGCAAGTGGGGTGGGGGCAGGGTGAGGGGGATACTGTCTCTTCTCTCTCTTCTCCATCCACATCAGCTTGTGTATCACGCCTGGTTGTAGTCCACACTGTCGGTCGCGTAGTTTTCTAAGCCAGTACAGGTATACCATAAGGTTAAACGGTTGTTAGCCTATATTGTGTCTACTCTTAAACGTATTACACGCGCGTATCTCTTATCTAGGGTCAGGGTTCGAACCTCGGCCCGGACACACAGTGTGATCACAGATTTACTGGTCCCTCATTTCCTACTGTACTAACAATGAATAGACCAACCGCCGTCATCAGATGGAACCAGGAAAGGGTTCGGGTTTCGGCCAGTATACCATGGCCCTCTGACCCTTGCTGGCGTGGCCAGTGACCCACAAATGGACCACACCTCTGAATAAACCATATTACAAAAACTTTCATTGCATACTAAGTCAACCTTTTCTTTTTCTTCCAAAGCAGACACGTACCCAAATTTATTAAGAATAACAATATTATTACCGAGCATACGCCTCATATGTTTAATTAATCTATCCTTTCCTTTGAGTAACCCTGCCCTACCATGTAAAATTATTAGAATAAGAACATATTCTGCCAAATCTTAAAACTTGACCCTTTGTACCCAAGGACAAGGGTTTTAATTCACCACCATTCTTACTTTACGTAATATATAACATTAATCAAAACACATGCATAGTAAAAATTTAGGAAAATATATGACCAACTATGAGATACTTATACCAACCATTTCCAATACATGTATTGCTTTGAACTTTTGAAACTGGCATTTTGGGCACACTGTTCCTTCTTTCCCTTCCTTACTACTGACAAAAACACTGAATACTCCACCAGTAATACAGGAGTCACCAGAGCGAAAGTACCTTAGCCTTCATAAGATGCTTCTTCCATCCCAAATTGTAATGGGACGTTAGTGTGTTCACGGTGAGGCCTTCCCTTCTAACCCAAGACCGTGACTCCGAAAAGTGAGGGTGGAGCAGGGTAACACCCATGGGAGGTGGTGTGTTATCCTGGAATAGGTGGTGACAGGTTCCCGCTGGACGTGGGTGTTGTTGATAATGTGGGCTGGGATGAGCGCAGGTTGGGTTGTCCTGGTTGAGCGTCACTACCGTGTCTGCCAAGTGTTATAATGGATTTTAGTACCACATGACGAGACATAATAATTTGTCGTTTCGCATTGTGAACACAAAGTTAAAAGTAAATGATCCACAGTAAAATCTAGGCAGTTGATCCATTTCTTATCCAGCTTGTCTTCGTGGTATTCGTTAAGCAAAAATATCGCAAGACCATCTGGTCAATGTATTCAGTTTAAGAAGGCAGTTTTGGAGTTCTGTGATAAAAAGTACAAACAGATTTTCTCCTCTTTCCTGTTATTTGTGTAGATTTCTCTTAAACAGTCCGAAATATATCTTGCTTGAGTCACACTATTGTCATTATCATAAAGAATGGATCTCATATACCGTGATGTTTTTAGGTATTGATGACATTCCGTGACAAGACCATAAACGTCGGCTTATAAACACTTTCTACTGTGAAATCCTTGAACAAAGGAAGTGTCTAAAAAGTACAGTAGTTAAAACAACTATCTCTGCAGGTGGGGGTCGATATGCTCCGAAATTTTACGTGTGACTGGTGACAGCCCTCACATACCCAAATTTATTGTCCACATTGGCCGGATTCCTAGTCATTACGACGATAATGACGATCACGAGCATGATCACGATGCATCGTGTGTCGGAAAGCAGCCACACGACGCTGAGCAATACAGTATATTCCTAGTCGCTTACATGAGCCTGTAACATGGTCTCATATTGTTTCCCACAAGGTATGCACAGATAGTTGTTTTAGCAACTATACTATATATATATATATATATATATATATATATATATATATATATATATATATATATATATATATATATATATATATATATATATATATATAGAAAGAGAGAGAGAGAGAGACGAATACATGGCAAATATAAATCGTTATAACATTTTGGATTCCCCTGAAACCCCCACAATAGTCAATAAATAAATAAAAACTGTTATAAACTGGTGTACTTTACCGCACGGAAGAAGTGTGGTAGTGAGGTAGCCTGGGCAGGTCGATGTGTTCCGGTGTGAAGTGAGGGAGGGGGCCGGTGATGGAAGGAAGCTCGCCAGACGCCTCAGTTTGCTTAGCCTCATCCACTGGCTCTCCTCCGCCAACTCCCTCCATCGCCTCAGCTGTCAAACAGTCAAAGATTATCACTTGAGAGGAAATTATTGTATATTCCCGTGCGGTACAAAGACTCAAAGGTTATCTGGAGTAGTGTATCAAATATGTTCAAATTACCACTCAGTTATTTATAACTTCGCTAACTTAGTAAATTCTTACTAACAGTAAATCCTAACTTAATGTACAAAGTTTAGTAAACTTTCTTAATGTTTCTGCTATTGTGGTTTTTGTGTTTTACATAATACAGTACGATATATCACTTTTGTCTGACAAATTACGTAGAGCTCAACAGTTACGCCCCCAGAAAAACTAAGAATATGTAAAAAAAAAAAAAAAAGGCTCAATTTAGTATTATATTTTTTTTGGTGAACTAGGCGTTCTGATTTTCTCTTCTAAGCAGCAGTTATTTTTGCAAGTTTGGGGAGATTTTCTAGTGTATATTGATGTATTAACTTACGTTAATTAGCCTAGATCATACTAGATGGTGCTGATGGTGCTAGGATATTCTGGGCTGGAGTAATATACGCCAGAGAAGACTAGACTGGAATAATACATGCCAGAGAAGACTAGACTGGAATAATACATGCCAGAGAAGACTAGACTGGAGTAATACACGCCAGAGAAGACTAGACTGGAGTAATACACGCCAGAGAAGACTAGGCTAGCTGGAATAATACACGCCAGAGAAGACTAGACTGGAGTAATACACGCCAGAGAAGACTAGACTGGAGTAATACATGCCAGAGAAGACTAGACTGGAGTAATACATGCCAGAGAAGAAGACTAGGCTGGAGTAATACATGCCAGAGAAGACTAGGCTAGCTGGAATAATACACGCCAGAGAAGACTTGGTCTAGCTGGAGTAATACCTGTTGTCACCGCCACCTGTTGTCTGGAGACCTAGTACTTCACACCTGTTGTCTGGAGACCTAGTACTTCACACCTGTTGTCTGTGGACTCAGGGTGACCTAGTACTTCACACCTGGTGTCTGGAGGGTGACCTAGTACTTCACACCTGTTGTCTGGAGGGTGACCTAGTACTTCACACCTGTTGTCTGGAGGGTGACCTAGTACTTCACACCTGTTGTTTGGAGGGTGACCTTGTACCTCACACCTGTTGTCTGTAGGGTGACTTCTTCTTAGGGTCTTTGTCGACAAATCTTTCAATGTAGTGAAAACTGATTGCATGGTGTCGTGTCGTATCGTGGTGTCCTTCAGATGGTGAGAACGAGGTGTTTGCAGCAGCTATTTAGTGGTGTTGCTAAGGTGAATCACTCTACCATAATCTGGTGACAAAACATTAATATTAACACTAAACACAGTCAGTAAAGATCTACAGGTAATATGTGTGTATGAGTTCTTGCTAAGTACAATATACAGTATTGTATTCAGGAGGCCCCCCCCTCCAAGTGATGGGGGCCCTTACACAGACCGTACATAGCTGGGGCCGACCTTGGGTGCAAAAATCTAGTCACTTGCGCAGCATTCAAAAACTGCTGGAGATTGACGGTTATTGAAATAATTATTAGTGAGTGATTTTTCCTGCAGTTATTTTTTTGTGTGTTCAGTGGATAATGACTAATTGTAAAACAAGTATAATGTTTACTTTGTATTTCACGTATAACACCTCAACCATATCTTAGCGCTGTCCTGTCAAGCCAAAAACAGGCTTTCCAAGGGTTAATCAATATTAATGCATTCAAGCACGATACAAAACTTAATGACAAACTTATCTCGTCGAGAAAATAGCGAGCTGAATATTACAAATTTCAGGTGAATACAATGTCTTCATATTTGGAAATGAAACACTCATCTATTTAATTTATCATTTATACCTTATTTCAACTTATTAGTCTCCCAGATGCCGGTCTGTTCCTTGTTACCACCTTCAGTGTCCACTGTTAGTACCAGAGGAAACCTGTGATGTTTGGTAGTCATACTCGTGAAGCACTCATTTAACACATGCAGTAATTTAGCTCATCATACATTAATCTATCTCGTGACACTATGATAACAAGCCACTGATAATGTTTACTTTGTCATCTGTCACTGTTATAACACCTACCAACCAGTGTTGGTATCTTGAAAGAGCTAGCCGTCACAACACTTTCTGTCCTGTCAAGCTTCAATCTTGAGCTGTGAAGCAGGCTTAAGGACACTCAACTGAGTAGTGCCCCCTGAGATGCTTATAAACCTCAACTATCAAGTATAAGCTAAGTTGCTCCAATCTTCAGGGTAGCTGACGAAGTGCAGGCACCAAACATTTTCAACCAACTGACAGACATAACAGATGGGGTAGTACTCCGTCCTGAAGATCGTCACGAGGGACGGACCGTCTAGATATCTGAACGACCTTCTTATAAGACCCAATAATTTATTTGCCTGATTTACCTTCTTCTCACAATGGCCCGAGAACTTCAGCTCATTGTCAACATACACACCTAGGGTCTCAACTAGATTTTCTTCATCCCGTTGGGACATATGCCTCCTTCGTTGGTCAGGTGCATCCTCTTTTGTGACATTGAATCTCAGCAGCCAACCATTCCTCAGGTCCTTCTGCAGCTCTTCACAGTCCGCTTGGTTCTTAATTTCCCGAAATAACTTATCATCGGCAAACATTTGTATGGAGGAGTGTTCAGGCATATCATTTATATACACTAGTCTCCCAGATGCCGGTCTGTTCCTTGTTACCACCTTCAGTGTCCACTGTTAGTACCAGAGGAAACCTGTGATGTTTGGTAGTCATACTCGTGAAGCACTCATTTAACACATGCAGTAATTTAGCTCATCATACATTAATCTATCTCGTGACACATTAATTTTATGATAAAATAATTTAGATAATAAACAGTTTTATCTTGAAATTCAGTCTTTCAGTTCTTGACACAATACAACAGTTTAGTTCATAATAAAGTATATTTATTCTGTAGGAATCGTGTGAAGATTAGCCCTCAGCTTTCTTCACCTTATGAATAAACATCGATTTCTGGGAGTGGGTTACGTTAGGTTAGACTAGTCTTAGCACGGTTAATCTTAAGGTGAAATACATTTGTGGTACAGTGGTGCGGCTGGGAATGTACTTGTTCAAGGTAAAAATAGTTCTGATAAAATTTTTAAATTTACAAAAAATGTTTGAACGTGTCAGTATATGTCTAAGGTAGCCCCGATATATCTGTCTACTCCTGGTACATTGATATAGACCCAGGTACACTGATAAAGACCCAGTTACACTGATATAGACCCAGGTACACTTATAAATGATAGACTCAAGGTACAGTATATGGGTTGCGGCCATGGTGACAATGGGTTCCATAGGTTTGGTGGTCCGTTGGGGGCAGTTCACATACAGCATACTGAATACTAAACTATCGGTACACAAGGAGACAGACTGGTTGGTACAGCATTTGACCACCTCCCTTCCCACACTGTAAAGATAGATATTCATCACACCTAGTACTGTACATTAGTTTGAGTCCTAATTTTCGAGTCAATATAAACTCAATATAATTTTATAAATTTTTCAATACAAATAACAATTACCTATAACTCCCACTTTATAATACTTGTTCACATACTAACACAATGGTTTACTTACAGTACACTGGCCCATGTGCTGGTATGATATACTGTAGGCAACCAAGTTTAGGTCCGAGCACACTGATCTACCCCGAGGACTTCTGGCTTTTAGTACAGGTTCTCTTACGGCCTTTTTGGTCTTCAATTGGTCGTCTGTTAATTTATCTTAAACGGTGATTGGTCCATGCTTTACTTACCCGGGCTGTGATTGGTCATAGCGAACGCTTCCCCAACGTACTGTACAGTGATAAACTATCTCTTATATAAACTCTATCGCTGTGGTGATCACTTAACATGTATCAAGTGCCATGATCGACAGTACCATTAGTGAAAGATTGCATTATCTGCTGAACAAACACCTGTGTGGATGCCATTAAGGACACTGATATAGCAGGTAAAAGCAGCAGGTGGAGGATGTAACATTTGTACAGTCATTGTACCCCATTACTGTACACTATTAGTTTCTGTTAATTTTACAGAACTATAAAAAGGTTGATGTAATAGGCTAAATATTCATAAATTCCCAAAGAAATTTTTTTGTGATCTATATTGGAGATATGTGTTGCAAGGTGTAAGTGATATAACTAACTTCACACACAGTTATTACCTTCACAATAATTAATAAGTTACCTTGTTTCTGCAATGGAAATATACTCGTCTACTCATTAAGATATCTGAAAGTGCTTAACATTGGGTGGATATAGGCAACACATATGCTGTCATTTCGTTCACTCTTACTCTATAAGGGATGCACTCTGCTATGATGTTCCCTTTCCACATGAAGGCCTAGTTCTGGTTTACATCTGTTGCTTCACACAAGTCACCATCACACATCAGCAGTATGTTCTTCCCCAAAGATTACTTGACTTGACACTATGCTCTCTACTCATTCACGTACACTGCTGCTTCCCCGATGTCCTACCCCCTCACTTCTTGGTCCTCCTATTCCTCTGCTACCATTCACCTCTTTAAGATAATCTTTCACTTCCCATTCTCTCAATATGTCTATAACATCTGGTACACCCTTATCCACTGTCTGCCAACACTTCTTTCATTTCTTCTACTTCTCATTTCTGTATTTCTTATTCTCTGTGTTCTATTTACCCTATATATTGCTTTCAAACACTTCATTTATTTTGCTTCTAATAATGTCCTTTGAGGTGCTTATAGACTTACAGTGTCACCCCTTGCCTGCCTATAATATAGTCAATGTAACTACTGGCATTCTTATCACTCTCGGTGATATATCGTGGACCAGATGGTGTGACAGTACACCAACCGGGGAAGCATTTCACTTTTGAAGAGCATTATGAGGGATGGACTATCTAGGTATGTACATGTCCATCTCATAGGACCCACTTGCTTAGTTGCTTGATTTATCTTATTCTCACAATGGTCCAAGAACTACAGTTTGTTGTTAAGAACATACACACCCTAAGTCCTTTTCACACTTGGTCCCAGTTAACTAACATAAGCTCAGTGTGATACAGTGCACATATAGACTACATGTCTTCCTGATACCAATACAGGTACCACATGTATAGGTTTATATTAAAATACATTAATTTAATATCTAGTCAGCTTGTATTGAAAATATTATACAGTACTGTACCTAGTAATTTATGAAATATATTTATATTTTAATTAAATTTGTGTACAGGCAATATTTGGGTGTATTAATTGTGTGTACATGGGTACAGTATGTACATTGCTCTAATTGGAGGAGAGACTGCAAATAAGCATGGCGGCTGTCGCTGAGTCCCAAGTGTTCTGTATTGTAACTTCCTCCTTGTATTATAAATTTTCATATTTTTTATTTTTATTTAATTTTTTTTCTAATAAAAAATAATTCCAGGAGAGGACCAAAGAGCTCTATAATGAATCAGCATTATGTAGGGTAGGGCTAAATGGAGTATGACTGTAAATATTTGTGATAATTTACATATGAATAGACCCCAAGTCCATAATTTTTTACCATAATGGACCCGAGTCCGTTATTTTTTACTTTAACGGACATGATTCCGTAACACTGTTCATGAACCTAGTCCGAACAGGTCAGAGTGTCTGTTAAAGCCAAGGTCCATTATAGACGGTGTCCATTATATCTGGGGTTTAATGTACAGGAGCATTTAATTTTTTCCCCACAAAAATCATGAAATCTTTTCACTAAATCTACGACAAAATTTTTCAATTATATCCCAAAATATTGAATCAGCAAGGGTCCAGTGTACATGTCTGCTTGAGTTTTTGTTCGAGAAAAATTTCACTACAGAGGTAGTTTTTATCACCAAAGCTCGGTTATAGTATTGGAAATCATATCTTTATTGCTTAACTTTACAGTTTGTACAGTACTGACATACAATGCAATGAAAAATAAATAAAATAAAATAAAACCAACAAATTTAATCTTGTCAAAATATTCTCAGCACTTTGTGTATAACTGAAACTTTAATGTTTTCGAAGGAATTTATATAAATCCTGGAATTATTATATAAATTCAAAATTATGATCTCTATTACAATGTTGTATCACATGTAGGCTGCCCATCCAATGTACATTTGGCAAAGATTGTCAATAATAGTAGCTTCCTCAATGAGGGAATTCACTTGTCCTTCCACAGATAAAGGTAAGTTTGGAAGTCGAGCCTTGGTGCGAATTTGGCCACTTAGACGCTGCTCAATGTTACTGACGTGCATCTGGGCCTGTGGATGATTAAGCAATATCATTAGAAATATGCTGAGAACTATAACATTCATATAATATACTTATGTGTGTCTATGAGATTTGTGTGCATTTCAATCCACAATATCTGTGGTACACAGCCCCCATAGGCCCAGAGCATGCATTGAGCCTGAGTGTAAGATGGACAGAAAATCTAGAATATCTGGGATAGAGTTACTGATAGAAGTTTTAAAAGGAGTATAATGGTGAGAATGTAACTAGCATCGCCTGTGCTTTCCATGATTAATGATCCAGGTAAAAACTTTTTATTCTTTGTTTGGATGTCATAGGGGTAGTGTCACATATTCAACATAACTCAATATTACAGTACTGTAGTGCATGACATTACTTTTCTTGACAGAAAATTTTCCTTCTTTCACCAGATGAATGATGTCATTGATGAATAGGAACATAGCCCCCATTCCGTTAATTCTTATGGGGAAAAATTTCCTGCTACTGTATTAGCCATTTCGGTATTTGTCCCCTGTCGCTGATTTCTCCATTCTGAACAAATGCGTGAGATGGAAATGGGAGGGTAACAGGTTTACCCAAACTGGATTAACACAGCTGGAAATACAGGTCAGCACCCTGAGTACCAGACATCTGAGTAATGACTCAAATCTTGGAGAAAAAAAAATTTAAAATTAAAAAAAATCCTGGTATCTGGTGGGTCATTGTTTAGGTTGTGGAGCAACACAGCAGCTGCCAGCCCAGCCTACATCACAACAATACAGAATAACATAGGATTGGAACCCATTCCCTTTTAGTAACTGCAAATGACCCATGGAAATGAATGAATTCTAACTCCTCAAAAATACTATGTGTATATAGTTGAATACTTTTCGTTTTGCATGAAAATTTTATCATAAAAACATGAACTGTACACGAGTATATATGGAATACGGTACACATCCACATCATCCACTTTATCTGACACTGCACAAGGCATCCATCCTACGTACATGTTTGTTCTAGAATTTAGAACCTTACCTATATCTATTAACACTTTAAATAAAAAGCTACAGAATTTCCTGAAGGTATATCACAAGCATGATTATTTTACTTCAACTAATTTATTACGAGCTGAAATAAGCCACTCTGTGTTAGTGTAATATCCTGACCGTTGTTTTGAACAGTTCTGCCTCCCTGCTAATATGGACGACCGAATAATAGATTCCATCTGAGTAACGACATCACTGAGGCTTAATTAGTCCAGTACTTGGGGTCTTTATTGTCAAGGGAAAAGTCTAATGATATGGAACCCTCCTCAAGCTGCTCGTACTGTATTATGAGAACCGGCCAAGGTAAGGTCAGCATAGTAATGATGGGAAATATGACATGGCTCTTATTTTGGACTAACTACAATGAAGATATAGAACAAAGGTACATACATAATACAGTTGAGAAATATGAATAAGAACATGGAAAGATGATGTTTTACTCAATAAGGGATTTGAAAAAAAAAAAAAAATGGGTGATGCGATTTACCTTTTCATTATTGATCTCGCCTGTATTTTTTGCGCTCTTATCTCCCCGGGACCATTCCACAAGAGGATCGTAGATAAATGGCCTCAGCACAGACATCAGGGCTTCACGTTCCTCTCGCATCACTCGCATTGTAACCTGAAATTAAAAGTGCTCTAAAACAAGTGACATTTCAAGAATACAATGAAGGAATAAACTCAACTTTAAACTGTTAAATGAAAGCTGAATGTAAAAGAAGAAAAGAGGAATAGAGAATAGACATATGCAGGTCATCCCTTGCCTCCAAGAAAATTATATTTCCTCCAGGGCCAAATTTTTGATAAGTTGGTACAGTACATCTGAAAACCGTATAATAAAATACAGCACAAATTGTGGGTTTAATGTATAATGTCTTACCTCACAAGTCTTTCTATAGATGCCCTCATAACCTGTTGGTCCCATTGCATTTACCATGTTGTGAGTAAGCCGGAATGGTACACGTTCAGGCCAATCAAAGCTTTCACCCTAAAGGATAAAAGAAGTTCAGTTATTTTGTTGAAGATATTCCAGACTGTTACACAACTGAAACTTTACTTACATCTTAAGTACCTTATTCAATATCTTGCTTCTACTGTGCCAAATATTGAAAATGGGTGGGTACTATTTTCAATGAGAGTTAGTGATGTTGGTACTGTATGATGCAGGGACGTTAGTGGACAGTCTTTCTAAACAGGAGTTGACACCAAGTAGTGGAAAAATACTTCACATTATTAGTTTGACTGGGCTACTGCAACTAAGTTAGGATGCTGGTTCCTTCCCAAGATTTATCATTGATTTTCAGTGTTATGATATAAACAAGATAACAAGGGGTTTTACTGTAGCTAAATACATGTAGTACCCAAGTGGATATGTGACAATGCTGCATTTTTGGGGGAATGTAAACATGAGGAATTGTTTTTTTAATTAGCAAATATGCAAGTATGCATTTTCATGTGGTTAGCCATTAGTATGAATTTAGCATGTTCTTACTATCTTGGACAGTTTTCAGGCAGAGTATCTGCAGCTAATCCTGTCTCTTCTTCATTGTACAAAGGAATTATGGATGCAGGTGGAACTGGACAAAAGTTTGTAAATGTGACTCGTGTAGAGAAGAAATGTTATGAAGTGTGGACACTTGAGTACAGTGTGTAGGGTAGGCAGGATGAGTTGGCATATATTGTAATAGTTCTCTCATTATTTTTCTATCAATCATTCATATATCATTAATCTAAGTGATTCTCATGTTCTATTTGTGTGACTACTGCATGTTTATTCTTCAGGTAACTGTAATCATGACTACATTGGGCCAGGCACCTTTTGAGACAAAATTATAAAATCTAATTTTTCTCAAAATTCAAGTCAACATCAGGATTTCTTTTCATCATGAATGTGGATCATTAAAAAGCTACTCACCTTATTGAAAAGACAATTAAAGTCCACATGAACAGAATCTCCACACGAGGCATCAAAGAGAATATTTTCCCCATGTCTGTCTCCCAAACCAAGAATGTAGCCAACCATGGACATTACAGCTGTGGTACGACAGTAGCCTAATCGCGCCCTCAACCTTAAATGAAACAAAACGGTTTATAATTAATTAAATCTGTGTAGTACTTATTAATCCCTATCTAACATGGGAATCAAATAAACCATAATGTTATACAGTATTCTGAAAAGGGTTTCTCTCAACTGTTTTTCTGCTCCTGAAAAAAAAATGTAAATCAAAGCACAGTTTCCTATAGACACTCATTATAAAAGCCAAGATACATTCCTTTAAAAGAAAGCCTTAAAAGGCCACAAAACCTGTTTTTAACAAAATTCTGGGTTTACACAATGTTCAGAAGTCAATAATACACATAAGAGTAGTAAGTGAAATACAGTATATAGTGTAATAATTTTATACTTATGAGACACCAGATAAGATTGTAAACTGAGTAAAGATTATGAAAAACTAAGCCAACATCCACAATAAATATATTACTATAGTAATATACAGTAATATCTGATGCAGTTAATTAGTAGTATAGTATTGGTTTCAATAAATAAGGCTCAGTAAAGCCCTGGCTCGGATAAGCGATCAGTGGTAAAATTATTTTCTACTGTCTGGTTAAAATATTATTGAATCTTATAAATAATATTTTGTGGAATCTGATATTTTTACAACTTAGGTTCTGAGTGACAGCGCTTTATGTTTACGGCAAGAACAGAATATGGTTGCTCAGGAAATGGTAGCTGTTCTGTTGAATATATATGTTTGCTGAAGGAACTATGGTAGCATCATCACTGTTGGAGCAAGAAGCTAAGTTTTGTAACATGTGCTGAAAAAGAATTGCAGGTTATGGTACAGCAGTTAAAAAAAATTATATTTTAAGATAAATGTTATATGGAATTTAATCCCTTGAAAATATTACTTGCATGTAAGTCGAACCCCTTAGTTTTCCCTACAAATTTGGAAATATAAACCCATACTAAACAAGAATACAGTATACAGTATGGAACAGTAAATGCCAAACATAACATACACAATAATAACACTTACCATGCTTGAGGATCAGGGAACGTTCTAAGAAACCATGTTCCAAAGACTGGAGGATGTCGTGGGACCAGTGTTTTTAAAAATATTTCTCTCTTAGTAGCCAATGGTGTCTCGATTTTACACATATTTTGTTTCAACTCCTGGGCTGGCATGTATATACCCGCATCTCTATAAAGGCGATGAAGAATCTGCCGTAAACCATGCAGATTCTGGATCCATTCAATTAAGCCACATTCTTCATTTAATGGCACTACAGTCTAGAAAAGAATATTAATATTTCGATCATTATCCTAGCTATTATAATATCAATGCATGTATGAACAATAAAAAATCATCATATTTAAAAATGAAAAATATATCCTCTTTGTCTCCATATTTTGCTTGACAGTCTCATTTCTGTTCCAGTTACCTACAACTCTATAAAAAGGTTTATTGCCACTCATCCACCACCACCATTCTCCCCATCACTACAACCACTCTTCTCCACCAACACCATTCTTCTTCACCACCAACACCATTCTTCTTCACCACCATGAACATCAATAACCTCTTAATCACAACCTACACTTTCCCCCACCATAACCATTAATCACCAACACTCTACTTTACCACCACCATTTTCTCCTCATATTACTATAATACCATTTTCCCACCAAACTCTTCCTCATCACCACCATCAACTCTCTAGTTTAATTCGGAGGCATATGACCTAAGCTGTTGTGCCGCCAGGGATGCAATTACCACAGCGAATGAATGAATGAGTCAACCAATACCCCCACTAACATCATCAACAACCCTTTATCCCATCACCACCACCAACACTTTCTCACTACCACTACCATCACCAATATACTTCCATAACAAGAGATCTTAGGCTTTCAACTGGCTCAACCATGTTAATATTATCTACTCTGTATCTGTATTTCCTGGCTATATAAACTGTTTCAATACCACTACCACTAATACTCTCCCTCACAACTGTTCTCCCACAACTATCACCAACAACACTCTTTCTCATCATCCCCTCCACCACCATCATTCTCCTACCACCAATGGCAATAGCAACATATGGAGCCTTGCAATACATGAAATTTTGTTATGATACAGTTCACTGGGGAGCAAGGCATTGCTCAGAAATCACTTAAAAATTCTAGCCAAAAAAAAAAAATGGCAGCTGTCAAGCAAATGATAAGGTTGGTCCACACAATAGAGTGGCTGGCTGGGCTGTCTTTGAAAGTGTGACTTAACTTGGCAAAAGCTATACAGTACAAGAATTTTTTTTTTATTCTTGTACTAGTACCACCTGTCATAGCATTCTACTGCAATAAACTTAACCAATTGTGAGACAATGAAAGAGGAAAGTAGGAAAAATGGAAAATAGCTGTTTTAGCATAATGCTGTACAGTATTTTAAGTTATTATTTACATCCCGGTAGTTAAAAACTCACATAGGTTCTGATCCGTAGATCTCGTTTCCTGGACTCAGGATCCCGTAAAAGACATCTGTTGACAAAATTATTGAATTCCATCAGCCGACAGTCCTTACGTAAATCATCCTGAAAAATAATGGTGCTTGTGTTTATCCAGAATATATAACCTTTAAGAGAGTAAAACAAATAGTACACTCTACACTGTAATGTTGAGGGAAAGAGAAATATATATAAATATTTTGCTAGCCTGTTGTAATCTCCTGTTTGTTACTGCCAGCCATCATTATCATATTTTGTATTTTCTTAAGATTTATTATTGCTGTTCACCTTTGCTTCCCTTGATAAATGTGTAACAATTTGACAATCTACACTCTTTAGTAGGGTCACACAGGATAAAACTCTTATCACAAAAGGCCCAGGGATTGAGTCCAGGCCACACTGGTGACAGGCAAGTGTGCCACCACTATCACTGATATGGGTAATGACCAGGGAATACAAATGGCATTTGAAACTACCATCTAATACCTAATGTCTCCAAATGAACATACTGTGACTAGTACCACTTCATCCACTTCATCCACTTCATATAAAAATATCTGATAAAACCTCAAATGAATATACTGTACTGTATTAGTTAATCCCTGCAGATGCCAGACAATAAGAAGGAACTGCACACCATATAAAAATTGACACACCAGATAACAAACACCTGAATATTTGAAGATACTGTACCATATGTCACAACAGTCTACCACTCAACTAGCCACGTGACCTTACCTTCGGCTTACACATCATGATGTAAAGTTTGCCATCAGACCCACGCAGTGTAATCTTTTTGGGGAGTTGTAGAGACTGCATGATTTCTATATGATCCTCAATGCTAGACAAATAAACTGCTGCCCTGTAAGGAAATATTTTATTTAAGAAAGTACTGAACAGCAGCTTATATTCACAAAGATGGCTCTCATTCTTCTAATGTTTCTGTGATAATGGCAAAGTAAACCGATTGTTATAAGTGAACCCAACCATGTCCATAATGTCCACTACATCATGTTTAACCATAAGAGTTAGGATGCATCAGCAGCTTATCTTTCCAATGTATATCTAAGCCCATTAATTCTAAAGTAAAGGATTTTCAAGGATAAATATGTTGACATTTACTTAAGACAGATCACTTCACTTTGCCTGGTTACAGAAAACATAATAATTTTCTCTCCTCTTCTACCACATACCTCTCAGCTTTTGCTCTTCTATTTCTGACCCAGGAGAGTAGGAATGAATCTAGACAATTCACTCAGATGTGCACTTCCTCAGTCCTGCACAGTCATTTGAGTGAGACTTGGTAACAGGAATATCTATATCTAGACCAATCCAAAGTCTCTTGAACCATAAAGGAAATTATTTATTTTAAAGCACATCTGTACATGTCAGGTCAGGCAAAAGAGAAAGGACCAAGCCAGCCCTAAAATACCTAGGAAGCACCGATACCTAACCAGTTAACCATCAGGTACAGCAGGCATCATACTATGTGTGTGTGGGGACACTTGTTTAACTTGGAAACACCAGATAGTTGTGTAGTGGTCAAATGTACTGTACACCAATTTTATTGTTTTGGTCAATGATACCCTGAAATTCGATATTTCAACAATTGATAAAACTATCATAATTTATTTGATTTATGAAAAGATTAGTGAAAGACAGCCTTGCTATTTTGTTATTAAAAGCTGGTCTATTTACATTAGAGCCAATGATGAAAGTTGAAAAATTCATGCCAGTGCAACTTTGGCTACAAGGGTCACTTACTGTCCAAGCACACTTCAATGCTCTTAACATATATATATATATAAAGGAACTTACCTTGGAAATGGATTGTGAGAGTGGAGATCATCAAAGGATGTGGGAAGTGTTACTAACATTTGATGCTGAAGGGGTAGGATAATATTTGAAAAAGAAGTGTCAGACAGGAGCCGAGGAAAGGCACGAAGCAAGGTGTTGAGGCTGACTCGAAGCACACCCTGTAGGTAAAGTGTGTGTCAAGTAAGGTAACATCTCAAAGTTCTTGTATTTCAAAGCAACATTATATAATATTTGTGTAATAAATTAAAAAATATAAACTAATACTTTACTGTAATGTATATTAATGCCTCAGAAAAGTCTTAATACTAATGACAAATACAGTATTAAGGTTGTAAATATTTTAAAATACAGGTGTACCCCAGAAACCAACGTCCCCGGCCTCTTCTAGCGAGTGTGACCATTTCCTAATTGAGAAAGAAATACTAAAGATCTGATGAGAAAAAAGTGAACTTTGCTGAAGCCAGAAACAGAGCACTGAAATATATCCCAAGTCAAGGGTAGATGGGAGTTTTTAGAGGGTGGCCGGTTCCTAACCCCTGAATTTGTAATGTACTTGTGGGATTAATTGCTTTGATAACCATTGACTCACTAACCAATGACTTTTCCCAGTCCCTATATGCGTTGGTTATCGGGGTACACCTTTACTTGTTTCTGTGATTTCTTTTGAAGTTGACATAATTGCAACCATTTCCTCTGACAATCTACAAAAGATTTAATTTATGGGAAATATCTATATATATACATATAGTAGTAAGAAAAAGTTTTGCCAGTCTAAAAACTGACCTTCTCCACAGGTTTATTTGAAAGTTCAAGAAATTTATCAGCTAATTTAGTTGCATCTGTGATGAATTTTGATAGCTGTGGGTTCATTCTCTTTGCTGCTTCAAAAATCTCGATACATCTTCTTACTCGCATGTGATATGAAGACTGAAAAAAAAAACCAGTTTAATTTGGCACCCTGGATCATGAACTTATCTGACCGCGAAACTGAAAGAAAACATTCACCCACCATCCAAAATCCTAAAATAGAGATACTGTACTGTACAAGTATACTAGATGTATCTGAGTACATTTACCCAACTAAAGATCCCATTACACAATATTTGGCATGCTGCTCCTCCAATGAAACCTACAGTACTCATTTTATCCCTTAGTCCCTGCAGCAGTTCTATAGATTTTTTGAAGATCTCGTCCAGATAATGTACTGTACAATGTATTCACATTTGTTACTGCTGATGTAAATATTATGGTGTCATTGTCAAAGCACAAATACTGTACAGTAATATCTCCTACAATGATCAAGAAACATCATGGTTTGGCTGCTTACTCAGCCCACCCATCCGCACACCCTTGTGGTGAGCCCAGACTGTCCTCCCATAAGGTAATGTAATGAAGTCATGCAGTATTTTATTACTGTTTTTAATGTGTTAGGTAGTAAATTACAGTAGTTGTATACAGTATGTACTATTTATCATTAATTAGGTTGGTTTTTTAGTTGTTTGTGAACCGATTTCATGTGTTTGGGGTATAATATTGTTTTTTGTCATTGGGAACAGAACCCTATTTTTCCCTATGTTCTTCTAATCACTATACAAAAATTCACTTAATGAATGGGTTTTCAAGAACCTGGTCCATTCAAACCCCCTTTTCCTTTTGAAATAATTATTGGGCAATTGATTTTAACATATTTTTTTGGCTTTAGCGACGATGGCCTTCCCCAAATTATTCCATTATCCTGAGGGTTTACCGCATGTACTTTACCCTCAACTTCTGCCTCCCAATTAAATTCATTTCTAAGTTTAGGAGACTGTTCAGAGCTGAGAGGAGGGCTGGGTATTGAGAGCATAGGCAAGGTTTTGCACTAAGGTAGAATCAGATGGCTTGGGTATGTGGAGAGAACAGAGACCTACTGGATGAAGAGATACACGAGTTTGACTGTGGAGGAGAGGTGAGCTAGGAGAAGGCCAAGCATGACATAGGGAGAGGTTGTTAGAAATTACCTCAGAAAGGAACCTGACATGAGAAGCTGCAAGAGACCATACATTATGGAGTGTTGCCATCAGATAATCACCGCTAACCCGAGCAAGCGTAAAAAATGGCCACAAAATGATGAAGATGATGATGTCCAGTGATTTCTACACACAGAAGTTATGCTTAATTTGCAAAAAGTTTTTCAGTTTTATATATACTGTAATACTGAAAGGTGTTTGTGACTAGTGTAAAAGATACAATAACTCTGATATACTGTAGTGGCCATTATAAAGGCTACTACTATCTACTTAATCACTTATCTATACAGTACTATATTAAAGCTCATATTGGTTTTAGTTAAAATGCCAGAGGGCAGTCCATAACTATGTCAACTCTTACAAAAATAGTGATAAAAGAAAAAGAAAATTCACAAACCTTTGATACAGCAATCATGTGCCACATGGCTTGTTGTGGGAAACTGCTCAGCATGGTGGCAATTATTTTGCATAACTGTATGAAGACACTATTGTTAGAGTGGCAAATACGAGAGATCAGTTGAGGAAGAGCTGTCATGAACATGTAGTGTGGGAGATGATCCACCAAATTCCCTGTAGAGGCAGTCATCAAAAATAGAATACTGTTAGAGATGAGACTTGGTGATATGAACAAAGTATTTCCTTCATATGGTAAATTAACAAATCAAAAATATCTTTAGCTCTCAAAACTGTAGTACTGTATCATATTAAAATTACCACTAAACTCAGAAATTCACATGGCTTTAAACTGTCAAGAAACTAGGAACTTCAGTATTAAATATCAAGTCATTCAGGTTGGACCTCGATTTAACGGCACTGCATTTACTGGCAAAATTTATAGGTCGTGAATTTTTTTAGGCCTACTGTACTTGTAATTTCCACTAGTTCCTCTACCTGTTGTAACGCTCCCACGGTTGGTTCGTTTTGGCATTGAAATCCAGCCAGTGCTGTGCTCGTGTAATCGCCTTAAATTTCTACATTCTTTGCATCAATTATGGCCTCTAAGCGACCAGAAAACCCTACTGGAGTTGCTAGTCAACCAAAGAAGAAAGGTTCCCTGAACGTTGTGCAGAAGGTTGAAATATTACAGAATCTGGTGTTGGGTTAATAAAACATTATCAACAAATGTTTAATTTTCCCCCAAATCCCTCACTCAATCCCAGATGAGCTTTTGTGCTGTAGTATATTCTCGGTCTCTTGTTTATAGAGTGGTAACAATAACCCGCTCTCACTAATAGTGTTACCCACCATCTCTCAAGCAGTGTTGTTGTCACTGCTCAAGAGGGCTGGTGCTTACCACAGAATCTGTCTTGAACACATAGTAAATAATAATGTAGTGTATTTATCAGAACTTAATAAATATTATTGTAGTGTATGATGCGTCCCCATATACCCTGGTTTATCATCGCCAGGTCACCTCACCCCTCGCAGTGTTGCATTTATTTATCACTATTACAGGGTATTTACTTTATTGTTACTGTACAGTATGCATGTTTAGAAAACATTTTTGTTTCCACAGTAATTCAGTAATTATAACTACCTGTACATTATTTTATGTGGCAGACAAGGCAAGGCGCAAAAACTGAAAAGAAAATGAATGAATACAGTATATCGAACACAGATCAGCTGGGCAGTCAACAGCTGACTCAGACATTTGTGTGTGTGTTGAGACAGAGACACAGTTACAGCTCAGTGCTCACTGCCTCCACACATTAGTTCACTTCCCACACATACACACCCAAGCACTTCTTGTTTATTAGTTTTATATTATATTTTCTTTATTCATAAGCCACATTAAAGTATTGTAATTTTGACTCTACAGTATAGTAGAGAAAACGTTTTTACTCGGGTAGACTATAATATCCTGAGTGAATTATACGTAGAGGAAACAATTATTTGTTAAAATTCAATAGTTTTTATTACAAAATAATTACTCCATATAAATATCATCACTATCTCTGAAACTTTTATTATTTCTAACCTAAAATATTATGACAAATATGATAATCTTGGAAACTTGAAGCAATGGTTTCATCAGTAATGCTCCCCCCCCCAGACATTGATTTAACGGTACGGTCCAGGTCCCGTCGATGCCGTTAAATCGAGGATTCAACCTGTACAAAAAATACAGAAAATAAAAAAGTTGTGTTCTCAATATCAATCAAAATCATATAACCATAAAAAAAGAAATTTTTCTTACCAACATTTGCATTCAGATTGGCCAGCTTTTCACGGTAATTGTCAAGGATGATATTCTTTCGGCCACCTTTCACCTTTCCTTCCTTTGCCTCAAGTTCACTAACTCTTGTGCCAAACTCAAGCCACAGGCCCAACATTCTTGGCATGGACTGGTAAATGTGGCGGCAACCATACTGGAGAGATTTCCCGATACTACGGGAAGCAGTTTGTTACCTTCTTGTCGAACTTAATACTTAAGCTAAGTTTATATCCCCTGAGGCAGAAATTGCAAGGTATACAGTATTACTGAAATCATATTTTATAATCAAGCATGGACGAGATAACTCACATACAGTTGGCATCCACCTGTACTTTGTGACATTCCATGGTTGCAGAGGACTCGTGCCATGTATGACTCAAATCACTATAGCCAATAAAAAAAAGGTACAATATGTATTTTCTTGATATAACGAACTACTGTAATTCGAGTCAACCCTTTTCGTTAAATTGAAATTTCCGCTAAATCAAGTTTTCCGCTATGTTGGCTCGATTTACCGAACTATTTCACTAAATCGAGAGTGATTTCGTTAAATTCCACGCCAAACATGCCACGCGTTGGGTTTGTTTACATAAGCTCAGTTTGTGTCCTGCTGCCACCGTGTGTGTTGTTCACTGCTACCTTTCGGTCAACTAACTACACTGGAGCACCTTAGCTTTTGTCTTTATTCAAGACATCTTCAGAGGCAACTGAATTTACAGGGAGATAGAGAGAGGCTTATATACAATAGGTGACCTTACATAACATCAGGCCAGGTCAATAACATGGGATCCACTAATCCACACAACACCTCCACCACAAATGAAAGAAGAGCTTATAAAAAAAATGGGTGACATAACAACAGGTCAGGTCAAGTCAACTGAGCTTGATTCAACAAATTCAAAGTAATCTGAACATTGTATTCCCTTTTGAGCTTTGGTGAGATCAAAGCCTTTGGAAGAATCTTGAGAAAAAGGGGAGAGCCTATTTACTTTAGCTGGTTTGTTATAGTTAGTTCAGAATGAGAAGTTCTTAATTAACATTTTCAGAGAAGTGCAATCAACTGACAAAATGAAGCCTAAATTATAATGCTTAGGGGATCACCTAGTTTTTGTTGGTTGCAGAGTGACCTCAGATAGAAGATTTGGGGAAATATGACAGAAAGTCAGAAATAACTTAAGCAGTTATGATAATTCTGTATGAGTTGGTTGTATGAAGCACATGCACACACTTGATGTACTGCATGCGGAGCCACCTGCTTCTCATTCTCTTTAGGTATTATATATTTTAGGAAAATTATCTGCAGGATGTGTGAGAATATATTTTGTTGGACCAGGAATGAGGAGGAAGAAAATTATTACAAAATTTTCAATGGTACTGTGAATTAAGCCAATATTACTAACCTCAGAACAATATGATGAATCCAATCCACTGGTTTCTCCTTCATATCTAATGAAGCAAGTATACGATCATAATACATGGCTAAGTAGAAGTGTCCGTCTTCCCACTGTTTGTTCATCTCACATGCATCACGATAATACTGCTTCACCGCATTCACCTCCAGTGTGGCTGATTCCTCGGAATACCTTGCAAGGAGTAGTTTGGCACGTCCACAAGTCTGTCGTTTTTCCTAGCAATTACATCAGAACATTATTTACAAATTTAACATCTTTAACCGCTTTAACATCTGAAACCTGATCACATATTTCTAACAGGCTCAAGGTATACTTTATGTAAACTCACGTTGTGTAGTGTTTACTGTACAGTAGGAGTACCTATATGATTTTTTTTTACAGTGATACAAGGAGTGTATTTTTTTTTCAGTATTCTCAGTGCAGAGTGGACAATTTCACTGTCTTCGCTGTGGCACATAGCTCCATTCATGCCTGACATGCCTATATCTTACAGATTTTTTGTTTTTTTAAATAAATTTATTTAACCAAACTTTTATATAAACCATTCAGGATTATTCAGGTCAAAAAAGTTCTAACTTAATTAGAGCTAATTTTATAGATTCCAAAACCTGTATTAACATTTCTTAAAAAAATAAATCATAAAAGAATTGAATCCCCATCATTTTATCATGTCAAAATATTTTGTTTAAGGATATTTTATTGGAACAATCCTGTAGAGAATTTATTCAAAATCATTATGGTATCAAATTCATCTCTCTAACACAATTAGAATAGATACTGTGAAGAATAGTTCATACATTTTTTTGCTAGCCCAAAATATTTTTGCACATGCCCGCAGTCTAAATGTATTGGGAGAGCGATGAGATATGTAGTTTAGAGTCAAAATGAGATGCAAAGTTTAGACTCTTGGAACACTTTCCCTAGCACCTAGAAACATTCTGGGGATGTGGGATTCTTCTGGGTTTGAGTCGTCTCATGACTCGGAAATCTCTCATACCTGGAAGAGCTCGACATCAATTGTTCCGGATAACAGGGATATCACCGCTATCCATGTCAACATGTCAATAGATATTGCTGCTGGTAGGCAAAGTCAGTGGGCAAAAATTTTAAGTCAATCTTGCAATGTCATCATGAATGCATATTGCATAATGGGGAGCCAATTCTAGCACAGAGGTCACCAAGAAAACTGCTCAGGCCACGCAAATGTTGTTCAGCACGGTGCAGAGACTAAAGCAACAGGCATCTGAGTGTGAAGCCCACTCCACATCATTACCCGATTACGGTACATAACGCCAAGAAAGTACGCGTAGTACAGAAAAAGCTAGAAAATTTGACAATGAGTGCATCAGGAAAGAAATTCTATCATTTTACGAGAAAAAGTGAAGGAAAATCCAGTGAAGTTTGAAGGTGGGAGGACAACACTGTGGAAAGTTGTTTGAGAACTTGGGTTTAGACATAAGAATGTGAAGTGGTAGAGCACTTATAATGGAGAAGGATGACATAGTGGTGGTAATGAACAAGCTATTACCAATTGATGGCCACAGGTGTTTTTCAATGAAATTGGGTAAACCACACTAACACAAGCATGCAATGGAACACTTGTAAATGAAGGTTTGTTAATTCACTATAATGATTTGTACCTGAATTATTTGTTACTAAATCCTGAATGTACAATTAGTAAAATGTATTAAACATAACACTATTAGTGACTGAAACCCTAAGAAATTAAAAGATAATGAGCGGACAAGGGTGGAAAAAGATAGTAGAGCTCTGTGCCTAAGACAAGTGTTTCACTAGCGGTGAGTGGTAGGTAACCAAATTGGCCCCTACATCGTGACACTCCTACCCCTCCTTTAACCAGGTTGTGTCCGCCAATCATGAACATCCTTTCTTTCGTCCCAGATGTCTACCTTAAATGAACAGAGTATAGTAGGATCACACAAAGGGAAACTGACTGTTCCAACCTGCTGACGACTTGGACTGTATGGGGAGATTTCATATAAACTTCAAATATTTTGTTCAAGTGGCTGGAAACTGTTCAAAATTTCAGATATTTTGCCCAAGTGAAAAATGTACTTTGAATTAGTGGAAGCCAAATTAGTGAGGTTCTAATGTACTGTGATCTTACCTCAGTGTCCTCACCGACAGCCCCTTTGTAGCTCTCTGAAGAGGGGAAGAACTTTTCAATACCACGATGAAGGGTGGTCACAGCTTGATGATGTTCTCCCTTCACCCAGTGCCACTTTGCTCGTTCAACAAATACGTCACGACCAAATCCTAAAGTAGATTTTAAGGAAAAACATGAGGACTATTTCACATTACCTGAACGTGGGAAAACAATCACTGCATGGGCATACTGTACACAAGTGTCCTACCTTAAAGCCTTTGCTTTGTTTGAGTGACACCATACTTGGTTTGTGCAGTTTTGTAGTTTTACACTTATCATTCATTAATTTCATTTGGTGAAAAACAAAAATTACATACTGCACTGTGATGTACTATTATTATTTACTCTCTATAATAACAATTTATTCATTTATATTTTGATAACTGCATATTAATTACCGGTAAAGCTTTTATTTTAAAAATGTGGTTTTCTCTTGGGTCTGGCACCAATTAATTATTCATCACATTATTTCAATGAAATTTATTTATTCTATTTACAAACACATTTTCAGAACACATCAAGTTCATAAACTGAGGACTGACAGTATTTAGTTTGGTCAGCTTTGGTTGTGTAATGTGTGTGAATATCAACCCCCTACAACACTGCACTTCACTATACAGTGTAACCTATCACATTACCCATCATTTTCTGAAGAAAGCCTCCCTATCATAAAGTGAGGACTGGCAGGAGTGATCATTTGTTTACAATTTCTTTATAATTTTTCAGAGGTGTTAGTTTTCTGAGACTCCCAAATAACTGATTTGTAGATTTTGTGGTTGTACTGTACACAACACAGTTCATGCAAGAAGAAAAAGAGAGACTGATCAAAAATACAGATTGTATCAACATTTATAACCAATGATGAGTACTGTAGAGTATAATATTTCAGCTACTGACCTGCCCCAAGAAGAGCCCACTCTCCCTGTTGAGTGTATCCTGACTTGCGTGCCACCTTAGCACTATGGAGCCACGTACGCTCCAGCTGTGCAGCCAGTGCAGAACTCTGAGCTGGGTTGCTCTGTTGCACCCACTCTCGGCCAAGTTCCAATAGTGTTCTAGAATGAATTTTGAAAGAATCTAAATCATTTAACTTATTTAATAATATTACTGATGATAATAATAATAATAATAATAATAATAATAATAATAATAATAATAATAATAATAATAATAATAATAATAATAGTAAATAATAATAAGAAGAATATGAGCACCTTGAGATCAGACAAAACCAACACTGTCTCCTGGTTTATGGTTATGCATAAGAGAAAAGACGTCTTGGTTTACTTACCTTCGGAAACTGAGAATAGGTTCTAGGTATCGATGAGATGTTTGGACCAAGCCTAGTCGTTTGTCCCATCTTTCAGTCAGCTCATTAAGATTAAGGGGTTGATGGTGAAGATCTAACTTGCTCTTGGTCTCATTTGTTTGGTTAAACAGTAGTAAACCTGATACCATTTCTTCCAGTTCCGTCAACATGTGAAGTCTAAAATTTATTTCACAATGAGAATTTTCATATTAATTAAGTAAATTTTTGAATTTGTCATCAAGTTTGCAGTTTTGATACGTGGTAAGATTAATAAGAATTACAATACCAGTACAGTATATAAAGTACAGGAATAAAGGATAATTACATGTACAGTATAATTAGTTTTATATCAGGGATAATGGCTGGCTTGGCAGCTGGTGATTCCAAATTAAGTGTTAAACATAACTGAACAATTTAGCTGAACCTTAAAATAGTCAACTATGAAAGACTGATTCTGAAATCCCAAGTTATGGCTGAGACTACAACTGGGTAGCTTTTAAACTATAGCCATAGGTCTGGGATGTTTATGTGGGTTTAACACTTAGATACCTGGGACTAATGCACGGCTCAGTTACGTTTCCTTACCCCTTATAAACTACAGTACAGCATCATTTAAGGGTAACTGTGCTAAACTACTTATGTCTACAAGAGTATAATGGACATGAATGGAAATACAACTGAGGCAATCTATACTTATATTACTACATATGATGGTGGACTACTCTAAGAAGCTGAAATGCTTTGGTTATTATTTTTTTGCCACCCCTAAAAAAAAAAAAGAGGAAAATCACAAATTCCTGATTTAATAGTACGGTTGCATTCTTAGCTTATATCATTCTCTGGCCAGAACATTCTCTGGCCAGAAACTAATCAGTTTTTTTTCTCACCTAAGAATGTGTGGATAGGCTCTCTGGTAAGCCCACTTCTCCATACTTGCTGCTGAAAGTGAGGCGATCTGTTGAGTTCTTAGTCGACGCAGACTATTCTGGTATGCTGCAGAGTCTCGTCCTCGAACTGCAAGAAGGATCTGCCCAACGCCTACGCCCCAAGATGCTTGACTGGGGTTTGTTTCAAGGACTTTCTCAAGTTGATCCCACTGGCCAAGTCTCCAAGCGGCCTCAACGCGGTACTTATTCAATGAGGCTTCCAATTCAGGCCTAAGATTTATAACAAATACTACATGAAAGAAAATCTTGCCACCATCACTTAAAATAATGATTGGTATATTATACAACCTTTATTTTAGAATTCATATGATTCATGATCATAATAATTACAGGCATTTTCAATGCTTGCATGGTGGGGATATATGTCCTTACCTGATGGCATGATGTCTCAATTGCCATCAGGTAAATTTGAAGAATGTTTTACATATGGATGCCCTTATTGTTGCCAATGCATGATTATGTACTGAAATCAGAATTTAGGACCCGTTTATTGCTACTGTACTTAATAGCATTGAAAGAAAAATGTTTCTAAGATTTTGATTTGTCCCATGTCCCCAAATGCAATAACAAAAACTAGCAATTTTATTACTGGACACTTAAAACTAATATTACTGCCTCTACCAAGAACAAGTACGGAGTGTGGACCATGGTGGTTATAAGACCCTGATTCAGCTCCTGCCACTTGGTCAACCAGATGATAAAACATTCAGTTTACACATGTGTATTAAGATGATCACCTGTTGGCAAGTAGCCCATGGGTTATGTTGAGGACTGAATGAGGCTGATCCAAACTTAAGTAGCATTCCAACAGCCCCTTGTAAACCTCTTCTGACCCTTGAGAGACGCACAAACGTTCATAACATCCTAAGGCATCTTGTAAACGACCTGGGAAGGGGTTATATGAAGAATTAATTCTGCAAAATGATATCAATTGTCATTGTGGTTATGTTTATTTTACAATAGAACAGAAGGTCTTTTACTACAAAATGGTTCATGAGTTAATTCTTAAAAATATGTATAACAGATGCAGGATAAGTTGTCAATAAATCAGCCACAAAAACTGCAGCTGTATATGAACTTCTTTAATCAAACATACAAAAAAGATGTTCCACATATGCACTGATGATCACAACACTATACTGTGTGTGACTTAATATTTCACTAATTCAAACAATAAATTTGTGTTAAACTTTAGGATCATTACCTGTTGCTTCATACTCAATAACTTGTTCATCTAAAGACGTGTCCTCCCGTCTGATGGCTGCCACGCCAGCAACACCATCGGGCTCATCCAGTGACACGTAGATACACTGCCGGATAGAAAGATAACATGGACATTAATATATTCTGTAGAAGCTTCAAATCACTTCAATAATCAAGTCCATAATTTCCTGTACTTTTATCAGTGTTATTCTTCTTCCCATCTACATGAGGTAGAACAAGAGATTGTATATACTGTACCTGAAGGAAGCGGAGATGTTCCTTCAGATCATTTGCGTTATCCTTCAGATAAGCTTCGATGTGCAGAAGGGCACGAGAATATGCTTGGCACTTGAATGATGTCTGCGCCAGTAGATTACCAGGAATCTTCTCAAGGAAATCAGTCACCTGCAGGGGTTATCAAAGCAAAATACATTTAAGATGTATAACAAATAAACATTGATCTACTGAAGAATTATTCCTATAAAATAAGCCTAACCCTCTTTAGACTAAATTTTTTGTATCTCGAGCATTCATATATTGAGGGATACCTGTACTGTAAATGAGTAATGTACACTAAACTAAACTACAGTAATAGGACGATGGCAGCACCTTTACCCATACATGTCCCAACAACTGGATGTGACCAAGTTCTTTATGTTGTACTCCTGTTTACTCACAAGCCACAATTGTTCTTGTAAGATTTTTCTGATGTACAGTACTCATTTCCAAAGAAAAAATGATACTACCCTCCAAAAGAAACGAGGGAGAGTCTCTTACATCATCAGTAAACTTGGGCACAATAACAACAACTATACCTGTTGTAGTTCTGCAGAGGGTGTGAAGGCTCCTCGACCCTTCTTCCCAACACTTTCCATTTGTCTTTGCTTCTGAGCCCACTTACTAAGGTAGTCCAAGGCTGAGAATACTGTCTGAACAGCTAAGTGCCTATTTAAAAAAATGAAACAGAATATATGTTAAAGGAGGCATAATAAGTCATTAAAACTCCAAATAAGTTAGATACAGTACATGAAGGTGTGTAGAGGTGCTGACAGTGTACTTGTATATCATCTAAAGAGAAAGAGAATTTTGTATTCTGTAATGGTCAAGCTTATTAACTTATGAATAAAGGAGTTGCAAATTATATCATAAGTCATGTGTCAGGGTTATTAAAGAGTGCACCTGTAGCAGCCTTCAACTAGTAGTATTATATCCAGGCAACAACTACCACTCATGGCATCACATATGCATCTATGCTGTTGAATTCACACATACAATAGAAATTCCGAGGATGATATTCAATCCCTTTCCTACACAAATAATACAAGTTAAAAATTTTATTAGTCAAGTTTTATGCAAGAATCCATAGATTTGGTAATACTCAAATATACACCTGTGCTAAAATATAATGGCAAGGATGAAGTTTTCGAAGAAAAAATCAAAACTTATATGTTTAATGACATTTTTAGTCAGGTGAGTTTGAATCACCTACATAGTCTGCCTGGAAGCTGGTGTCATTGGCTCTGAGAATTAACATTACCCAAGCTAGATTGATGGTCACACAGGTACACACTATCTAGCAAAGCATTATCAATCTCTCACATACTGTACTACATCTACAGTAATTACTTTTTACTACACAAAACTGCCTGAGTACAATACTGCATTAAAGAAAATGTCTTGGAATTTTCTGATGAAAAGGGGGGTTCCGGACCCCAGCATCCCCCTGGATCTGCCCCTGCATATTTACTGTCGTCTTATGAAACATGAAGATAATTTCCCATCACTCTAAAGTATAATCTTAAATAGAAAAATATAAGGAACCAATAAGTGTCCCTAAAAATCCAATGAAAATGACACCAAGCCTTTTGAAACACCCTGTACCTACAATTTTAGCAAAACCACAGAAGTAACTTTGAACAAGAGGATGTTTGAGGTTTTTTCTGTTTCTATAAATGCCACTCATCTTGGATAACATTAGCTTTTGTTGGATAAGATTTTGAAAAGTTTACAAACAGAAATGATAAGTGCAACAATCCATCCATTTAGACTTAAAAGAAGAGAAAAGAATTACTTGAACTCTGGTGATAGTGCAACTGTGTCTTCCTTCTTCTGTTTTTCTTGCATTTGACTCATAACTGCAAGAACCTCCGTTAGAATTTGATTGTGGTGGTCAGCTGATTCTCGTAGTACACATACAAGGATAGAAGGTAGAAGGTACATGGCAGTGGTTGTGTCACGACGAAGAATTGGCTTACATACATTGAATATCTGGGGGGAAAAAAATGCTGAACAAGATACAATACTGAATCAGGTAATCTAAGATAAAATGCACAAAAACTAATATTTTTGTAGAAATAGGGGAGATATGCTTTCCACAGCAACCAATTTATCCTGCCAAGAGACAAAATGTTAATTGCTGACAATATGATGCTCAAGTAATTGTATAAAGGTTGAGAACTAATGTTATAAAACCTGTAAAAAGTGCAAAGAAGAGAGAGAGAGAGAGAGAGAGAATGATAATCCAATTAAATGCTTCTGTGTGATGTCTGATAAGCCAAGGTAAACAACACAGTTATATTGTCATGCCGAGCAGGCAGCTGAAATGAATGAATGAATGGCTCTGTAGTGCATGAACAAAAATGGACAAATTCATGTTTGACCACAACATTTGGTCTATAAAACTAGCTAATCTTTGCAACTTATAGCTACACTCATTTCTAAAAAGAGAAGGGTATCCAAATGAAATGTATAATGTCACTACGCCATCCAAGTCCATAGATCTTTCTATATTGCATAACAACACACATTTCCTGTGGAACTCTTTTTATTTTAAATTTGATCAGTCCAGCTACAATATTTGTTTTACAGATTAGCTACAGTACTAGTGATGACATGGTCAAACATGATGAGGTGGTCACTCAGTTAATGTGCTAAAGGGGAATTTGCACAGTCCCTTTTATGAAACAATTTCCAAGTAGATGGTGGAAAAGACTTTACTGTTATTATTAAGTTCCTTTGACCTATGAATTACTGACCTTAAAACTAGAAAGATTCAACCTCTCTGTGAAGGTAGGATGAGCAGTTGCTCATTTATAATTACACATTTAAACAAAAAATGGAAGTCAAGATAAGATTATATTTATCATGCAAGGACTAGTATGGGTATAAGTACATGTTAACAATGAAAAATAAAACAAAAGTTTAAGAGTGTGCAACTGACCTGACTGGCTGTCTTTCCCTTGAGCATATCAACAAGAAAACATGCCCAGTTGGTGAGCCACTGGTGGAAGGACTGTGCCTGAGAACTCCCATAAATAGGAGATGGGAGGACAGATGATCTACCAGCACTTGTTGCCACGATGTACTTGGAAGACAAAAGTGGGTAAATGATTTCTTGTAGGTGGTACCCCAGCTGTTCCCAGGCTCTTGACCCTACTGGTGATGCTCCTTCACTTCCCTTTTCTCGGATGCCATAAAGACGAGTCACTTCCTTTATAACAATAAATATGAAAGAAAAGAAAAATCCCTTGTAAAAAAATTTCAACATTCAAAACTTATGAACAACATAACACGAGTTACATCTTAAGTTTACCACTTTAGTTGAATAAACTTTTCAAAAAAATTCTGCACACCCACACACCACATTCTACGTTGCCTTGAGAAGGTACATCACACACCTACCTGCATAGCATATGATGCACAAGTCTGGGTGTTAGCATTAGTGGCAGCCAAAAAAGCTCGTCCTAACTCTGTGACCAGCTGTACAATGAAAGACTCTGTTTCAATGTTGAGGTGGATCTCATTTAGTTCCTCTGAAAGAAAAAATAAATAAAAATACTGTAGAAAGGGTAAATTCTAAATTTCAAAATGCTGAAAATTACAGCACCACTTACAAGGCTTGAAGATGTTTTCTAATGTTCTTTAGTTTTGAACTTTAAGGAGAACAAACATTTTTAAATTCAAAATCTGGTAATGTTTCCTCACCTTTAATGTTGGCATGTGTGTAGAGACGACTGGGGTCTATTGCACCCAAGAGACCTAAACATTCTGCTACTGCTATCTGAACTTCCTCCTCCAGCTCACGGCACTGACCTGTAGTTGTAATGCTAATATTCAAAATATAATTCTTTTTCAGCTCTCAAAAATGTATTGTCTTAAAAACAAAGGATACAAAACTGCTTATCTGATGTAAATGAACTATAAAATAGGCAGAGTCTGTCTGTACAAATTATTACAAGGTCATTATAATAACATCAACATTAAAGTGACAAAGAGCGAAAATAATGTGTAAATAAGAAAGATGACATTATGCAGACAGTATAAAGTGAACAAAGTTTGAGATGGGACAGCCTTCATCTCTCCCTTATGCACTGTCTTCTTAACAAAAGTATCCTCCTGATTTGCTATTTCCCAGAAGTACCGGTAATATTAATGTAAAATTCATGATGCTGACCCTTGTGGACAAGGCAGGATTTACTGTATTAACTCCAAGCATTAAATATAATTATACACTACAGGTATTGAAAGGAATGACCTCACCTAAAAGAATACTAAATAACTCTGATATAGTTGGATGCACATTATCAGCGTCTATTGTTAGACGATGGACAGCATCTTGGTTGTGTTGTAGTGTATGTCGGAGACGAGTCAGGGCATTCAGTCTCACATCAAGACTCTCATGATTGAGGCCACGAAGTAAAGATGAGAGTACCTCTATAACTTCTTGTGTGTTGCCACTGTATGAGGAAAAGTAATCTTAATTCAGTATCACCTTCATAGTACAGACACTTTCTGGAATACATTATTCTTAATCAAGCTTTAAGAGAACAACTTAACCTTACCATTTAACTCTCAACTGACGCTCCACGATGGCTTGATTAACTTGGGAGAGAGCTACATCATCGGGAAGAAGAGGTAAGTACCCAAGAAGTGGTTTTATTGAAGGCATCTCCAACTGCAACAGGTTTCTTAAATGAATATAAAACATGATTACAAGAGCCACATTAATAGAATCAGCAACATTTACAAACAAAGCATTAGTACTTACAAAATATAAAATATGAGAATTATGTTGTAATCATTTCATAACCACTGTAGCATTATAAAAGTGCAGTTGCTTTTTTTTTCCTATTACTAAGCATATGAGACCATCACCTGTCCAGCAGCTTGCTCCAAAGCAGGAAGAGGCTTACAGTATTTCTAGGCATTTTCCTAGTTAATATAGAGTGTCCAAAAACTAGTGCAATCGCCTTAACATTAATTTTCCCATCATCTGTTATTATTCATCCATTCTTCCCACAACAAACTATCTTAACACAAACCAACTCATCTATCAACATAGTGCACATAGTGTCTACAAATATTCAGCACCTCCCTGCAAAATCAAGACATTACCAAGATGTGGTTCAGGACTGGCGCCATCTCCTTGGGTCGTACCCTCACAAGAGGCGTCACAACCACAACTACTTCTTCTAGTAGCCCCTCCAGTGTGCACTCATCCAAGCTACAATGAGAAAAAAACAATTAAAAACAAGCTATGTCAACAATCTGGACATACTGTACAGTAAAATAAATAAATGAACAGATATACCGCTCAATAAATTTATCATATTTTGAAACAAATGTATAATATACAGTAAAAAATGATGAAGATTGTCTCAAAAAGAGTTAACATTAGAGTAACAAATGAAGGATTGATTTTCATATCCCATTTTATTACAGATGGACCAGATACCTGGCAGACAAGCTAATACAGTATCTGGCCACTTAGGTATGCATTGCTTCCACTTAGCACAATATATACATTAATATAGCTTAATGAATTTCATGTTATACTTAAGTATCTAGTTTTTCATTGAAGGACAACTACCTCCCCCAATCCTGTTCCCATTTCTAGCTGTTGCTGATATGGCCAGCAGGCATACCATCTTATCATGATACACTGGGGATCATGTCAAAGCATTTCGTCTAGTGTTTCAAATTGTAACGACGGAAAATCTAATGATACTTTTTGGGGGAGACTGTACAATGATTTTACTATCAATATTTTATCAAATATACAAATTACAGTAAACAAATAATACAACATTATAAAAATGTCAAACTTACTTATATAAGAAATTTGTCCAAGCATGGCAGCCAATGTCATAAAAGTCTTCATCTCTCAGCTTCAGAGCTGTTTTCAAGGATGCTAAAACCTTCCGAGAAACTGGAGAAATGTATTTTCTTCCCATTACAACCAACAGATCACTCAAAGACCACAAGGCAGATCGCTTCTCTCTGGAAAAATATATACTGTATAAGAAAATGTACAGCAAATGATACAGTATGGCAACCTTCTGACATAACAATCTTATTCAGCTTATGGAAACCTCCAGGATAAAGACCATCCACACTTTTATTAACTTCAAACCATTTCCATTAATCAATTTAAAGCTTACACCTCTATCTTAGTTCCACCCTTCTCTCTCAGTAACATCTCACAAGCTACCACTTCCAACAGCATCTCTCACTTTACTCTACATACGCACTGTACAATTTGCAGCAAACTTTAGTCAACTCTACCATCCTCTACGTCCAGAAATGTCCTGTTTTTCTTTTATTGAGGTGCTCAAGAAAAAGGCCAACCATGGACTACCCTGCTATATAAAATCAAATTAACTAGACCTATTCTGTCAAAGCTCTATACAGCCTCTGTATAGTCCCCTTATTTTTTACGGGGAACAGCCCACCCGGGCACAGGTCATCGACCCACATCGGGGTCTAGGGGGCAAAAAAATAAGAATAAAAAGAAATAAAAAATAGAAAAGGAAAAGGTTCTATTAATCTACACTACGAAGATGCTGGAAAACCAGCTTCTTAAAGTGAGTGTGAAAACACAGAAGAAGGCAGAGCATTCCACAGTTTGGCTGTGTGAGGAAAGAAGGATGTACTATAATGGGTTATTCTAGTGTAACCGACATCCACAGAGAAATGGTGGGCACCGCGGGCAAGACGTGTGTTACGAGCCCACGGCCTTGCCGGTGGTACACAGGATGCCAAATACACCGAACATTGCCCGTTAAAGTACCTGTAAAAGAGAGAGAGTGAAGCAATACTGCAGCGAAGAGAAAGGGAAGAAAGATTATCAACTAAAGGAGGAGAGTTAATAAGATGAAATGCCTTTGATTCCACCCTTTCTAACAGTTGGACAGAAGAAGAGCCACCCCAGATATGAGAGCAGTACTCCAAGTTAGGAAGAATGATTCCCTTGTATACTTGAAGCAACTGCTCGGGAGTGAAGTAGCTATGGCATCTGTACAGCATTCCCAGCTTTCAGGAGGCAGCTTTAGCAATGTTGAGGATGTGTGGCTTCAATGACATATTACAGGAAATGATGAGGCCTAGCATATCTATTTTAAAATTTGGCAGAATGATAGCATTGGTGGGAGACCATCTAATTTGGAAAGTGTAATTGGTAAATACTGTACTGAGTTTTATTACTATTGAATTTAACCAAGTTTCTACCTCCTAATTTGGAGATACTGCACAGATCAGCATTGATAGATGTAATGATATCAGCTCCTGAAACAGATCTAGTTTGAGAGTTAGGGGGAAGGGGAAAATGTGAAGAAGAGTGAAGAGTAGAATCATCAGTGTAAGAATGGATAGAATTTGTTGTAGTGTGAAGTAAATCATTGATAAAAAGAAGGAAGAGAGCAGGTGAAAGAACAGAACACTGTGGGACACCACTATTGGTAGAGAACTAAAACATGTGAACATTATCTACTTTACAATAACAATCTAACTGTTCACAATTTAAAATTTTGTAATGTTAAAAATATATTAAGGACAGTGTTATTTATTAAGGAGCCAATGACCTAAGGGCTTTAAGTAATTTTTTTTTTCAGTTTCTATTACACTTATGTGAGTTAAAACCAATAATAAGTCAATTCCTTTCCCTTTCCCACAAGGAAATAAGTACACTTAAAACTTACTTGTACATGGTTGATGAAGACACAAGTTTGCTATCAAGAAATCCTAATATTCCAAGGAGACGTGGTGATAGATATTCAGCAATGTCGTCTGATCCAAGAACTGCAGCACTGTCCTTATTTGAACCATTCTCTTTGGTTTTGATGCACTGTTGATCACTGCTCTGTCCTATGATCTTCATATGGGAAAATTCTCGTAGAACAGCACTTCGGTGATCATGAAGTCCAAGGACTAATTCATTGACCTGATTCTTTGAAAGACAAAAACATATTCTATTAATAAAGAAACAGGAAGAAATAAAATGTATTAAATACAAACTTGAAAATGATAATATGCAACTTAATGACTTATGTTCCTTATCCCTTTAGAGGGCAAAGTATCCCTCTGGTATTTTATTCTACCTAACACCAGATGATTTTAACATATATATATATATATATATATATATATATATATATATATATATATATATATATATATATACACACACACACACACACAGTGGTCCCTCGGTTAACGAGCGCCTCGGTTAACGACCTGCCTCCCATAAGATTCTTAAATTCGGTTAACGAAGCAACACGCTTGCACTCGGGCAACCAGCTTTAGTATTCAGTCCGCCAATACATTAATCGGTTCTAGGGCTTAAATTCTTACTATTTTTGTAAATATCAAGAAGTTTATACTATTCAATAATTTTAAAAGTTTAATATTAATTTTTTAATCATTTTAACAATTATTGAACATAATTGAAGGTAAAGTGACTAGTTTAATGCGCGGCATCCAGCCTCTTAACACAGCAAACAGGCGTTAGTCTCTCTCTGTTTTCACTGGAGGTAACATCTTGCTTGAGACTCTCTTCAACTAAACGCTTTTTTTCTGTGTTTCCAAGCAAATTATTGGTCATTTTGAAAATTATTTTACATATTGACAATATATAGTGCAGTGCAGTGTTATTTTAAAGAAAATATTCTTTATTTACAGCTAGTTTAACTTTGAAAAATACGTGTTGCCATTGTTTGAATCCAGCATGGGGCCTAAGAGATCAAGAAAAGCTATTTCAATCCAAATGAAGCAGGAAATAATAAAAAAACACGAACAAGGCATTAAATCAAATGCGCTATGCAAAGAATATGGCATGTCGGCATCAACTGTGTCGACAATTCTTGCACAAAAAGACAAATTTAAGGAAGTGAACGTGAGAGACAAATCTACAAGAGTGTTTAAAAGTAGATCCCTAATCGTAGAAACTGAGAGGTTACTTATCATCTGGATTAGGGAAAAACAGATGAAAGGTGATTCAGTTTCTGGTGATTTCATTTGTGAAAGAGCCAGGGAGATTTATGAACATTTAAAGACAGATCAACCTAGTTCTTCAGGAACAGAATTTGAAGATTTTCGGGCTAGCAAAGGCTGGTTCGAAAAATTTAAGAAAAGAAGTGACATTTTAAGTGTTGTTAGGCATGGTGAAGCTGCTAGTGCTGATAAAGAAGGGGCAGCAAAGTTTTTAATTGAATTTAAAAAACTGATGGAAGAAGAAAATTATCTTCCACAGCAAGTTTTCAATGTTGACGAAACTGGGCTGTTCTGGAAAAAGATGCCCAAAAGAACATTCATCACCAAGGATGAAGCCTCTTTACCTGGGCATAAACCCATGAAAGACCGTCTCACTCTATTGCTTGGTGCCAATGCTTCAGGGGATTTCCGACTGAAGCCTATGCTTGTCTACCACTCTGAAAACCCCAGGGTGTTCAAGCAACAGAAAGTGGTAAGAACAATGCTTGGAGTTTATTGGAAGTCCAACCGTAAGGCATGGGTGACAAGACAGTTCTTTAATGAATGGGCTATTGATGTGTTTTGCCCCTCTGTCAAGAGCTACCTAACCACCAATAAACTTCCTGTAAAGGCTCTTCTCCTCATGGATAATGCTCCTGGTCATGACCCTGACCTTGCCAGAAATTTGGAGTATAAATTTGACTTTGTGAAAGTGTTGTTTTTGCCTCCAAACACTACATCACTCATACAGCCAATGGACCAGAATGTGATCAGCAACTTCAAGAAGTTGTACATGAAGAAAATGTTTAGGAGGTGTCATCAGGCAACTTCCATTGATCCTGAACTAACACTGAAACAGTTCTGGAAGACACAATTCAACGTCCTGGAGGCTGTAAAATTGATTGTGTCATCATGGCAAGAAGTCTCCAATAGAACCCTCAATTCTTCATGGAAAGCACTGTGGCCATCAGTAGTCCATGATTTTGAGGGATTTGAGGATGACACAGAGTTGGACCAGGAGATTGTGTCCATTGGTCAGTCATTGGGTCTTGAAGTGGAGGAGAAGGATGTGGAAGAGCTTGTGATGTCTCATGAGGAGGAACTTACTCCTAATGACTTGAAGGAACTGGATGAGATGTTACGGGTAGAGGCTGACAGTGGTGAGGAGGAAATTGAAAGTGATGACCATATGTCAGCTACACAGTTGAAAGATGTGATTTACCACTGGGAGAAGTTCAGGGAACTGGCTTCAAAGCACCCAGAAGTGGAAAAAACTGAACTAGCTTTGTGTCATGTTGAGGACTCAGTGGTCTCCTTCTTTAAACATAAGTTAATGGTGAGGAGGACAGATGCCCCACAGACCACAATTGACACTTTCTTCAGTAAAAGGCAGAGGGAACAAGATGCTAGCCCTCAGCCTTCCACTTCAAGAAGGAGAGAGGATGTTCATGGTGGAGAATCTGTCAGTCCAGAGGTTCCTGACATTTTCATGGAAGGTGACTCACCTTCCAAGAAGCAGTAAAATGCTTCTCCTCCACCTCCACTTCCTTCTCTTCTCCCTTCTCCTCCTGCACCTCCCACTTCAAATGCACATCATCACCATCATCCAGGAGCCTTCTACATACACACCTCAAAGTAAGTAAATTTTTCCGCCATTTTTGTTGAAGTTAGGAAATTTTCGGTGAGCTGGAACCAATTACCCAAAAACCCATTGAAACAATGGTTTCGGTTAACGAACGTTTCGGTTAACGAACGACCTTCTGGAACGGATTGAGTTCGTTAACCGAGGGGCCACTGTATATATATATATATATATATATATATATATATATATATATATATATATATATATATATATATATATATATATATATATATATATATATATATATATATATATATATATATATATATATATACAAGCCCTTTAAGCAAAAAGAGACAACTTATAACAAACCTGTACAGAACACTGCCTGATATTATAAATTTGAATATCAGTTGTTGTAGCAATAAAGTTCAACACTGCTTCTTGCTCTTTCTCTGAGTGTTGGAATACCAAGTGTGCCAAGATGTGCTGAAAGAAAGTTAACCTGAATAAAAAATAAACTTCTTCATGCTTTTTAACTTTCCATATTTATGGTAAAGTATTTTAAATCATACACAAACTTGCATGTACTGTATTTTTATTGACATTAATTAATTATTTTCTATACTACAGTATACTGACAATAATTATGAAGAATATGAGACTATCTAACAGAACAGAATTATTAATTAAGAGTTCATTGTTGAATGAAATGATTTCTTAGGTTCCAACTGAATCTACTGTTTTCTTTTCACCATATTATTAAACCACAATTAAAATTACGAGGGTTATGTTCATGGAAAATGCCCTGAGAGTCAAAACATTGGGTGATAATACTGAAAAATTTTAAGTGTGAAATATTATTGAGATTATATTACCACTGAGATGCTGTTTTAATACACATGTCAGTATTATGTCTCTCTCCTCTTGTTGTTAAGTCGTCATTTGTCAACCACATGTTCCTTCTTCATGAATTATATCTGTGACTAATTCTACCTCTGCTGAGCTACACCTGTTATATCCCTATACATAACAAAGAGTGTGAACATTTTTGGGGACTATTTGTGTGTTTTCTGTACTTGTCACAGGTGTATATGCTTTTTCCACAAAATTAAAGTTGGCTGTTGTACATCTGAGTTTCTGTCGTCCAACAGGGGAGATCCGCTGTTAAAACTAAGTATTACAGTATGTTCCATCATAAACTTAAAGGTGCACAGTATTATGTTTGAGTAAATTAGAAGGGGTGAAAAAATTATTGGATAACTGGCAAACGTAATCAAGGGTGAGAGGCCAGATAAAGTACCCACACAAACGACAAGTAAAGAGCACCATGAAGTGAAGAAAGACGGTAAGTGTTGGGCTCAAGTAGCATAATCAGTAATAAATGTATCATAATTTGACCAGCAGCAGCAACAATACCTGGAAATGATCAATAAGAATGTCACGAAGACGAAGTCCAAGACATGCTGCTAGCTCTTGGAGAAATCCAGGCCTGGACTCCTGTGATGCCCGAACTGCTAAGACAGGCAGCAAGTGATGAATCTGGCTGCTAATGAATGACCCCAGTTTACTGTTCATTTGACTCCTAAAGAAATAAGAAGTGCAACATTAGATTTTGTTCATGAGAAATCTCTAACTCATCCCTGAAGAAAGATGAAAAGGATGATTACTGGATCTGAAGATATTTAAAATTAAAACACAGCACATAAAACATATCATGGACATTTGAAAAATTTAAAAGGCTCCTGACCCAGATGAAATTCTGTTGCTTGTACTCAAGTGCTCTACTGAATTTTTCCTGTTTTGTCCAAAACCTTCAGACTACTTCCATACACTTCAGCATTTCTTCTTTATGGAAAGATGCTAAACTTCATTCAACTTCACAGAAAAATTTAAAATCCAAGACTTCAAAATAATCATTACATTTCCCTCATCAAAATAATAGCATTTTTTAATAGAAATGAAAACAGTACCTGTACAGATATTCTCAAACACCTTAAAATAAAAATTTACCCAGTGATCATGATTACACCCCCTGTATTCTTTCTATGGAGGGCACTTTACTGCTTATCTTCTCATTCTTCATATACTGTACTGTATTAAATTAACCAATCAAACAGCAGTAGCCCTTGACATCTTTTAGAATATATATATCAAGCTGAAGGTGGCCATTTTGAAAATTTATTGTAGACTGAACCACTGGTATAAATTTGTAGCACACACTAAAAAAAAACACCTTAATTATGAGCAAACTACTCTTTAGCTTCAAAGTTCAAGTAACCACAGTTCCATAACCATTGAGAATTGGACCCATGTTCATAGAATATTTTTTACTGGAAATGACTTAAAAAATAAACTCCTGAAGTACTGATATAAATTCATGGGATTGGGACAGCTTGTATAATATAAATCAATGGAAAAATGGGTTTTGAGTTATGTAAAACTTTTGAGGATTGTAGTAAGTCTTTCTATAACTTGAGGGATGCCTATACTTTTCTGCCAGGCTCATCTGATGGCTTTTGAGGTGCTATCTAGTTAAATATGAAATAAATCCTCCTGGGTTGCCTCTGAATTAATAACCCAAAATGAGGGATTTAAACCACCATTTTGCAATACACAAAAAATAATGTAATCCACAAAATACATAAATGAGGCTGCACTTATGTTAGGCCATACAGTATTAAGCTTAAACAAATACTATAGTTATGTTATCAAAGTTAAAAAAGAATCAATTACTCATGATATCACAAAGAACCTGACCTACATATTTCTTGAGTTAAAGGAGTGCTATGAGTTGTGTTGTTGTAAAGTAAAATATCTTCAATGAAAAGCTTTGCATCCTATTTTGCTGTACCTGAACATATCTTAAAAGCTGTACAGTATTATCTGAATCCTCATCTAAAAGAAGATATAAACATACCTCTTACTGTTGGAAGTTGAGCTTGGCCACCTAAACACCTCTGCAACATGGCTCAGCGTTATACCAACTTCTCCTGGGTTAATAACCTCTGACAACACCTTCAAGAAGAAACAAAATAAAAAGGTCATACAAGAATATTTTTTAGATTTATTAATTTAAATATGAATAAAAATACCAACTATTTACAGAACAATCAATCATAAGGATATTTACTGAATATATACAGGGTGTCCTCATTGAAATAAAACAACTTTGAAACCTTATAGGTTTTTATGTATACAGTAGGGTCTCAGAGCAAGCGAGGGTTATGTTCCTGGTATCCCCGCACAAGTGTGGTAACCAATGTACAGTTTCAGAGTTCAATACACCACTCCTTAGTAAGTCTAATACCTCGACTTTATCTTCAAAAGTTCTCACAGTACAAGTATGCGCTGTTTTCTTTTTCTCGCTCTCACCACCATGAGCACTGCAACTAATTTTCCTCTTATGATTGCGGTAAAATTCACCAGTAAAGAAAAACTTTATGAGCGTGAACACCTGGGAGATGTTCATTGAATCCGTGCGAGAGAGGGAAGAACACCTTGGCAATAATTTAACCTACAGTACCACATGAACATCTTAAATGTACAAACAAACACTCACGCCATCCTCTGGGTGACACAACACAGTTCAGCTGACTCATAGGCATGTGTGTGTGTGTGTGTAATAATAATAATAAACGGTTTATTAATAGAGTTGCAGCCGGTGGCTGAAAATATACAGACTTACATTTGATTTAGACATAATGATATAATATGCATTGAATACATTTACAGGGCTGTACAGTACATAAATCAGGAGTTGTTTATTATTTTAACAATAGATGGGATGGTGCTGTTCTTATATCTACGGTGCGGGCTCTTATGGGCTGAATTTTGTTGTAGTGGCGGACTGCGCAAGTTGGGTGGGGGGCTGCAGGTGGCAGGAAGTGGCGATGACGAGGGTGGTGCAGTAGTCCCCTGCCAAACCTTTCCAGTGCTCGGTGGTGGTGGGTCACTGAGGGATGGCATTTCCAGGGTGGAGAGAGTGTTGGTGTAGCCGGAGTATTCTGCGCCGAGCATGATTCTGCAGGCCCTTTTCTGTACCTTCTCTAGCTGACGTTGTTGGGTGGAGTTGAGAGAAGACGACCAGGCTGGTGACGCATACGTTAGTTTGGGGAGAATAAAGGCGTTGTAGATGGTCCTCAGCTCTGGCGTGGGTGTCCCAAGTGACCTAAGTCGTCGTAGCATGTAGAGACGATACGAGGCTGCCTTGACTGTGTTATTTACATGGGCCTTCCAGTCAAGTTTGTTGTCTATGGTTACACCCAGGAGTTTGGCAGACTGCACCAGCTGGAGAGGATGGGCACTCACTGTGACTGCTGGGGCTTGCACTGGAGTGGTGGCGGTATTGATGTGCATGACCACGGTTTTGGTGTGGTTGATGGTGACCTTGTTCTCCGTGGTCCATGCCTGTAGCCTGTCCAGGGTGCCTTGTAGCGATGAGTAGTCTTGTGCGGTGTTGTCCACTGAAACCCCCACAGTGCAGTCATCCACGTACTTCCACCTGTGAGGAGTGTCCGATAGAGCGTCGTTGATCAGGATGAGAAAGCACAGTGGTCCCATCATGGTCCCCTGGGGAACACCGCAGGTGAGGTGTTGGAATGTGTGTGTGTGTACCATGACATCACATATGGGGGGGGGGGAGCACAGTTGGGTGGCAAGTCGGTGAAGCAGTTATAGCCCACTGTGACTTAGTCCGTGCTGCGAATGATGCACATGTTGAGTGTTTACACTAACTTACCTTAATGTACCCAAATAATATGTGAATATTCCTCTGTTTGCATTATTCAATAAAAATTTATAAAGCTTTAAAGTTATTTCACTTCAATGTGTACACTCTGTATATCTACATCCATCCAGTTCCTAAATCACTGGACAAATGACTACAACAGAATTTCAGAACTTGTGTGACTCACCTGTGCTAGAGACTGTCTATGTCTTATGTAGAGGTCCTTGAGAGTGAGCCTTAAAGATTTAGCTAAGGAATGGATTTCCAGATGAGCCTGAGCAGTTACTATCCTGTCTGTCTGGACAAGACACCGAAGCAACAACACTAACATCCCCCCTGCTAACCCTCCAAGTGGATACCTGTGAATTTTTTTTTTTAATTACAGAAAAAGTTCAAAATTATTCCCTGAAGTTCTTATAACTATGTAATAAGAATCTTTTACACCAAGAGTTCAAAAGTAATTTGTTAACAAAAATACAACAACTTAGATGATTTCAATTTAAAGCATGAAAATTAAATATACATTTCAACCTGTACTTTCTAAAATTATCATGAAATAACACAAATTTAGTGCCCCATATGGATCAGGAAGGGCACTGATTTCCTGTGATACACAAAACATGGAATTTGTGGGATGGAGTGTCTATTAGGTAATTGGTTCCAGCTCACAGAAAAGTACAATATTACAGCTACTGGTATGAGGTTGAATGAATGATGACAAATAAAGGAATTATGTGTGTGTATTTGTTCTTAATTTCAAACATCTTACAATATAACATCAAAAAGTTTGATAAAGCAAAACAAAAGTGTAATTTCAAGAAACATCAAAATTCCAAGATGTTTCACTCATATATTCCATCAATATAGAGTAAGTCATATCTTACTTCACTAGATGGTGTGAAGCCTCCAAAATGGCCAGCAGTGGTTTACTGGATGTTGTCACACTGGTACTATTCTTCTTCATTAAGTCATTAAAAAATGAAAGAAGAGCTTCTCCTTCCTTTGACATCATTGCATTCTTTGGGTCCTGGTTGTAAAACAAAATTATGTAGTGTAAATAATCACATCAACCTTTATATAAAATGCAGGTTTATCTTCAATGACTTATTCACTCACTCCCACAGTACTTTATGAACATCACAATAAGATATAATTTTTTAGAAATATACAATATACAGCTCCACTGATCATTAATTCTACATTATTAACATTTGTCCTATCCTTCAACAAGACTTTATTATTCAAAATTAAAAGTATTCCCGATCAAATAAAATTAAATAAAAAATTCCTCATAAATTCATTTAATACGACTGTATCAGCATGTTTCTATAAACAACTTTATAAAAATCAAAACAAGACACAAAGAACTTTACCTGAATTGATGGATTCTGGCCTTGGCAGCAAACAAGAGTTGGAAGTTGTTTACAGAAGGCAGTGACTACAGTCTTGTTCTGGTGAGTGAGAAGTAACAGGTACTGGTTCATCATCTGACTGTTAACTGTTGTATGGGAGACTACTGCTGGGAGGGCTTCTATCAGTGCAATAACAATATCTGCTTCTGCATGATTTAACAGCTCCAAGAATCTGGACACTAATGTGGGGTCAACACGCTGAGTGTTCAACTTATTGATGGAGCTGGAGTTATGGCAAACTCTACACTCCAATATACCTGAATAGGGTTTCTTGTCCTCCTTTTCTTGTCTGTAAATTAAATTTATAATCACCATATGACATTAATACCCAACTCTTTACACTCAATATAACCCAAATATCTAGGGAACTCATTATTGATCAAAATAAACCTATCTGAGCTAGCTACAGACCCTCTGAATTACTTACAAATCATTTAATTCCAAAAATATAATGTAAGCCTGTTAATCCCCCACACCATCTAACATGTGAAAAAGAGATATAACATGGAAATACTGTATGTTAACCAATCACTCCTTGTTATCCAACAAACCCCCAGCCAGCAACTAACTTTCAGTTTTCCTAAGGCCTTAAGACAGCTCAAATCAAGATCAAGGCCCAGCCTTACCTTGCAAAAACCACATATAAACAGTGCTAATAAACTTTCATCACTAGCCAGGCGCTGGAAGGCTATCTTCCTCAGGATAAAGGCTAATTAGGCTCAGAGAGCTTAATACAACAGTAGACCTTAAAATTATCTAATTCAGCTGATAATATCAGAAACTGTGGTGCTTCAAGTAAAAATCATAATGTGTCATAACAAAGGCAAGACACTCAGCATTTTGTTATAAATATGAAATCCAAAGGAGTGCCAGACTGTGGAGCTCCATTCTCAATGGCATTTGCTGAAAAATTAAATTTAGAATGTCAAAATCAAGATGGCAGCACCAGAGCTTTCAGTGGGACATGTGGTGATTAACCCTTTGTGGACATATCCTGGACCAGATATAGTACAGAGGGTTGCACCATTCTATTGTGATATATTTCTCACAGGCCCAATTTAAATTTCCCTTTTGTATTTTCTTAGCATCTTTGTGGAGGCTTTTGGAAACTGCCCTGAGGAGGTGTAGACCTCTCGCCCATAAGTAATGGCCGAACCATAGCCATGCTGCATCCCCTTGTGAGATGTCCCATGCAGGAGGAAACTGATGCCATTACATATGATTTTGGAAACATGGATGAACCCCCCCCCCCCAATGCATAGTGACAGTGATACAAGTGAAGACAGTGACTTTCCTCGAGATTTAACTAGTGAATCTTCGGGAATTTAAGTGATAAGGATGAGAAATATGCTGACAATACTGGGGTAGCTTCCACGAGCCACATGTCTACCCGTGAGGCTTCAACATGGGATTTAAGTGATTCTTTGTTTCTTCCCACTGACTACTGTACTTTGAAAGGCAAGTCACAATTACTATACGTCCCTGACAAACATCATAAAGGCTTACCGATAAAATTTAATAGTTGTAAGGCTAAGAAGGGCGCACAGCAGTTGTTGAAGAGATTCTGCTCCAGCCAGGACTGTTTTGATATCTGGGGAGTGAAGTACTGAGCCGATAACTTCTCCTACCAGTTGTTGACCACCTGCACCACCCAGCTGATGAACCATCTAATAATAAGAAAACACATATTTACAAATCTGAGACCTTTGCAATTTTTTTCTTATCTTTCTTTCAAATTCCCCATGCATTTACTCCCTCTCACTCAAAAAATTGGTATTCTCTTAGTTTCCTATGGCAATTTTCTTTACACACACATCCCAAATAGATAAGTCTACTTTTAATGCTCAGTAGGAAACAGAGCACAACAAATTCCTTAATTGGCATAAACTCCTGTGGGAAACCTCATCAGTACATTTTTCTTTACAAAGTCAATGTATGATGAAATCGGGTACAGTACTTTCTATGCCTTGCTTATAAGCATCTTTACTCCTCTTGTAGGATCCTGATTCCAGGATTTTCAAAAATGGTAAGACATTCACATCACCACAGACAACTTTCTACAATTAATTATTCTCACTTTGAATCATTTTAAAGAAAGCTTTTATCAGCATTTGTAAGTACTTTACTAGAAAACATGTTGCTGGTACAGTGGTGGCACACTTGCCTCTCACTTCCATATCATAAGTTTGATCCTATTAAAATGTGAAAAGTATGTTATCTAATTGTCACCCTCCTGTACATAGCAGGCTTTCTCTGGGTACTCCAGTTTCCTCCCACACTAACACCAGAACAATGTTTGATAAAGAACAAACTAATTGGAAACAAAGGAGAGATTAGAAAAGCAATTGGCTTCCTTTCACCATCACAGCAGCAATTCAATTTAAAAAGTATGAATTACTATTTTATTCATTCATTATCACTCCTAACTCTTCATCCATGACCAACAATAATTTGCACCATTCTAATATATGGCATCTATTTATACCTTAAAACTCCCCTCAGTTTCATTGCTACAGAAAAAGAACTAAAGGTCATAGAATACTTACCACAGGAAACCAGCGTGCCATCTCTAACATAACTGGAGGGTCTCGCTCACTGATGGCAGCACGGATAACATGACACCGCCATCTTGGAGCTATACCTTCACACATGATGGCAACAGTGGCTAAACTCTTGGATTTCACTTTATAATCTAAAAACGAAGAAATAATTGGAAAACAGAGAAAGTGAAAATACTGATTCTGGTTCACAGTGACAATAGAACTATGTCAAGGAAGTGTTAGATCACCACCACGTTTGCTTAATACTGTACAGTGTAGCCATGGCTGGAGTACTGTACTAAGAGAAGTGAAACCAGGAGTGAAAGAGAGAGACTTAAGATTTATGAATAGTATGGGATGTAAAATAGAGATGAATCAGCTCCTGTGCTTGGGAGATTCAAAAGAAAAAATTACAAGTGTTTGTGAGTTACTTTAGAGAAGTGTGTGACGAGAGAAAGTTGATAGTTAATGTGAGCAACAGAAAAGTGATATACCGTAGTAAGTAGATCTGGGAAACAGAGAATATAAATGTGAACTTGGATGGATAAAAAGTGGAGGATGGAGTATTTCAGATATATGAGTGATAAATCAGTAAGTACAACAATAAATGATGAAGCACAGAGTAGTGCATACAAAGAAAGCAATATAGGTGGATTGAGAAATGTATGTACTGAGACAACTGTGTCCCAAGAGTAAATGATGAGCCGGCACTATTAAAAAACCAGTAATATAGGTACCCCCGAATTTAAGAATGTGAATTTATATTTCATGATTTATCAAGACTCCACTGTAATTAGGTTTATCTGAAGAAGAATGCATAAGACATTTATAATTTCTCTTAACCTTGGTGGGACAACATACAAGCCACTAAAGAAAGACATAAGTTCATAAGAGAAAGAAATTTTCACAAAAAGTGAAAAATCCTACCATTAATCCACTTCAGCTTTGATGACCAAGTAGGAAACTGTTTGATGTTGATAGGTTTCAGGTCCATCAAGCTGACTTCAGAAGCCATCCATGGCAAAGTTGCTAAGGCTAACCATGAATGGCACAGCTGTATTTTTTGGCTGTTAACCTCAGTAATACCTGCTGCCCACGCTAGGTTCCATATAAGCTCCAACATTCCAATCACCTGGTTTAAGGATAACATTAATATTACCATAACAAACACAAAAAGTTATCGCAAATAAATAATGGAATGCAGTGAGTACATAAACCAATTCATGTATATCAACAGTACTAACTAATTTATTAGAGGCAAAATATGAAAACTCTCATAAACATTATATTACTCATATCAAATGTTCTAAACTCAGACTACATAGTTATCCTTACCTGACTGGTATCTTCTGTATTCATCATAACAGAGGTTATGGAGTCTGTAGCTACTTGAAGCCAGGAATCAGGGAAGAACCGGAGGCAAACCTACAAATCCAGAACATATGAGATTTTTATTATATAATATCCATTTTTCATGAGTTCAGGCAATGGTGATTATAAAATTAAGATATGATTTTATATGAATGTATAATGAAAGTTCTACCTTAAGACAGTATAAAAGACTTTCACATTTAGCACATAGAGGAATTGAATATTTCTGGTACATATATGAGGTGAGTACGACCAGAGTGGACAAAGCAGCAGAAAAAAAATATGGAGACCTCTGGCACTTTCCTCTCTGTGATCAACCGCCCGCCACCCTCACTGCCATCCCACCCCGCATAGGTAGTTTTACTTAATAGCAAAATCGACCATATTAGCCACTTCCTTTCTGAGTAATTGAGTCTCTCTCAGGATAGAGGTGGTTTCCCTATCCTTTTGTGAATAAATCTCAATTTTGACTTTAGTGGTACTTTGTCCACTCAGATAGAACATGCCTCGTATCATTTCAGCTGGTTTGGTGTTGTCTTTCTGGTGGTGTGTGTACACATATGACATCTCTGACATGGCCTTAGAGTATTTGCCAAGGGCAGCAAAGGTATAATGAAATGCCTTCCCACCAAGCATGAGTGACAAGGATCTACCTGCCCACAAGCTGGATGCATGTAATAACTGTTAATCATATTATGTATGATGACCTAATTGAAATCTATTAGTTCTGGTTTCTTACCAATTTTTACAATATGTTTCTTATAAGCCTTCAAGGTAGACATGTCCAGCACAGTGTGGAGAAATTTTGTATACCTTCATATAGTTGTCTTAATACACTCTACACTGTTCATCAGTACACTAAAATCCAATTAAGTTTAAATATCAAATTTAAAATCATATAAAATCCTGTATTTATTTAAAATTACAAACAGGTAAGTACCTTTATTACAATTACAAATTTAAAGTTCACCATCAGGTACTGAACTTCTCTCACTGAGCACCTGTGAGATGGAGAAAGATCCATCCTCCTGCCGGCACTCGGCAAAAAAATGACTCCTCAAGTCCCCATGACTGGGACACTCTACCAGCAAGTGTCTCACAGTCAGTGGCACCAGGCAGTCATCACAATAGGGCTGTGGTCCTCTGGCCATTAAGAAACTGTGAGTGAGGTGAGTATGTCCAACACATAGACGGGTAAGGGCAGTCTTACTATATAGTGGCAGGGAATCCAAGGATATTCCCATGGATAGACCCTTTTTGTAATCTCTCGCAACTTGTTGGGAACGGATAAATTGTCCCATTGTAGCTGCCAGGATGTCTGGATGGCTGACCTGACTGCAGGGAAGAAATATCTGTGAGGGAGGAAGCATAAAGGGACATGACGAGAGGCAGCAGACTTGGCCACCTCGTCAGCTCTCTCATTACCTCGTATAGACATATGAGCAGGAACCCAACAGAAATCCACATGGCTCTGCCGACAGAGGACCATTAGCTAGTTAAAAATATATAAAATGAGAGGGTGGATGGGATTAAAAGATTCCAGAGAAGACAGTGGAACTCCCAACTTATGGGTGCTGATTTCTTTAAGGGCTAGGCACATAGCAGAGAGCTTTGCAGTAAAAATATATGCAAAGGTGATAAGTCCTCCACTGCAGCTAAAATCAGCAAAGATGGCTCCAAACCCAACACCAGCATCGGATTTGGAGCCATCTTGCCGAGTTGCATGTTCCTGGAAATACATCCTGGCCATCACTTCATTAACATCAGCCTTACTCCCTTGGAAGTAACAACAGAAGTGCACCTCTGGCAGGTCCCATGGGGCCACAGTCGGCACTTTCACTGGGGTGACCGGGACTTGAGGAAGTGACAGTCTGTATACCAGCTCCCGGACATGAACGCCAAAGGATCAAGGAATGCGTGAGTGGAGAGTAAATCTATGGTCCATGGATCTATCAGATATGGCCTCACATGTTGGAATGGCTTAAGGGTAATGACAAAAACTTTTACCATTATGAAGAGACAAACAGCCTGTAACTCAACACTATTCTGACAAAGGTGGACAAAAAAATTACCTCTGACTGTTCAGTTTTGGCAGCAATCCATCCTGCACATGAGATAATTTCACAAGCAGCTTCAACTTGACCAAGCAGCAGAGAAGTAGTTTCAGACCATTCTACAAATGTGGTAGTCAACTTCTGTAAGGTCATCTTCCACCACTTGCTTAGGTTCATGACACTCACAGAGGGTCTTGGTGATTCTCTGGTGAAAAGTAAACATTCATAAATAAATCTCTGCATAATACTGACCATGCAGATAAAACTGGCACTGGACCACAGAAGGCAGATCTGTCCCTAAATGTGGCTGGCAAATGAATGAACTTGCTTGTGTCATAAAAAGTAGAATTAAGCTTAAAACAGAAAATAGTATTATCATTAAAGCAAATAGTGAGGTATTTCTGTATTTGCTTTTGGACAAAATCTGTTAACAGCTATCACCTTAAATAATAGACTAAAATATGAAATAAAACACCCATTACATCAAGGAGTATGATGTACTGTACTGTATGGGTAATACAGTACAGTACAGTACCCCTTTATTGTTGCTTTAGGCAAGACGTAAGTCTTTTCATTTACATTTCATAAAGTGTCTTTGTAAACCTTATCTTAACAAATCCCTGAACAATTTCCTAAAGCTAAGATAGGACTTAACTTTGTGTACAGATCATTAAAAACAAGAGTGTAATGCAGAAACTCACATTTCTGAAAATCTTCGCTTCCGTGCCTGAGTTTCAGATAATTCCTGATGTTGGTTGTCCAAAATATTTGTTGGTAACTCCTTAAGTAGTTCTTCTAGTAACAACTTCCTCAGTATGGTGTTCGAAACCTGTAATTTATCAAAATTCAGTAATATGGTTCCTTCTGTGCCTTTATTATACTATATAATATAAATATTTGCAAAAAAATTTATATCTTTATACAGTATAAAGAAACTTAGCTGACAGTAAATACTTTTTCCAATAATATCACATGCTGACTTACCAAAATAACTGTTGGGATCAATGAGCACTTGATGACACTCCACATCCTCTGAAAAACACTCACCATGCCTCTTTATCAGGCCCTATGTCCTAATGCTGGATGACATCAAGAAGGCCTATTATGTTCACCTTAATAGATCGCTAACCTTTACCCCTATGGATGATAAGGCTGAACTCACCAGTAAGTTCATTACCAAAGTTAGTAAAGATGCTGGTTTATGGCAGAGGCATAAATGCTACTACCTGCAGGGTATACAAGGTATATTTACAAGATAAGCCTAGACGTTTGCTCTTAATGAGTGGTTAAGTTGCAGTAGTTATCATCTTTACATATAGTAGTTATCAAATTTTATTAGCCAAGCCAATGGCAATCTCAAAGTCACATTCACAATCTTTACTACAAATAAATGAAGCTTTCATATATTATTTAGCCTAGTAAGAGTTAACAGTTCCTCCCAGCTTGACAGTGTATTCTCTGGTCAGTACTAACTTACTCACCTCAGGTACTAGAAGACTGTGAGTGACACAAGTGTGAAGAGCAGTGGTAGCTTTCTTTAGGTGAGGAGATGTGCCCAGCATGTCCACTAACATGGTAAAACACTGGAGAACAGCTTTCCTCAACAACCCTATAAATGTACAAAATTGCAGACATACCATAAGTAGCTACAGCAAAAAATTGAGTATGCCAAATTAGTTAATGTCAGGATGGTAGCTTAAGTCACATTGTACTAGGTTATGACAAGAATAGAGGCCAGCCTGAAAAATCAGGATAAAAAAGGCCATCTTTGTTGAATACAGTACCAGGTACCTTTCAGTTTTATTCTAAACATATCTTACCTGACATCTTTTCCAACACATTTGGTTTGTTGAGACACTTTGAGAGCATTAAAAGAAACTCTTCTTTGAAGAGATGGATCAGATGAGAGATGTATTGCTGCAGATTGAGTATGACACGAGCCAGACAATCTTCAAAATCATTCCCTTCAACTTGGCAAGCTGTTCTGGTTTCCTTTCTTACACGAACACTAACCTCTTCCACTACATAAGATTCATCGGTAATTAACAAGACTGTTGCTCCAATACACTGAATCAAATAATCTTGCCTCTGTAAGAGTGAGAATGAAAGCAGCATTAAATTGTGATAACATAATACATTTCATACAATAATTTATACTGTACTTTACCTTCAATGAGTTAATTAAAAAATTGGAATGTTTGTTGTTAGACAGCAGGGATCACACAGAAAACAATATTAAGAGCAGGGTCATTCAGTGTAGTAGCTGTTAAGGCAATGCATCTTAACAAATACAGTAATGTACAACAAAAATCAGTAACAACAGAGTATACAGTACTGTATAGAGTAAGTATTTATATGTATAAATAAATACTGTACCAACAATAGTACTGTACGTCAGAGACAAGAACCTAAACCCCTATTTCCCATATGATCGAGGAGTTCAGGAACCTAATAGGTAGTAGGTAGCTAACAAACAGGGAGGTACTACTGCCTGGGAAGATATTGGAAGCATAATGTATTGTCTAATGGTGGACCCTGCTGCACATATGACATCAGAAAAATTGTGCCCAAGTTCCAGGTTGCTGATCTGACTTTCTGCCTCATTTACACACAATTGCAGGGTCTCAATTGTTTCTCTTACAATTGACAACACAACATACATATATTGTTTCTCACTTTTGATCTTTTCATTTTTGTATTTGAGGCTCTTTATTATTATTATTATTATTATTATTATTATTATTATTATTATTATTAAAGAGTTATTATTATTATTATTATTATTATCATTATTATTTTATTTTTATTTTTATATTTTATTATAAATTTTATTTACTATGAATTATTATTATTATTACATTTTCGCCCCCCAGGCCCCAATGTGGGTCAGTGACCTGTGCCAGGGTGGGCTAATCCCTGTAAAAAAAAAAAAAAATTATAAAATAAAATAATATCGTACTTTATCAAGGGTCCAGTGTGTATTGTATATAAAAATAAGCTACAGTACTGTAATTATATACTGTTTACATATATTTTAATGACAGAAAGATCTAATAATACATCTTTATTTTCCAAGGTTATTCATATTTTATGGGAATACTGTACTACCCATTTCCAGCTTAAAGGAAAACCCATTTATACAGAATGAATTCAGTCCCAATCCACTTGGCAAAAATGGAATTTTACATTACTGTATTTCTTTATAGTTTTGCTCAATCTTTGTTCTTTTATTCTCTTTTCTAACTTTAACTGTACGAGCACAGTGTTCATCCATACATCTCTCAATATAACAGAACACATCTGTTATATAGGTTGAAAAAATATATATATGAGAAGCAACTGAGAGGAGAGTCTATGTTATTCTTGACTCTGCCCCTGATACTATATCCCATAACACTAAAGGCCTTGGAAGAATTCAAAATGTCACATTCAACACAAAATTAGATCCTACATGTTTATATTTATTATTTATTACCTTTAAACTCTCTTGTTAAAACTAATTTTATTCTGCATTTACTAATTTTTAATAATTCCCAGGATTCCAACTTTAACATAATTTTTTTTTGTCCTCCAACATAATACTTAAAATTATAGTGAGCCAATGACATGTTACTACTTATATTGTGCATGATATACAAAATATATAAAGATGCTTACTTCAATGGCCTTGGGTAACCCACATATGTCCAAAAGGCATGAGATGGTGGAGAGAGAGGCAGCCTTGAGGTTGATGTCTCCTCCCTCTAAACAAGTAGTAACAAGGAGCCATATTTGATCATGAAGAGGTCCAACCCAGTGACACAAGTAGTCTCCTAAGTCTCCTATCACCTGAAAAGAATGGACATGACTTGTGAGCTTGTCATCTCTTCACTATATGATATCTTTTCAAACCATAAGACTAGCATGGCAATGATAATGCTGCCATTCTGAGTCAACCATACAGAGAGTAAGTGAACAAGCTACTGATCTGAACTGGCTGCACAGATTGTCAGCACACAGTCTGGCCTGCAGGAGAAAGTTTTATGAATACAGCCTGATGTTTCAAACAGCCCCAAACCACAATTAACTTGTCACAAGCCCAGCAGGCCATTCAGTTTCAGTGTACTGCCCATAATAGAACAAGAGAAAACTTTAACAAAATCAAAATACATATCTCTGATACCTAATTACAAAAGATGGTAACTGAATTATAAACAGTGAGCAACAAAGGAAAGATAAAAATAAACACTGGAAATGTTAGGTGATGTTATTTGTGTGGAGGAAGTTAGGTACTTGCCATTAATTTTGATGAACTGCAAGGAGAGGTGATATACTGAAGGTGGTTATATAATTTAAAGACTTGAGCTTGGTACTGCTAAAACACACCCCAATAGAAAAAGCTATCAGTGAGAAAGTAGTATGAGGGAGAAAGGCACCTGTAAGGGAATCTTAGGACCTAGGTAAAGAAGCCATGAGGAGATGGCAGTCCTTCTGACCTTGACCTACATGAGTAAAATGGAATGAAGCGACAGTTTTAGTGAGGTAAAAAGATATGGGATGATTGGGGTGTGAAGTCACAGAGTAGAGAGAATAGTCAATGATAAAAACTCAAAAAGTAAACAGGAATTAATTAAATGGCTTCATAAGATGGGAAAACAAACAGCACTTTGGAAGTGTGGATAATGTCATAAAGGGATGGCATGGACACTTTTCCCTTATCCTATTCTCTCAAAAAAGTTTGAAGAATGAGTAAGTTCTTTAGAGATATAGATACAGAGTCGTCTACATTCTTTGATCCCTTTTTATAAGTGATACTTGATGTTAAGATGATCCATCCCATTTTAGTTTACAATAATTACAGTTGAAAATAAAAAATAAGAGAGCTGACCCTGATGTCCTATTTGATGAGTAAGTCTGTATCAAGTGACACATGTCTTATCCACTTTGTCTATAGGTTGAAACCCAAAATATGAGATGGCATGGCAAGGTCAAAGTCAAAACAAAATACAGTACATAATGCACAACAATGTATGCATAACCTTTAATAAGACATAGTGGAACCCATGAGCATGGATGAATGAATGAATTTAAAGACTCACAGACAACCCAGAAAAAATAAATTTCAGGTAACTTACCATAATGATGTTGATGAGAATATGTTCAAGCTGTGAATCATCAGTAAATACAATAGTCTTAGGTACTGGTTGAGCATTGTTCCTATTCACTACAGATGAGAAGCACTGACATGAAACTGTTCCTCCATCAAAGAGAACTTCTTTTCCTTCTGTAAACGTATGAATAAAAATATATGATACAAACACTTAGAAATATTTTGAGTTAAACAAAAATATTCAAGAATATCCTCAATCATGGTTGTCTTAGCCATAATTCTCAGTAAAAAGGGGAATTATAATTAAATACAACTGTAAACAGCTTTAAGAAGTGCATCATCTCCTTCCATTCCCTCACCTCATTATTATGGTGGTTGCCAAACAATGAGTAAAAGAAAAACTACTGAAAAGAGGCAGCCTTCTAAAAATGGATAAAATAGCTTTTGTAACAAAGACATATAATGAAGATTTCTTCCTATACTTATTAGCGAAATATATGTGAAATGAGGCACTGTATATCGGTACAATGCATAACAAGGATCCCCTGTATTCCTACCATCCTAACAGTGTATACACTCCCTATTAACACTCTCTACCAAATATTGGGCCTCATGAGAATCATCATGAATTATCTTGGATCAAGGGTAGGGTCTTGTGTACAGAGATCAGAGATAAGCTCACATCATCAATAAACTGGTACTGTAGTGTCCATCTGTCTCATGTATTTGCTACAAAACAGAGGAGGAAGAACCATACTGTATTTGACAACTATAGAGGGAAGATTCTGTAGTTATCAAATACAGAATGGTTCTTTAAATTATCAAAAATAATAATAAATCTGTACCTGATTTTTAATTAAATTCTAATAACTCTAATAATTGTTTGTACTGAATGTTCCATGGGACTATGATATCATACCTAAGCCAATATCTACATAATCTTTGATGACAGAAGAAAATAGCTGGGGATTTCGAGTAGCTAGTAGACGCATGATGGTAACTTGAAGGTTAATGTTGGCCTCACACACCACTGCTGATCCATTCACTGTTACTAGTTCTGCCAGCAGCCAGCAAGTGAATTCTGCAAAAAATACAACAATCTATACACAGCACATTATAAAATACAAAAGCACATATTTTATGTAAAAAAAAAATAGCTCCTTCCACACTCAAACCATCCTCTGGGCGACCCGACACAGTTCAGCCGAGCAGTCACCCAGCTGACTCTGAGAAGTGTGTGAGTGTATGCCATGACGTCACATTGGGGAGGAAGCACGGGTGGGTGGCGAGTCAGCGATGCAGTTACAGCTCACTGCCACCACTTACCTTTACTTCCCACGCATACAATGCATGCTCTTCATTTCTCTTATTTTATAGTTTTGCATTATATTTCTTTATTTCTATGCCACATTAGAGTAACAGAATTGTAATGATTTTTCCACAACATTCATAGTTTCATTACATGTAACAATGGCACCATGCTCTCACAGACCACCTCATACTCAGTTTTTCCCCTTCCCAGTGAGTCGAGCTATTACTAAACCGAATTTCAACCTAACATATAGTGAGAAAGTGTGTCAACAAATTTTTATCACGAAACTGAAATTACGTAAAGTGAATTAACACAAAACAAGAGCTATATACCTACACCTGTACAGCGAGTCTTGGTGAAGAGAGATAACACAGTATATATGGATGACTGTGTTTATTAACTCGGGATTAATTTGTGACATTGCCCCCTTTTTCTCATTATTTTCAACTTTGTAAATTAGTTCAGTATCTTCACAATGGTTAGGTCAAAATCCACAATTCTTTTTTTACATGGGCTCTGCACTGATCTCATGAATGACCAATTATGTGATGGAAAAGTCAGACTACAGTACTGTACACTATTTTCAAGATTAATCAAATTTCCTACCTGATGCTTTATGTCTGTCTGAAGTATCAGTAACGATCTGGTCATCATTACTAGTGGTGCCAGTAGAGGTAGGCACAACCAGCAGCCACTCATCACGTCGACATACATTTGTTAATGAAGTCAAGAGTGTTAAAATATTTGCTTCATCGCCACTTGCAAATACTGATCCAACCACAGAAACAAATTTGTCTCGCAAAGCTGTGTTTTGGCTATCAGACCTGGAAAGAGAAAAAATTTAGAAGTAAAATAAATGAATGTATTAAAAAACTGATGCTTACAAACTTTTTTTATGAAAATGTATAGCAAAAGAAACTTGCAGTACTGTACTATTAAAGTGAGTTAAACTCCTGACAGCATGATTAGTTTCTTGTATTGTACAGTACTGTATGTCTATGAATTTCTATATCCAGTACTTGTTGTACTGTATGTTACAACCATTGAGTTTAATACCTATTACTCCATCTAAGACTTTATATAAATGAGACAAGTAGAGACATGAGGATAAGACCCTAATCATAAACTCCCTCAGACATAATCTAACAGAAAATCACTCCAACAAATTCTTTTAAAGAATAATTAATTACGAATCATATTGAATTGAATTGAATTACTTTTATCCTCTTCGCCACTGATCGGCTTGTTAGCCGCTTGGGCGATCGGTCACGTCTCTGTCACGCACTGTTGGCAAATACTGGGCATGAATTGAAACAGTTTATTTAGCCAAAAAAACACAGATACAGAGTGGATAATAATAACAATATTAACATGGCTGAGCCAGTTGAGAACCTGGGCTCTCTTTTAGGCACCTGATATATACTATACATTTATCTCAAGGAAGTATTATGTAACATTTAGTAACTTACGGAATAGTACAATAGCATGGTGGTAATAAGAATATCTTATAATGTTACCACGGTTATAACTTCAATATTTATTAGTCTGGGCTTTAATTTATAAAATGAAATTGTGATTATTTGAAAACATAACTAAACATCTTGAAACTGGCATTAAAATGGTTATAAATAAACATATGTTCATGAACACCAACAACTGGGACTGGGATTCACTGCTGGGAAGAGTACAGTACCTACATCATCCAGGAATCAAATCCAACTTTAAGGACCAATAAACCTCCCCCGAAAGAGAAGAAAGTCAATAAAAGAAGACCCAATAAAGCTAGCATATACAGTAGTACTGTTTATGTGGAGGGGAGGAGTCAAGGGCAGGCCAAGAATGATATAAGAAGAGGTTATAAGAAAAGATATTAGAGTCTAACAATAGGGACTGCAAGAGACTGTGCAGCATGAAGAGCTGCCATCAGGTAATCATGGAAAGTAACTGTAAAATGTTGATGATGAATCATAGAGTGCAAAGTAAGTTCAATTGTCCCTTAAATTAAGAAAAATTTAAAATTTTCATCATTCAGGCTAATGTTTGACTGCAATGATGTAATAGACATTCACAAGATGGAAACTACTGTAGAGTATTGTACTGTACTATACTGTACTGCATTGGAAACCTTTCATACAACAAGGTTACATACATATTTTCTGCCATCCTGGCATCTATGGTGGGTGCATCTTCTTAAAGTAAACTGCTGTGCTGCTGCTGATTCAACCTGAAAGAATAAGTTTTCTTAAACATTCTTCATTTACCGGCCAGCTTTTTCTGGGGGGAGGGGGGCTCAAATTTTATGGAGCAAAATTGGAATGGGAAGGTAATGAAAAAGAACCCAGGGAAACAATATGGTGCACATAAAGGTGGTCAGGGGGTATCTTAACACTTTCCTTCACGCCTGAATCAAATCTTCCATTATAATTGATATCCTACACTTTGGTTATAAATGAAGTTCTGTAATTACATGTTACAAGACACACTGAACAATATAAAGTTAAGGGTGGTTGATGAGTTGTGGATTCTTAGAACAAAACTCTTTGTATATACTGACTATTTTTCAGCTTATGATATTTGCTGGAAAATATCAAGATACTGTAAATACAGTAGTATTGACTGGGTAGAATCTTTTTATTTTTAGGGGAGCAGTACTTTATTAAGGCCTCCCCCCAGCTATGGGTTTGATTTATATCTAGTGTCCAGAGACAACCATAAAGAGAGTATGATTCCAACTGATTTGGAACCCGATGAAAGCACTGAGTCCTCATATTCTATTCAGAAGACCTGTCATTTTTGTCGGTAATGGACGATTAGCCAATCAGAGTGCACTCACGGTAAAATAGCGTCAGTAGGAGCTTAGCCGGTCACGGCAATATCCATTGACTTTAAATCAATTGACAGTCTCTAGCATATCTCGGGGACCAGACGGGGCGACAGTACTACAGACAGGTAATTAACATACTGTACAGTACTTCAGGTAACCTTCTAAAGTTTGCCTTTGAGTCAGGCTACTCTCTTGCACAGTGAATACCTCATTCATTAATTATGCTTAAAATTTGCCAATCAAATAACCAGAAAAAATCCAAAATAACCTTCACCTAACACTAGCCAGTCTCCCTCCTCCTGTGTCAGGTTTATAAACCTTCGCGCGCCAGCTGATCATTAACTCCAGGTTGTGAAGACTTACTTCTGCTATACTTGTACACTTAAAGATTTTGATCTTTAAAATAAATACATGAATCGATCTATATTTAACTCATTTGCCATTTCTTTCAATTATATATGAAAATAAATAGTAACAACTTTGATTCTAATTTAATATCTTATACAACACTCACATTATGAGGAGCACACACAGGAGAGCAGCCTCACACTTAGGTGTTTTAACCTGGCTAACGTCGGACTATTTTATTCAGCTGAAAGAAACCCCTTGCCCTATAAAATGTTTAGAGACCTAAACAAGGCGCTCGTGATTTTACGTCCGTTAATAACCATGCGGACTGTGAAGAGCTGCAGAAAGATCTCTGTGAGCTCCAATAATGGTCGAAGAAATGGCTGCTGAGATTCAATGTCACGAAGTGTAAGAGGATGCACCTGGGGCGTACCAACGGTAAGGAGGCGTGTCATATGTCCCAACGGGATGAAGAAACTGCACTATTTGAGACTGAATGTGAGAAGGATCTACAGTACAGTAGGTGTGTATGTTGACAATGAGTTCTCGGGCCATTGCGAGAACAAGTTAAATCAGGCAAATAAATTATTGGGTCTTATAAGAAGGTCGTAACGATCTTCAAGAGTGAAGTGCTTCCCCATATGGAGTGCTGTCACCCCGTCTGGTCCCCGAGATATACTAGGGACTGTCAGTTGAAAATGTTCAAAGGAGGGCCACCAGACTGGTGCCTGCACCCCAAGAGATTGGAGCGCCTGAACTTGTCTAGCTTATACTACAGACAGGTAAGGGGTGACCTAACTGAGATGTATAAGCATCTCAAGGGGCTCTACTCAGTCGAGTGTCCTTACTTGGAGCTGGCGGACGCTCGCCCCACAAGGGGTCACAGCTCAAGATTGAAGAAGCCGCAGGTCCAGAAAACTGTGAGGGCAAACTTTTTCAGAGTGAGAGTTGTGAACCCTTGGAACAATCTACCAGAAAGTCTTGTGACGGCACCGAGTGTGAGCTCTTTCAAGACCAGACTTGACCAACACTGGAGCAGGTTCATGTACATTCAGGAGCCGGTACATGCCCAGTACTTGCCAACAGTGCGTGACAGAGACGTGACCGATCGCCCAAGCGGCTAACGTGCCGATCAGTCGCGAAGTGGATAAAAGTAAAAGTAATACAGTATTGTCTAAGATATTACATTCAATGTAGTATCTTTAATATTATTGAATTATATTTACTTATTATTATCATTAGACCCACTATCTTCTGTTATATGAGTGAGAATATTTTTTTTATTATAATTTGCCTCGTCTCCTTGTTTATTTGTAACAACTTTGTCCATGTGTGAGTGAATACTATGTTTCATTGTCATGTCTCCTCACCAACTCATATTTACTCAATTAAATTAAGGTTTTCAGAATAATAATTTATGAAGGATTATACAAGTTTGTCACCAGCACCTCGTTATGGTTGTGGGTCATGGTGTCATCTGGGATAATGGGAGGAAACAGTGTCACCATAATTGCGTTTAGCGTGTCGTAGGACCACCCGGGACACCATAGCCCTCACATACTGTGCTAGGAAAAGAACACAATGAAACAATGTTTCAACTTTAAAAGCTTCTTTATATATTAGATGTACATGATTCATTTTGTTTTATTACTTCTCGTTATATTTATGGGAAAATGTTGAGAACACCTATGTATGATTCATTTTTTCCTTGTAGAAAAACACATTTCACAATTTATAGTTGTGATTCAAGTGTCTAAAATATGTCAGAAAGTCATATGGAATACAATTGCTTCCGCAATGGACACAAAGACCCGGAGTTCCTGGTGATATCATGCCTGGGTGAGGACTTGGTAGAGTCCAACAGGGAAGCACCGGCTTTATTAGTCTTGTACCATATCATGAAGTTTTCCCTTGTGGTTGAGGGATGGGGCGTCACCTATCCCTGACTGCTGTAATCAATCTTGTCCCGCTCAGAATTTCGCCTGGTGGAGGTGAAAAGGGCGGCGGGGTTGAGAAGAGGCTGAGCCGGGCGGTAGAGGTGTACCAGGTAGGCTGGCATCATGGACCCGAACCCTCGCTTGTCTGGTGATGCCCAGTGCTTCCACAGTGCCTGCTGGCGACAACCACACAACCCCATGTTAATATATATATATATATATATATATATATATATATATATATATATATATATATATATATATATATATATATATATATTATATATATATATATATATATTGTAATTAGTTGGTTGGTCTTTAAACCTGTAGTGCTACGGAGTCTAGTGAAATAAGGAGAAATGTTGAAAGGTCAAGAAAATTAGTACAGATACGGGTAGTGTGAAAGTGGGCTCCATAAGCATGATCTACCGTTTTGGTCAATGTCGATACTGTACCACACACTGTAATAATAACTAATAAGCCTTCAGTACACAAGGAGACAGTGTGGCCGGCACTGCATTCGAACACCTTGACCTCTCCAACTTGTAAAGTTGGGTGCCCCTTTGCAGCTGGGTAGACTGGAGTGCCCCAGGATTGAACCAGTTAAAAAATTATTTTATTATACCCACACTTGGCAAAATATTACATTTATGAATATTTTGTCTCTACCTTACAAGGTATTTGTCTCACTGGTTCAGGCTCTTTAAATTAATGAACATTAATGTCGTTTTCAAGTATGACTCAAATGACTGACATGTGGCCTAATGGAAACGTTTACAGTATTGTATTCCATGTAGGATTTGTAATGGAAATTATGTGTGTCAAACTAGGAAAGCATAACAACTTAGATAAAACAACACTAGTATGATATTAGGACAACAGCAGAACGTAGTCAGTTTTCATCCATATTAGGGATAATAATTATGCCATGACTTGGAACAACAGTAGGCTATAAATGTGTATAACTCTCTTGTTGTCACAAACACTTCTGGTTGAATCAGGTCTAATTAGAGACAAATTCTATATACCATAGTGAGAGTCAATACAAAACTGATATTATTTAACATAGATTTGTCAGTGGTCTAAGGTTAAAAGTTTTCTGCAAAGTGTTTGTGGTGGAGGTGTGGTGGGGGATTAGTGGGTCTCCTGTTATTTGCCTAAACTGATACAATGTGGGGTCACTCATTGTACGTAACCTCTTCTCTGAGTAGGTGTGTGTGTGTGGAATCGAGACAAACTTCAAACTACGAAACTGACACAAGAGTTACTTAACCTAGATACCCTTAAACATTGTGATTAATAATTATTCTTTCTACAATAATATCAAGGAATAAGGCGGTGGCGTCACCTGGGTTGGATAATCGTCCGTGTCGTCATCGTCGTCGTAGTGTTGGTCGCGATGAAGAAGGGGAGCTCGCTTATACCAGAAGCCTCGCTTGACTCCTTGGTCATCATCCATGTGAGTGAGGGAGGACCCGGGGTGACCTGCCGCCCTCCCTAGCATGGCCACTATCAGTACCCCCACCACCGCCACACCAACCTGATAGTCCTGTACAACAAACACAATAATACAAGTGACATTAGGGTCTACATACTTCCGCCCGCAGTGTAGCATATTACAGACATTTTTTCACACTCATATAATACATTCAATACAGTACTAAGAAGATGGAAAAAATATATAAGAATACCGACTGGTAATTATCAATTCGCCGACCATTTCCATTGGCAATTGCAGAACGGGAAAACGAGCCAACCAAACCCAACCTCACTTATCTAACTTTAGCAAATTATTTTCGATGGGTAATTTTCAGCTAATATCGGTTCATGATTGTCACAAATAGTGGTACTGTACTGTCTATAAATATGTTTGCAACATATGGAGCAAAAGAGTTATTAAGGAGGAAAAGACAAGTGGACGGATGTGGTGCACATTTATATAATCCAACTGAATCAAGCTGAAAATTTCTTCTCAACAACTTTACTGTATAATGTTAAGCTTCCCTAAGTGGGGCGTATAGTCATTTTTGTACACTATCCACAACATGGTATCATTTTAACCATGTAATTAGTCTCCTTCCATACTATTCTTCACAGGATTTTTGCCAATCTGCTTACTTTAACGACAAAAAAGTATAATTTTTACCAGGGGAACAAGCAAAAAACAAAGCGTAAACCTAAGACAATGAGGTGAAAGTTGTCATATGAAACACCTTGGTCAAATCATGGACTAATTTCACAGCTATCATAAGGGAAGTCTTCGGTGTTTTGTTTGAGTTCGGAGTTCTCTCTTTTTATAAAACAATTCAATAGTTTAAGTCATAAGGCTCATCCAATAAAATCTAAATTGGAATGGAGTAAAATCGTCGTAACCTTAAGTTCCTGTGTTATTTCTTCGAGAAAGAATGCAGGCGCTTCCTTTCTTTAAGGCTAACACAATCTAACCCATCAATGAAACAACTATGGTTCCTTTACCTAACTTATACCATATAGTATAACACAAGTTGTCTAAGGTTTACTTCATGTCGGGTCCACTCATCAAGGTTATGTCAGCAAGATTCAGCGTCGACTGGGAAAGTTTTAGCAGAACTTACCCGTTAACATGGGCTGGGTTGTGGCGGCCGCTTGAACACATCGCTCACTTACAGGTGAATCAAGCAACTAAATTATCTTCAAGAGTGAGGTTCTTCCCCGTCTGGAGTACTATCACCCCGTCTGGTCCCCGAGACATGCTAGAGATTGTCAGTTGATTGAAAATGTCCAAAGGAGGGCCACCAGACTGGTGCCCGCACCTCAGCTATCCAGAGAGATTAGAGTGCCTGCAACTGCCAAGCTTATACTAAAGACGGGCAAGGGGTGACCTAATTGAGATGTATAAATATATCAGAGGGCACTGCTAAGTCAAGTGCCCATGTCTAGAGTTGGCGGACGCTCGCCCCATAAGGGGTCACAGCTCAAGATTGAAGAAGCCAAAAGTCCAGAATGCTGCGAGGGCAAACTTTCTCGGAGTGAGAATTGTGAATTCTTGGAACAATCTGCCAGAGTGTTGTGACGGCACCGAGTGTGAGCTCTTTCAAGACCAGACTTGACCAACACTGGAGCAGGTTCAGGTACATTCAGGAGCCGGTACATGCCCAGTACTTGCCAACAGTGCATAACAGAGACGTGACCGATCGCCCAAGCGGCTAACGAGCCGATCAGTGGTGAAGAGGATAAAAGTAAAAGTAAATAAATTTCGTGGAGATCCCTCGGTACTCTGGAACCCAAAATCCTTGGCTCCCTAACTTTCGTAGGCCCTTGGCATAATACGGTCCTAACTTGCCAACTACTAACACTGTGTTAACATGAAGCTATGGCACAGGTAAAGGTAGAGCTGACCTTCATGGTGGAGCGTAGAGGGGAGTACGACCTGTAGATGGTGCAGGTGACAGACACTCAGCTCAAGTGAGGCTGCCCACCCCAGCCGGTTTACCTTATCTCCCTGTCAGGCCCGCCCTCGTGCGCCACCCACACTAGCGCAGAAAACTACCGAGTCCCGCCTCCCTGTCTTGCTACACCAATCATATTCACCATAGTATCTTCCATGCCTTCCTGGCCAATTGGAAATGTAGAGATGTATCATGTGTTGTGACCAGATTACATATTACGTAACTGAATTTTATATTTGATAAAGGGTAAACTTTCCAAAAAGATTTGGTGAAAATAAAAAGAATAAGTACAGCAAGAATGAGAATAATATATTATTATTATCATTATTATTACCGATAGTATTACAGTTCTACTAGTAATAATAATATGCGCTTCTCAAAGTCAAGCTAAAGACTGTATGTATGTATGTATGTATGTATGTCTATTAAAGCAGTTTCTTCGTCCCTGTGTGCATCTACACAGTATACTCAAGATTAGTGGTACAAGCAGCCTAGCACCTATCTTCAGGGTTGTGTGACTACACATCTTGATCTTCCCAATAATTGTCCAATGGTCCCCAGAAGGTTAGCACGCTTTGGATACAGTGTATTGTGTTACATGAACTACAGATGTATAACTGTACATAACCTACATCAGTGTATACCGTACTAACGAATAATTTCAAGTGTAATTATCACTATTATCACTTAAGATATGGATAGGGAAATATACTGTAGACTGATACACGTAAATTATGTTTTGGTGTTGAACTTAGAAAAAAATATATACAATTGTTGATCATTCGACGTCTTTAATAATCTGCATTTTTTCAAAAAGTTTGACCGTAAAACTTTTAAGTCTTAAAACTTTTTTCATAGGATATGAAAATGTGTAGTGGAAGGACCTAAGCATCTTTCCCTTCCCATCTCTCTCTCTTCCCTTTCCCATTTTTATCCACTTCCTCCCCTCCTTCCTTCCTTTTTTTTCTTATTTCTTCCCTCCCCCTTTTTCATCTCCCCCGCTTCCCTCCTTTCCCTTCCTCCCTTCTCTTCTCTCCTCCTCCCCTCGGTCTTATAATTAGTGAGAAACATAAAACATCAATGGTGCGAGGAAGATGAAGGTCCCTCCAACTCCACCTGAATGAGACAGCCTTTACCAACCTCAAAGTAAACAAAGATTACAAACATACACACATTCTCTCACACCCACACAGCAAACAAATAAAGATACACACACACACACACACACACACACACACACACACAAATAAATGAACACATGCAAGCAAATACAACTTTATGCAAACAAGTAAATACAATCACTAATAAACACGCCCACATGCAAACACATCAACACCAATAACAAACACACTCAAATAACAAACACAAATTCCATAAGCAAAAAAAAAATAAAAATCATACACAAATAGATAAGACACATACAGTATACAAAACCAAACACACATACATGTAGACAACCCCCCCCACCCACACACACACACAAGGTAAACACGCTAACAATGGCAGATATATACACACAAATAAGCAAACACACTTATAAAAACACGCAAGAAATTACATCAACACTCATAAACACATAACGAAATACAAGGACATATACAGTTTTTACCAGCCTCCGTATAAACAAGTATTATCCACACACACACTACAAACAAACACGCTTTAAATATACCCATATTATGAATAAAACAAACATACATATACACACCCACCCACCTACACTGACCCCCTCTCCCCACACACACCACTCCCACACATATCAGGTAGGCATCATCTAGACAAGACATCAGGGCAAGGAAACATCAGCTGAGGTACTGAGTATCAGATAACGCCAATAGGAACTAGCTAGCGACCTCATTTTTTTTTAAGGATTTGGAAATTGGATTTTTAAAGACACTCAATCGACCTCATCTTTTCAGTAATATACATGTGGTAAGTTCAGTTAACTAGTTCTCTTGTTATCGCAGAAGATATTTTAGACCCTGTCTTCTGTATCACAGCTCAAGATTAAAGAAGCCGCAAGTCCAGAATACTGTGAGGGCACCTACCACCACCCGGCCACGACAGGAACACAGACCCAGAAAACGGTAGAAATACTGAATGCGTCTTTATCATTATAAATTTGTTAGAACTTATAACTGACTGTAAATATGTGCCTTGTGATAATACACAAATCATACAATAAATACCTAAATCAATACATAATAGTACAGCTTGACTAAATGGTGAAGAAGATAAATGAAAAGGAAAAGTAATCAGAGACGTGACCGATCGCCCAAGTGGCTAACAAGCCGATCAGTGGTGAAGGGGATAAAAGTAAAAGATCCATAAACAATATAAATGCAAATTAGATGGCACAAAATTGTTTCAAACCACTTACAAAATAATAATACAGAACATGTAAATACATACAACACAAATATTTTCAATACAAAGTGTTTTTCCGGTGTGCATACAAAATAGAGCGATAATGATCCCCCCTGCCTTCAAAAGCTAGCATTACACTTTAATTAGTGAACAATAGTGATTCCTTCAAGTTTAACAAAGGCGGCAGCACAACAGGCCTGGGTGGGCAAGGTATTGTTCCCCTCCTCCCCGCAACCTCTTCGTTCCTCTCCGTCTACAACAATGGTAGGAAAGCTGAGATGCGGCTGTGCTCGAACTTACAAAAAACAGTGAACAAGATATAGTTGATCATTTATTAACCTGCTAATATTCGTAAGGACATTTTGACTCACTAATGAATGCTCTCTCTATCTTAATTGAATTATGCTGACCTAACTGACCTAACCTAACTGGCTTATTCTAACCTTATTGGCGTGACCGATCGCCGAAGTGGCTAACGAGCGATCAGTGGTGAAGGCCTGAAGGGGATAAAAGTAAAAGTATTCTAACAATCTGAAGAGTCTTACGCATGAATTATTAAACAATATCTTCCCTTGAAGAGGGTCGTCGCGTTTCAACCAGAGTTTTAAACTAAACGAGTCCTGAGGGACACCGCAGTACAGTACTTAACGGGGTGGTGTGGCGGTAAAATTAACTAACTCCAATATTATACATTTATTTTATTGGAATTAGTTAATTTTACTGTCACACCACCCGTGAAGTATAGTACTGTCCCTGAGGATGCATTTAGTTTAAAACTCGGGTTGAAACACGACGACCCTATTCAAGGGAAGATGTTGTTTAATAATACGGGCGATATTCTTGCTGTTCACTGTGGTGTTAAAAACTATAAATGTGATGAATGTGGGCAAAAAATTTCCAGGAAGGACACTCTCAAGCATCATATACTCGTGCATGAAAAAAATAGAATTAAATAAAATTTTTAATCAGTTTAGCAGAGGGGTAATGTGACACACTTGAATACAGTGACATATATCAACTTAAAACCACTTGAGTAATTTTTATGAATGTAGCGCAAGTTGTTATTGCCGTATTACTCGTGCATAAACTGATCTCATAATTAAGTAGTTCGACCCCTGATTTTGTTAAAGAATTGCGAGTTTTTCATATACCGGTACTTCTTGTATAATTCGATCCTAGCTTTGGAGAAATACTGTACAGTACAAGGTACCGGTATAATCCCAGACATAATTTGTAGAAAGACACCAGATTCACACCAGGAACCTCCCGCTCCGTAATTATGCAGTTAAATGTAGCACAAAGTAGTACAGTACAAGAAAGCTGTGCTATTACAAGCATTTTAGTGAAAGACTAAATTCTCGAGTCATCAAATGAACACTTATTCACCTTAACTAAATGGATGGAAGTGAAAAGGTTATTTTCAATGAATACCATATATACTCGCATGTTGCAAGACTTGAATAAAGAAAAGGAACAATGGCGGTCGATTCTAACACGTATTGTAGCAGCTGTGCAGTACCTAGCCCCACCCCCCCCCTTGCATGACTGCCTATTATTCATTTCCATCCATGTTTTCTTTTCACTGAACCTTTTTTCACACGTCACTTGGGCTGTATGTGTGTATGTCTTGTAGTGAAGTAAAGAAAATTCAACATGTACAGTTCCTCACAGGAGTAGTATTCCCACCCCTACATGTGGAACCCTCACAGTGATGGGCAACACAAGTTTCTAATAACAGTTATGACGGAGATTTATATTTATTAAGGCTATTTAACCAGCACTGGAGTTCTAGAACCAATACAGTACAGTACATGCCTAACACTTGTCAACAGTGCTACAGACTATCTGTAGTCCAAAAGGTTCTTGAACTAAAATCTCCTTGTGGCGGGAAGTTATAAGAATTTTACCGACACTAAGATGGAGGCCAAATTGTGTCTTAATTGAATTGAAAATCTAAATTCAATGCATTGCTTCATCTCCAAGCATAGAGTGGAATCCACTTAAATGCGGAAACATTTTACATGGATGGTCACAAAAAGATGACCACATAACTGCGAAACATTGGATAGTGAATACTCTTATAACAAGGACCTCCTGTACTTGTATACTTTGCAAATATCGAATAAGGGTGTTAAAATATCAATTATGCATAAGCAGGGTTGCAAATAGCAAGTATTCCTGTACATAATAACCTGTACTATTTCCACACTAACCTAACCCTCGTCTATAACTACAAATAGCCGATTGGTTCATAGAAATTGTTCGTATAACTGTCCATTTAATCAAGCTAAATATGTTCACAATTGGTAAGCAGAGCTGTTAAACAGCTGCTTACCAATTGTGAACATATTTAGTTTGAATAAATGGACAGCTACACGAACATTTTCTATGAACCAATCTCCTATTTTTATAGAAGAGTGGGCATGACTTGAGGGCCAAGTTGGCATGAAAATACTATAGTACAGTAAAGTATATTCACTCAAAGTAGTATTCAATAAGGTTAGGTTTATGTTGGGATGGAAAAAGTACAATTAGTTTTGGAAGCATCATGTATTTTCTTATAATATATACAGACACAGAATTTTTTGTAACATTACAAACACAGAGACCCATACAAAAATGCATCCTCACTCGTCTGAATTAGAGTGGAATTCACAAATACAGTATCAACGTGAGGGGGCATCCAACTGGACACTACACATGAGCACCAAACATCTGGGAGGCTGGTTCTTGCACTGAAGCCCAGGTCTTGGAAGGGCATTGTGACTGCACTCTTTTATAACAACTAGACCTAGATATCTCATCACATATGTACTTTGGATATGGAAATGACCTACCCATGAAGTAGTATGCAGTCAGATGCCATATATTATCAAGGTGGGTGGTAAATGCAATCTTGATATGCCTGGATCATACCACATGTTTGTAACGCCGCTAATACTTATGACTTTCTTCTTTTATTTACCTGGAATCTCTAAACAGAGGAGGGTTAAGGGACATGAATGAATCTACAACATGAAAAAGGTTGTAAAGTTCAGTAGAGTGGTTAAAGAAATATAGAAAGAGTAAAAGTGGGATAAGGTGATGTCTAAAAAGAATAACAACTGCAAAGGTTAAAAGTGGTGTTACAAGAGAGGTACTGACAGGCACAGCAGGGATTCTAGAAGATCCATGGAATTATGTACATAAAGAGATTAGATTAACTTGCAAAGAAAAGCATAATAGCTTCAGAAGAGGTTTATATACGGAGCTAATTTTATTAAAAATTAATATGATACCAGTATAAAAACAGTATAATATGACAGTAAGGAAATAATGATAAGTCAATCAGGAATAAAGTGGCAGTAGAAATAAAAAATTTAGGAGATACTGAGTATAAAGATTAGCAAAAGTAAAAAAATATTGGCAAGATAATGTGGATTCTGAATAAAGACTATCATGAGAGGAAGGGTCTATGTAAAGAGGTAGATCTAGGGTCGATACCTAGTCATAACAAAAGTTACACTGAACACTAAGGATGATCCTAGAGCTGAGACCTGTTGTTGAGAAGAGTGTGCATGATGGAATACAGCAATACCTCACCATCTGTGGAGAAATCTGGAGATGTCCCACTGAACACATCTCCTACCCAGTACATCTGGTGTTACACAGTCATCTTTTACCAACCATATAAGGTAGGTAGCTCACTAGTCATGCTTAAGTTGAATCCTACAACACTGTTGATTGCTTTATTAAACTAAATATAATTTGCTTTTACTGAAAAAGCTACATCTGATACAGGGTGGTGGGTAACCTCAGTGACTGTAATAAGTTAATAACAACATACATGGTATATCATATATACACATTTTTTCAAAAACCTCTTACTCTCTCACCTGGGTTATCAATATATTTGTTTTTATTTGAATTGCCATATAAAGAACAGGAGAGGGGGTGGGAGGGAACATGTGGAATGCGGCATCCAAGAGAAACAAAGGGTCCTTTCACTCAGATGTTATGATGGTAAGTCCATAACTACAATGTATAAAGAAACACATGAATGCAGTGAGTCAGAAAAGGTAGAGGGAAAAGTTAATAATGGTTTGCCCTTGTGACATGACCATCAATAATGAACCTTCATTCTCTATTTAGATAGAGCAGTATTTCCTGTGGACCTTACAGGGAATATGACCAAGATTCAACTGGGTCATATCCAAGGATCAGTATCACTGATTATCACAAATATTAATCATAATTATGTTGAAGATGCAAGGGAAAGACAATACAAGCAACTGTATAAAAAAGAACAATGATGCAACTTAGTTGCATAAAAAAAAAATAATTCATATGACATTATGAACAATTAGAAAACTAAAAACTGATGTTAGGGATGCAAATATGAAAAAAAAATATTGAGAAATCATAATCAATACGATAGCAGAAATAAGTAATATCAAGTGTACATAAAATAACGTGTACAATACTTTACAATGTACGTGTAATAAAGGACATGGAGAAATAAATGAAACAATTACATCGAGGCAAGAAACAGCAAGATTGGAACTAGACATACTGCACATGTGTGGTGTGAGGTTTGTGTATACCTAGTCCATGACCCAGGAACATCTCAGCAGCTAATAAACACATTTGGTCTCATTGGGATCATAAAGTAACATATCTAACTACAATGCAATACAGAATAAATACAAATTTTGACTGATGATAGAATCTTACACTATATTCTTTTTTTAATTTCAAAATTTGAAGAGGTTTCCATATAGAGTAGCTGACAAAAGAAGAAAAATAGATATGGTTATTTATGATTTTGGGACTATTTAACCCATCTCATACATCCAGAAACACACATTCAACTGTTTAATCCTCAGGCACACACACTGACTAACTAACAATTTCAAGTTTGCAATTTAATACTGCTCTCTCTCTTTTGAAAATTCAAGCATGCAATTTTATGTAAGTGCTGAATCTACATGAGATTTTAAACCGGTTGCTGAACAAAAACCTGCTTTGGTAAACATTGTTTTTGGCCAATACAACCAGTTTACACTTTGTCATATTAAGTGACTATTTTTTGGGAGTTGCAATCATATATATATATATATTTATTTTTTTTTGTTTCCAAAAACTAAATAATGTCCCTAAAAACACTGTCCATATACTTTTTGTTGTTGGAAACATTTTAATATTCTGACTTTATAAACTTGAGCATTAAAACAATGGTACATTACCTCGAGTTACAATTACATAAAAAAAATTAAAAACAAGAACAAAGGTTTTACAATTCACTCACGCATTAAAAGGTTGGAATGATGCAACATACAAACAACTTGCCTAGGCCTACCTAAAGGCTGAGAATGTCTGCAATTAAGCCGACCAGGAATCATGGTGGGTGAAACCAATGATGCTGCTGGGTCAGAAAAGTTTTTGGGAAAATGAATTCCTTCTTGACACTCATGCTCACAGAACCAAATGTCAACAAGTGAAAGATTTCAGCTTTGTGATCATAGATACGAGAAGGGGACAAAAGAAGAAAATTTTTATTCAATTATCCAAAAATTAAAGGAAAGGGTGAAACTGTAAAATTCACTCTTTCAAAGTCTGAAAGCTTCCACGTTCATTTTCCCACAGGCTAATTTATGAAATATATTGTTCCTTGTAGTGACCATACAAGGGTGTGAAAGCATTTTCAAGCAGATGCCTCTTGGGGGAGCAAGTGGCTTAGCAAACTCAAACAATTTCGCCTCTCTAATGGGAAGTGAAAATTTTAAAATACTGTATGTAGCAGCCTTCATGGTGCCCAACATCTTTTTATTTTTATTTAAAGCAAGGTCCATGTATTACTGGTTGAAAGGCAGCCTCTAAATTATTCAAATTAAACACTGCACCTGTGAGCTAAATTGATTTGGAAAAACAAAATACTCTGCCATAATTACTGGCACCAAATTCAGATTAATTACTTCTGAGGGTATACCAGTCTTGAAATCAAGCAATTTATTTCCATTTGTCCAAGCTACAATGAAAGGTAATTTTGTGCTAAGCCACATACCAAGTTGTTGGCATTTTACACAAATACACTATGGACCACATGCTTTTGCTCTCAAATGTAAGAGCATTGCAGGACCTTGAAGTGACTCTAAATATTTGTGAAAAAGTCAGCAACAATGAGCCATACAGTTCCAAGAACACTTCTATCCATAATAATGTAAATGAATCTAAAAGTTAAAATGTATATTGACATACGTATAGTGAAATAGGGATATGATCCCCAATAACTGTCAAAAACAAATAAATGAAAAAAAGTCATATCATTACCTCTAAGGGAAACAGAGAGGTTAATAATAAATAATAAACAGTTTCTCTTGCTGATGAGGATTATATGATCTTCATCTGACTAGGGAAAAACTTCCTGGACACTGTTTACATTCTTTCAAAACCAGCTAATTTAACTGTGGTCATAATGAGAACATGCAGCACGAGTCTTATCCATTTTGTATTAAAAATACATGGATATGAGCCTAAGAGTGGATTTACCTCAAAGGCTCATAATGACTGACCAGGCCACAAATAATAATGATTATATATTCATACAAAGTCAGAAGGTAACTTACATGGGACAAGACCAGAGATTTATGAGCAGCAGATGAAATTATCAATATGGCAAACTTTCCTACTGACAATGCATAAACATGAACCTTCCTGGCTTACAACTACTGGCTCCAATTCACTGATCTCATTACATGATATTGAGCAAAGAGGGCTTCTCTACTTTCAACCGAGACCATCAGACTTTGCTTCGCTTCCAGTGCAGAGAAGATAGAATACTGGGGTTTGCCTATACTGGAGGAAATTACTTGGAATAACATTTTACCTCAACTTATGGAATCCTCCCTAGACTGTGATTAATATGCTGAAGATAGGAGTATTAGTGAAAGGCGAATCTGTGCTTGCAGTGATCATCGACAGAACCCTAGCGTTTAGTTCCTGTGTTTCACTGATTTATAAGAATTTCTGGGTAGCAAACTTAAAACAGTTGCACCCATATTATAATTTATGACAAGACCAACATATATGAAGCGAACAGTAAATGCAGGAGGAAGATGGTATATCAATAAGGCCGTCTTTCCTGCCGAGTGGGGAAAATGTCCTTGGCATTACACCTTCCCACGCTCACACTTACTGGTCTCTTTAAAAGTTTCACTTACAGTATATACATGAGAGAAAGTTAGCCATGTCTACAGCAGTTACTTGACAGAAGTATTTATATTTTATGAAATTAAAAATTCTGAGAATTATATAATACCAAATGCTGAATTCTGACCATTTACCTATCTTGCAAGCAGCAGGCATTTCATTTAGACAGAAGTTTGTGTTAACTCAACCAATCTTGCTCACCAAAGAAACTCCAATCCAACTTCTTTTAATGGGAGATAGGGATTCTAAAGCACACTGGCATTGCGGCCACAAGAGCACCTTTGGGGCCCGGGCATCTACGGAAATTCTCCGGCCGTACATGGACCAGACTTTGGAAATCCTAACCATTATCTGGATTTACAACAAATAAATATGAAGGTGACATTAGTATTCCATAAATAAGGCTAATTACATATTACAAAGAGCTCAAATTTATATTCGTACCTGGAAAACAATATAGCCTAGAGAGAAGAGGGTTGTCAAATGTTTACAGCTTCTACAGCTAGCTAGGAATCAACCAGTTACTCAGTGGTTAGGTTGGAGGGATAAGGAAAGCATGGATGCCGACACGTTGAATTCTTCTGGCCACCGTTCATTTGAAGAGTCCACTATTTGCAGTGCACTGAAAAAAGATAAAGTAAGAATAAATGTTTAAATGATATTTAGAAAATTTATCCCATAAACTGATTTATAGAAAACAGATAATTGAAGGTTCAATGAGGTTTTCCTGTAGAGCATGTGTAACAATTCATCTTGAAAATTCATTCCACTTTATTTCTCTTCACTTCACACTCTATATCAAAGGTTCCCCAACCCAGGGTCACATGGAGCTCATGCAGACACTGGGGTCACCTGGGCCTTTGCAATGCTCACAAATAATTTTTCTTAGACCAGGTGTCAAGGGAGAACAACAAAGTAGTACTGTAGTTGATGTCTTGTTGAGGCAGGACCATAATTTATGGAGAGCATGTGCAAACATAGGAATCAGCATAGTGGTGTTTATGTAAAAAAAAATGCAGTGGGGTCCCATTTCACGCGGGTCTCGTGTGCACAGTTATCGCTTACGTGATTGGTTGAAATGCAGCCAGCTATAGCTTACGCAGAAAGCCATGGGTAGCAAAGGTAACGGTATAGCATCAATTTGATGAACTTTTGCTTATTTAGGTTAATTCAACAAATCGGGGACTCTGGGTCACTCAAATTCCTGAGGGCGCTTTTAAGTAGGAAATGTACGCAAGTTGGAAGACATGCTATGTGCATACCGTACTTACAGAACAATGTTTAAGATCCCACTATATCATAGCCTAAGTCCTTATATACATCTAAAATCACTTAATTTAAGAGAAAAGAAGAAATAGAATGACAAAATACGGTACATGAAAGTGAAAAAAAAGTCAGCAGGTAAATAAATTACTCAAAATTTAAAGTTTAACCTCGTTCATATGTTGGGGACCCCCCCCCCCCTGTATATATTTTTTTACATTCCACTTGGATTAATAAAATGTGAGGCATTGTAGGAGTAGAACAAGTGAGGTAATGCTGCTCACTTATGACCAGTGGTGGGGATGAAGGAGCCTAACAGTGAAAGGAGGGCAGGTAGAAATGGTGTGCCAGTATGATGCATAAAAGAGTCGGTGTCATGGTGAATGTTAATTTCATAGATGTTAGTATGATTTATATTGTACATGAAATATAAAGATTGGGTGTATTATGGTCTTAAAGGAGGTGAAGCAACTACTGTATGCACTGTATATACATGACTGATGAGTAACAGGGTGTGGAATTGTTCCCATGTTTCCCATAAGACCTAAGTACAGTAAATAAAGTTCAAGAGGTAATAAATTAGTGAGGTTTCGGAGGCGCCAAGCAACAAATTTCTTTAGTCAACGAGACATGAATGAACTTTCTTACCTAAATCCCTGCCTTAAGGATTCATTATCAAATTCTTCTAATTCTCGAGTCTGTTTCTCTTGCATCAGCCGTATCCGCTCATGTCGCTCGTGTTGGAATCGTGCAGTTTCCTCAGCCATCTGCAAAACAATTTAGATTATTAATTTTATTATATATGGTCTCACATAAAGCCTTTAGATCTCAGTCACTGGTTCACCAATTCTTTATCTTCAGCATAATATTCTAATGATTCCCTTTGTAGCATTAATTACACGTCACAATTCCTCTTTAAGACCACTTCTACATAACAAACCTTGCAGAACCTTTAAGCTATATGCTTATTAAATTTGTCCTACTTAAAATGTATTCTTAAAAGCTACTTCAAACTAAAATTTTAAAAGAAATAAAATCACGTATATTAAAGTTCTACAGTGACAGTATAATTTGACATTTTGTCACCCTTCAAACTTAAAATTCCAACTAAAAAGTCATTTAATCTTTTAAACCTGTGATTTATTAACCCTTACGCCCCAGGTGACGTTCCAGGACGCCCGCCCAGTGCGCCCCGGGTGACGTTCCAGAATGTGCGCCTTTTCCCGCCACTGTTTAAATGTCCAGCGCGGGTTATCAGGTTCCAGTGTGACTATTTGCCTGTCGCGCCACACACTCAGCCACAGGGAAGCTTCCTGAACATAATTACCTACTTTTGTTTGTTTCATTTTCATTGTTTGTTCATTTTATAATGTTGTATCAAAGTAATATTGCTAAAAGTAGTGTAGTTGTATTGTAGTGTAGTATTACTGGAAAATAATGCTATGATTATGTTATAAATGTATTTATATGTGGAATTATTATTATTTTATGCATTACTTGCTCTACCAAACACAAAGACAGCCAGACAACCTAGCGACCGACTGTGTGTATGTTGCCGAGCACTTTTTAAGAAAAATAATGAAAATAAAATATTCTAAATTAATTATTTATAGGAAATAAGTATTATAATCAGTAAATATATGAATTACTGGCCATCCTGGAAACAAAAGCAAGCAGAAAATGACCGCTAAGTTCGTAGTGACCAGGAGCGTCAGCTGTCAAAACAACACTGTCCCTTTATCTTCCTCGCCAGTGTGGCCACAGGGAAGTTTCTAGAGGGTCAATATATAGTTTTCCTTACATCGTTTTCATTGTTTTATCATTTACAAAGGTTAAAAAATATTTTTGGAAAAGTTTAGATTTTTCTCGATTTACCCCCGAGTGGGGGGACACGGCCAGCGGCACCCTAGCCCGGGGCAAAAGGGTTAAACACTTTTAAAACTCTATTTGGAACAAAGACAACTTAAGTTGTATATTTTTTTAGCTTTCTTTAATTTTAATCTTAACTGCCTATAATATTTGTGATCAACAAACCTTCTGTTGTAATAAAGTTCTCCTGAGTGCTACTCTCTCGTCTAATTCCCTCTTTTCACGGTTACGTTGAGCCTCTGCTTGTTGGCGATTGCGTGTTTGGTATTCTGCCAACATATCCAATTCTCTCTCCAGCTTCTCTGTTAACTGCTGCTGTTCCACTACCTGCAACATAGACAAACATTTGCAACACTACCCTGTAGCAAGCTATAATTTGCTTGAAAACTCTGCAATCTATATTTTCAAGACTATTTTGATATATTTCCTTTTACACTACTGCATTCTTAAACATATTAACTTAAATGATTGAATTACGGTAAAAATTTCCAAATGAAATTCTATATAGGTACTGTATAATTGTTTCATTTAAACTTTACACAAAAAACAGCGACTTTGTTATGTAAAACTTACTTGACTTTCATCAAGTTTCAGTGACTGTCTCTGAAGCATCTCGGCAATGGATTGTTCATACTGGTCACCCAACATAGCCAATTTCCGTCGCTGATCTTCCTTCAACCTCTTGATGATGGCTCGCTGATCCTCTTTTGGAGTTTTGGCAAGAATTTGTGCCTTATACTCTTTATATTGCTGACGTTGTATGTTGATAGTATCACGGAACTGACGACGTATCTCTATTTCTTTTTGCTGCAATGGGAATTTCAGTTATAAACATTCCTATGTATATTGTTTCTTTGGTCATAAGAGTTATTGCTAGGATAGATTTTAAGAAAAGTAACAATAAAATTTATCCAATTTTCCATCAAGTACAGTACTGTATTACAATACAAAACAATTCAACATGAAGAAATTTCTATCCATCTGTCATCTCTATCATCATTACTTCATTCTCAGTTACATCATCTCATTACCATAATTTTACACGAACCAATTCCAGGTGTTGACCGTTATATGATGGATCGATCAGTTTTACAATGTTGAAAAATTAACACCATTTACCACTGTGTGATGGCTAAAATCAGTTTTAAAATTTCCCAAAACTCTCATGTGTAAATTGGGCCTTGCATTGGAATATGAAAGCTGTGGCTAACCGGCCCAGTTTGAAATATTACTGAAGGGTATTGTAATTTTTCATTTGATAATAAATAGGATATGCCTTGCAAATATTGAACAGAGGTGTTAAAATATCAATTGCATTTAAGCAGGGTTGCGAATAGTGAGGTATTTCTGTACAGTATTGTATTACAACAAAGTGATGAGTAATGAACTCAATCTTAGAATATCAGTTGTACTAAGTAAAGTTAATCCAATGTCGTATTTCTCGAGTCATTTTACTTTCCTTTTAAATTGAAATACGTATTTATTTTTTCTTCAAATCATATTAAAAGACACATCCACTGTGCCATGTACCAACACAGAATTGTGAACCATGAAGTATAGCAAACCAAACATTACAGAACAACACAATTTATCTAATCTTACTTTTAAACTCTTTGGCTGTTGCTTTTGTTGTAAAGCGTGTTTTTTCCGGAGCTCTCTCTCAACTCTCTTCATGTACTCATGTTGGCTGCTTAATTCTGTTTGGTGTTGTTTGTTCATCTGAAAAATAAATAAATAAATATAAATATATATATACACAAACAAACATATAGTCTCTTTCTTTCTCTCACGCACACACACATCACCACTGCGGACATCGATGAAGAGATTCAACATTGGATCAGATGTTCACCTCAAGCCTTTGGAAGACTGTACACGTATCTTCAGCTGTACAGATCTGAAATTATCTTCAAAGTTATACGGATATCGAGCAGTGGTCCTCCTCACCCTGCTATATGGCAGTGAGACATGGTTCACATACAGGAGGCACCTCAAGGCACTTGAAAACTTTCATTAATGTAGTCTATGTTCCATCCTCCGACTTAACTGGGAAGACAAGAGAACAAATGCCAGTATTCTCGCTGACACCAACTGTAGGAGCATCGAGGCTACCATTATTCATGAATAACTACATTGGACTGGGCACCTTACCCACATGGATGACAGTAGGCTGCCAAAGCAGCTACTTTACAGTCACCTAACGAATGGTAAAAGTAACGCTGACTGGCAGCGGAAAAGGTATAAGGATAATTTTAAGACGAAGCTGAAAAAATACCAAATCAACCCCATGTTCCAGAAAGAAAAATGTGGAAGTGGAAGTGGTTGCAGACATGCTGGCACCTCTGAACAACACTGAGCACATGGCAATGCCTGACTGCCCAGGACCTTTAAACCAGGTTAGGAGCTTATAGGTGAGCTTTTCATTGTTACCATGTGATTTTGGGGGTCCTTTGAGGTTGTTTTAGCCAACACAAGAAATGTGGAATATATTTAACCATATCGGCACGACTTTGGTTAACTGACCACCTACGGGTTATTCAAATTTGCTATCAACCAAAAACATTATAAATTTACCTGCTCCTCCTTTAAAGCGTGAATAGCTCTTTGTTGCCGATATTCCAGATCCTGTGTTAACTGATGGTGTCTTAGAAGCATTGAGTGAGCTGCCTCCAACTGTTGTTGTCTCTTGATAAGCTCCTCTTTGAGGAGAGATTGTTCTTTGACGTAGTATGTCAAGATGCTACGTCGACGGAACTTTCGCATTTCTAGTTGAATGTATTCTGCTTGTTGTTGCACTAACTTTTGTTCTTCTTGTCGTTCAGAGGCTTTAAGGTATTCCTTCTGGTTCCTATCAAATAAAAGGCACCTTTATTAAAATGTATTAAATTTGAAGAGAAAAAAAATTATTCCTAAAATTTATCTAAAATATATTATTTTTACATATGAATGAGTTAAAATATCCAAAGCTTTGTAACTTATTCAGAAAAAATATTGTGAGGACAATAAGGTATGAAGATATAGAAGGGACAAGCCAATGAATGACAACTATTAAGTAATTTAAAAATAAAAACACAATTTTAGAAGACCCCACAACCAGGTAGTTCTCATTATTACAGTTACCCATCACCTTCAAAGGGGGAGATTAAAGCCAATGACTATCCAATAGACAGGACTTATTAGAACATTTAAAATACCTCAGGTATAAGTAGGGTTAGGTACTTCATATGCAGGACTGCTCATAACCTCAAACGGGGTGGTACCTGTGGCCCCCAAACTACAGCTGACATTTTTTCCTGATACCACTAGCTGACATACACCCACATCAAGTCATAAAAGAGTAGCTCCAGGGCCTATTAATGCATAGTCATTGAAATAATGTCCACTATTACCCCTCAGGTGGGTGACAGATGACAGCGTTAACAACAGCCACTTCAATTACAACAGTTGACTCAAAGAGAGTTGTACAAAAATGAAAATAAAGCTTATGAAATGATATACTATAAATGAGACAAAATAATGTCTTACCTAAGGCTACAGTATAATCCTGGCCAAATATCTCTTGAAGTGTCAAAATGGGTCAAATATTTAGTTTTTGGCCTTGAAATCAAAGAAGGCTACCAATAGTAGTGGCATGTGGTACTGGCAAAGTAATTTTGTTCTGATTGGACCTTCTGCTTCTTGAGGGGTAACCTTTGTTTCTCATCTCTCTTTTGAGGGTGATGGTTGTTATGGAGGGTGTTGGCAAAACTGCCCAACTGGTTAGTGCAGTTATGAAAGCTGCCAGGCAAAAGGTGTCAAGCTTAAGAAAGAGAAAAAATATATATACATACTGGAGCTGTGCTTCTTTCTGTCTTTTGGGTGTATTAGGATCTTGCGAGTGTTCTTTCTTCCACTTTTCTATATTCTCCTTGTACTGCTTCTTGTACTGTGACTGGAATTGCTTAAGCTCATTACAATGTCTACCGGTTATATCCTTTTGAAGGTTCTTTTCCGCTATCGAACACACATCTAACTTCTTCTCTTGCTCCTTTTCGTGTTTCTGGACAATAAAAGAAGGCATTAATGAGTGATCTTCTCTAACTTGTTAACAAAATACTAGTGAAATCATAACATTTTAATTTTCTATAACCAGCTTCAATGAGCTTTAAATAAATTATTAACTCCCCCAAACACACATATAACATTATATATATACAGTATATAACATTTGATAAAGAAAAAATACTCGCCTTCATTGAATCGAGGCACTGGCAAATATATCTTAGTAATGAAATGAGGTAAATATTAGGAAAGCCTCATGTAGCTGCCCTTCCAAATCTAGTTATTATCATGCAAAAGTTATTGTATCTCACCTGTCTGAGTTTCTCAAGCTCCTTGCTGAACTGTGTGAGCAAAACCTCATACTCCTTGTCCAGCATGTGCTTGTGATTCTCCATCTCAACACGACATTTCTCCTCCAGCTAATAATTATGAAAGGAAACAATTATCATAGTTAAGTAAATTATTGAAATAATCTGATTGAATATTCTTACACTTAATATTCAACATAATCTTAAAACATTACTTTCTAATATTCTTAACAGGTGTTCTGTAATTGGTGAAGTGTAAAAATGGGATGTACAGGTACTGAGTGAAAGTTTGTTAACCAAGAAATATGTGTACTGTACATTAAAGCTGTAATGATTCTGAATATACTAATGATTGATCTTGGAGTTTAATTCCCTAGAAGAGCCCATAGCCAAGCAGATTTCATCACACTGTTGTCGTGCAAGGGAATCAAATCTCCAGAGGTTGTGTATAATTCATATTTCCATAGATCCAATTGTTTTAAATACTGTACTAACTGTGTACTACAAATGTCCAGCCTGTAGTTTCTCCACATTAAACGTTCTCTCTATTATCAACAATCATCCATTCCCCCATATAGGCTATTAATGATGGACTTTATAATGATGCAGTAACTGCTGAAGTATACTGTAATGTACTTGATGTAGCAAAGATCAGGTTGTAATTAATGACAGGAGATATTGGTGCCCCTCACCATAGAAATATTACACAAAATTTTGACATGGAGATCCCTGTGTTAAAAATGATGAAAGGTCCTTTATTTTTTTGTCACATTGATGAGAAATTCTGTAAATATGAGAGTTTATTGTACTGAATAAACAGAACAGGGTACGGCTAGTCTGATGCACCTGCCCTATAGGACTGTCAGCAAGAAATTAAATGAAAATGGTGGGTTAGCAAGAAATCAATATGGCAGACTATATGCACACTATTTCTGGTGTTAAATGGGTAGACTCTGCTCTACAGTATACCAACCCCCCCACCCCCCCTGCCTTTAGAGAGCAGCTACTGCATAAGTCACCCTCTTGGTGTGATAGGGAGAAGATTTTTTTTATCCCAATAATTAAACAAATAAAATCTGGCTGATGTTGGAAGGCCAGTCTAAGGACAACAGAACCCTCTACTTGGCATCCTATGTTATAAGCTTAAGGGTAACTGCCAGAACCTAGGTATGCATGAATAACAAAAATACCTAAACCACATGAGAATGGCACCAGTGCCCAGCTGCCAATGGTACTAAATCCCAAATTACCTATGACACAGAAGACTGGATTTAAATGCTGTGTAATTTAAAATGCATTAGTACAGGTACTGTACATCAATTTTATTTTCTTTAAAACAATGTCCTGTGACCTTATGGGGGAAATGGCCATTCCTCAACTTATTTGGCATAACTTTTTGTTTCCAGCTATCAAGAGGGTTACTTTTGTCTTAATATTACATTAATTATCACCATTACTGAAACTGTGTCAGCAAAACAAAGCATCTACTACAGTACCTTAGCCTGCGCTCGTTGGTGCTCCTGCCGCATGCGCTTGTACCCGGACATGGCAGCGTGCATGTCTTCCTGAAGATGTTCTTTCTGCTGCTTGCTGACAATGGACGTCGTCTTTATGGTAGCAAAGTTGCTGGTGCTTGCTTCCCCAACATTGCCACCAGGCTGTATTGCATCAAAATATGACTTTAGATTGGACCAATGACAGTCACTAACTTCAAGTAGTTAATGATATGATAGGTTGAATACACTTAAAACTCCATATTATTAATGAGATTATAATGAAGTTATATAAATATTAAAATAAAAAATCAATTTTCATTTTACTTTTAAAATACACACCTGAAATTTAAATCTGGTGATTTTTTTTATTACACAACAAATTATTTTTGTGATTCAGAATACTGAATTTTATCCACATCATAATACTGATACAGTTTATATATACAGTATATATATAGCACTTCCACACCATACACATGAATTATAAAGCTAATGTACAGTACAAGTCATGACAGGTTAAGTAAGATTCATCAAGCCAAATCCTTTACACCCCAAAGCACAAACTTCAACAGGGCCAAACAGAGTGAAGTTATTTGTTTTCCAACCATTATATATATATGAACAACAAAATAGTTTTCAACTAGTACCCTAAATATTGGGTAGTTGTGAGGAAAGGAAAGGGCATGATGCATCTATCAAAGTTAATGAATTTCAACTTAAGTCTAACAATATTTCTGAGAATGACTTTAGAAACAAGGTTATATCCTCCCACTGACAGTAAATGATATGAAGATGATTAAAAATGAACTACAGTAACAGTCAAAACAAAATCTTCAGTAAAATAATTTCTTAAAGCCATCAAACATCTAATCTGAAAAGAAAAAATTAAAGCAACCTTTCTGTATGAGCAACTTTTCCTTGTATCATTTGATATAAGAAATTACAAACATCAACCACCAGGTATTATCTACTGTACAGTATTGTGTGTGTTTTCTCAAGTATCCTGTTATACTGTATAACTCATTAAATTAATGTACAGTACTGGGTATTATAAACAACACAATAAATACATTCCACACAACATATGAAAAACAATATGGTTTTAACATCAGAATGAAACAGAAAATTTACACATGATATTTTCTGTTAGTTATTTAATATTTGTAATTAACATAATCAAAAACATTTAATAGTTAAAAACAGTTACAATTCCTTTAAAATGGCACAATTCTCCTGATTATTTTGCATTTACAACAATCATTATCATCACCACAATTGGGCACAATTCTGAAAGGGATCATTCAAGGAACCTAACTACTGTACAAAGTTTTAAAAAAAATTAGCAAATAATTAAAAGCATAAAATATACAGACAAACATATGAAGATAACCAACCAATGCAACAGTCCATCCAAATGAACTAAAAACCTAACAGAGCTTGATTACTTAGCTACACATATAACCATAGCAGGAATCTATAATTTGTGCACATAAGACATTTAATGCATAAAAAAAGTCAGTCAATACAGCAATAACAAAAACTTTATCTTCGTCCATAACACGAACTACTGTCATGTTTATTAACAACTGTTCATTTCTAAAGAAGCTCTAGAGAAAAAATTAAGACTGACCCAGCAATTCATTTCTCTGGTGGGAGCCACAGCCAAACCAGTTTTAATGTGAAAATTATTTGGGATTCTTTGCCCCTGTGACCTGCCCTAAGTATTTGCCAGGGTTGACCTCTTAATTATTAACTAAATGATCAACCATCCTTCTCCCCTATACTGTTAACCTCAAATGAGTGGGCAGGTAAGACTGTTGCCAATGGAAGGCATAGGGGAAAGAAGGCTGAAAGTCTGTTTTGAGCTGGTATCTAATTGATGACCATTATTCCAGGGCAAGGCTCCACTCACTACAAATTCATGGAAATCCAGTTATACAAACTGGAAACACATCAATTCCAGATAAGGAGACACCAACCCCAAAGGAAGGTGGGGAAATCTGAGCCACCTGGCAATGAGGTCCACTAGAAAATGGAACTTCTGGCTGCTCTTGTAATCCAAAGCCAGCAAAAACCAAAGGGCGGGGAGGAACGTACTACCAAAGCTCCAGGACTGAAATGACATAATGCTCCAAGGTAAGAGTTGATCCTACCTACTAAAAGGTCAGAGCAGCTCTCTTACTGAACAGATCTGGTGTTACAGTATCATGGACCCCTCCAAGAAGTTAATCCTTCAGAATTTACAGCTTCAGCTGACAAGCAGCATAGACAGTTTGAAAACCAAAGTGGGTACTGATCCTAAATAAACACCTCCAGACACACTAGAGAAACTAAACAAATCCAATCAATCTCAAGTTGCAATTAATACAACCAAAAAGTTTGAAATAGTCTTCAGAAAAAAAATATCCAGGGGAAGTCTTAAAACTTCCTCCACTTCCCATTTAGCTTTTACTTCTGACATTAAACTCCTACGTCTGCGAGTTGTTACCAGTAAGCAAGGTAATACTGTACACGATTGAATATATTCATTAAATACACATATTAGTGCCTATGAAGCAAATGTATGGAGGATAATTAAAAATATAAAAAACAAAGCATGCCATCCAACCTATTAAAAATGGTGACCGAGTGTCAGTTTATGGTGCACTGAAAGTTGTGAGACATGGTCAACACCAGAACTATCTCTGCTCCTTCAATATTAACATAAATACAGTACTGTACAATATTAAACTATTAAAACATAATACTGAACACAAACATAATATAAATTATTTTAATGTGGAGGAGAGTACAGTACTGTACTGTGTATAGTTTAACTTCACTTGAAACTGAAGTAATTCAAGATATTGTAGACAAATACCCTCATTTCTGAAAGGACTTAAGTGTCCATAAAAGGGTTGGGTAATCATAAAATTGAGCAATTGTGAATCTATTATATAATAGGTGGATAAGGGTTGGGTTTTTAAACCATGAAGACAATGTCACTGACATTTTCAACCCTCATAAAGCATTATTTGTACACTCACTCCAAAAAATATCTTTATGGTGGGGTCCAATAAATTTAAAAATGAACACCGCGACTTCTGTTGTCTCGGTACAGCTGTCAAAATCCTTCGTCTGTTGTGTCACATTCTCACACAAAGATATTTTGAGGCGAGTATACAATAAAATGCATAATTAACAAACTGAACTTTCATTTTCAAAATTTTATGATTTACTAGAGTACTGTATTGAGATCTTTAAATGATGAGGACGCATACTAATGTTACATAACCATTATGTATAAATAATTATGCACCAAGAAAAACCTCTCACCAAAATATTCCTATTTTTTCTGAAAGTGATTTCCATACATAAAAGTAATGCAACTCGCGTGGTGTTCTTACTACTTTAAATTACACCCACAAATGGGCAAAAACAGTGTTTGTTTCATGACACCATTCATCTGTACATCACTTATACAACAAAGTTTACCTGTCTACATAAGCAGACAGTAAGATACTTAAACAGTGCATTATTTCTACTCAAGAATCTAAACACTAAGTGTGGATCTGGAGTATATTGGTAAGACTTTTTTTGCTTAATGCATTATTACAAAAAAAAGGCTGCTAAACTACTGTATATTCTTCACTGGCTGCCAAACCAAATTGAAGGATGTTGCCTGAATTCCTTCTAAAATGTCAGAAAAACAACAGATTCCTAACAAACATCTCGACTAAACTCACGATACAAGCGTGTTTACAAAAAATCTTGGAATTTCTCGTGTCACTAAGCATAAACTGTTACCACAGGAATAGATACAATTAGTCTCCAGATATGTTTGGGCACAATGGTTCCCACAAAGATACTGGTACCACACACACTTTGCTTCAGCTTGATGCTACACTTTGTCCAATGTAACTGTACAGCATGGCCTCAGGGACTCACTTTCACACTTACATATTTCTCATGATTGTATGTATATGTCTCACCATGTCATGATTGCCTTAAAGAGATTACGTACTTGACAATCTGAACATACCAACAAACTGCTATTAAAGAATTTCCTTAAAAGCCAATTATTAAAATAAAGTAGACAGAAAATCCCTCAAATGGATTTTCTATGAGTCACTTCCAATTTTGAATGACAGCCAGTTAAGAACATAATATAATGATGGTGGACGGTCTGTATATCATGTGTGAGGACTGTAGCCTTGGTGTAATGATAGCCAATTTGACATTATCAGCTTTTGAGGGCATTCTTCCCCTCCGGGTAACTTTAGCACCTGATCTCCTCAACTTGGAGACAATGAATATGATTGGGAGGATTTAGATGATCGAAACATCTAAAATGTATTAACTCTTTCAGTCCTATGCATATACCTCATATATTTGGGACCAGATGCCTATTAACATAAAACTTTTGATTTTTCCCACACCATTTCAAATACAGGGTATCTTTGAGTGGCTATGAGCCATATAATGATGCCATGTCACCAGCAGTAACAGTTTAGCCGAGACCAATATTCATAAGCGAGGGCAGCTTTTGTAACACAAAAAAGAGGTAGCAATTAAGTAGTTCATATAAGCGAATCTTCCTATCTCAAACGTTCGTATAGTGAGGGATACCTGTATTATTAAGTTAACTTTTTCCTTGTAACTTCCCTTGACCTATACTGTACGTACAATAATAATTAAATTTTGGGCACATTTTATTAGTGTTTTACTCGTATTTCCTAGGAATATATCTCGGCTTATATAATGGGAGTCTATGGGATAATGTGCTTCATTGTATGAGAGGTGAATCCCTTCATAAACTGGGGACTACCTGTGCTTGTGAACTAAACCGAGCATAAATATACAGTAAGAGTAAACAGCAGCACACAACAGTCTATATCATGTCTACTAGTGTGTCTCCTGCTGGCATGCTGATATACTGTACACCATCTTGACTCCCCTCAGCAGTTATAGGTACAATAATGTCTTAATATACTGAATACAGGTATGGGATCGTATATCTAAAGTCCCGGTATATAGAACGCTCTAAAAATGTGTTATGTTATGGAATAAATTATTTAAAATGAGTGCCAAAAGTAATTCCTGGGCTGAGTGAGGATATTTCCAACCGTTTCTCACCTGTGAGCTATATGTAATGGTATGGTTATTTTTTTACTTATAATTTT